GTGGGTCTGCGTCATCATGGTGCGTCTCGAGAAAGATCAAAAAGTCATACCGTACACGCCTATGAGCGTCCCACATACACATGTCATCCAGTAAGTCCCCATAGTCACAAAACTTGGCATGCAAGTTCTGGATATTGAGACAGAAGAACGTCAGATGGGGGGGCGGAGTGCCAGCCGAAGGGGCAAAAGCCACAGCTCGGGATTGATGGCAACTGGTGCGAGCTTGAAGTGGAAAGGCACGCCTTGAAGGGAAACTGGAACGAAGGAGCGAAGGCTGAACCGCTGCTAATCTGTCATTAGCCAGTTGACTGTTGAGGATTGTGGGCGAGGATGATAGACGCCATCACCATCTTCACGAATGGCGGTGTGGTGCTGTGGTCGTACTGTTTCATCAAGCTCAAAGGAGACCCGATCAACCAGCTCATCAAAACCGTCCTCCTTGAGGTGAGTGAACAGACAAGACCACCCAACACACACCAGACGAAGAGAGATCTGCACACTGCAGCAAGAACATGACACCGGTGAGTGAGCCTCTGTGTGATTGTTGACTGACTGACTGACAGGAGCGCACTGGCGAGAGTGTGGTGCGTCTGGATCCCTACAACGTCAAGTGGAAGTTGGTCAACGAGCTGGAGCTGGTGTTTGTGGTCGTCTACCAGGGCATCCAGAACCTCCTCTACATCGACGCACTACTCGACTCCGTCAAGACCGCATTCATCGAACACATCGGAGGTGGGGTGAGCGGCAAGGCAACCAGCGCACGAGCGAAACACACGCACACGCGGCATAGGGCGGCTGGCTGACCTGTGTGTGATTTGATGGGTGTCGGTGTACCCGCCAGGCAAGGTGAATCTGAGTTGCCGCAAGGTTGCGTTTGAGGCCAAGTTCATGAAGATCCTCCAGGACTGCGAAACGAAGGCCAAGGAGATCAAGAGGACCACAGGTGCGTAGAGCTGTTACACACATGCCGATGAAACACACCGCTGTTCTTCTGTCTGCCCGTGGTCAGTGATGCGTAGTTTCTGTGAGACCAAGAAGGGCAAGGCGGCCACCAAGAAGGACAGCAAAAAGAAGGCCGGTGGCGGTGGCGCCAAAGGTGAGGAGGAGGAGGAGGAGGAGGGCGACGACGATGACGGCACCACACACAACGGCAATGGGGGAAAGGGGGACGACCACGGGGATGACAAGCAGCAGCAGGGCACTGACGGCATGAGCAAGGAGGCCATCATGGCCGAGAACCGCAAGAAAATGATGGCACGCATCAAGGGCGGGGGCAAGAAGGGTGAGCATTTCCCCCGGCAATGCAATGGCCACCCCACCTTATTATGGGTTGGTTTGTCTGTGGTGCGTGTGTGATTGGATTGCAGGGTCTGCTGACACGGGCAAGCAGGACAAGGGGCAGGAGGGGGGCGAGGGGGACTCGCCGCAGGAGGGCAAGAAGGGCAAGAAGGTAGACAAGACACACGCAAACGAACGGACGTACACTTCGGCAGCACACGGCAGCACTGCGCACGAATGATATGCCCCTTCTCCCCTTGATTGATTGTGTCGCTGGGCTGGGTGTGGTGTGGTGTGGTGCAGAAAGCCCCCCGGTTCTGGAGCGAGCAGAAGGTGACGAGTCAGAACATGCGGGCCCTGGACTACTCGCTCAAGGGCAAGGACGAGGAGGGAGTCGACACAGGCAAGCCGGTGGCCGTGGGGGCCGTCGACCGCTCCGCATACATTGACGACGACGCCGAAATGGAAATGGACGAAGCAGACGACAATGACGGTCAGACATATTCAACCACACACACACACATACACACACACACACACACCCCACTAACACATGCACATGTGCATACGAATGCTTTCCCTCGTGTGTATGTGTGGTTCGCCCAGATCCCCTTGCCTCTGACGAGGAGGAAGAGGAGGAGGGCGACAGCGGCACCAAGGCGGCGTCAGGCGCCATCGGCGGCCTCTTCAAGCGACTCACGGACTCGGTGCAAAACATTACCGGTACGCACACCCCCATCCATCCAGCCGCCCATCCACCCACACTCAGTGCTTGACTGCATCGCACCATCCATCGCTCTGCTCCCCTGCTGCCTTGTGCACTGCAGGCAACAAGGTGTTGACGGACGAGGACATCAATACGGTGTTGGTGGACTTCAAGACCAACCTCATGGCCAAGAACGTCGCCACTGACATCGCTGAGAAACTCGCACAGTCCGTCAAGACCTCACTCATCGGCCAGCGCACCGAGAGATTCACCACTGTGCGAGCCACCGTCAAGAAGGCACTCACCGAGGCCGTGCAGCGCATCCTGACGCCCAAAAAGTAATTAACCAGAGACGAAAGAAACGGGTGGCTATAATCGACCTGACCTGCACTGATCGTGCCTCTGGTGTGTCGTTTGTTTTGTGAAGGTCGGTGGATGTGTTGCGTGCCGCGTTGGAGGCCAAGGCACAGGGCCGGGTGTACTCGATCGTATTTCTGGTCAGTAATCCAGGGGGATGGTAGAGTACACACAGCAGCCGGCCCGGCCCACACGCGGCCAGGACCTGCCTGCCTCCCTCCCTCCCTCCTCGTGTGTCACGATCCTTCCTTGCTTCCTTGCCTGCTTCCTGTGCAGGGTGTGAATGGTGTGGGCAAGTCGACCAACCTTGCCAAAGTCTGCTACTACCTCAAACACGTACGTACCTTTACACACACACATGCAGACAGACCAGGCGGACACACGGTCAGCAGTGAGTGCATCTGGCCGTATTTGTCTCTGTACGTGTCACTGACTGCATCTTCGAATGGTATCTGCAGAAGGGCGGGCTGAAGGTCATGATCGCAGCCTGTGACACATTCAGAGCGGGGGCCGTCGAACAGCTCCGCACACACGCACGGTAAGAGATTATGTCTAGTACACACGAGGGAGGAGGTGACAAGAACACGCCGTTTCCCTCTCTGACTGTGATGTGAAATCAGTTGTTTGGAGGTGGACTTGTTCGAGCGCGGTTACGGCAAGGATGCCGCATTCATCGCAAAGGAAGCCATACAAACGGTTCGCGCACACGACACGGCGTACACGAGGAAGCAGTCCACTTAGTTACTTGATGCCCTCACTGCACCCCCCCTGTGTGTGACGGGCCCTGACCGGCAGGCTGGCAATGAGGGATACGATGTGGTGCTGATTGACACGGCGGGTCGGATGCAGGACAACGAACCCCTCATGAGAGCCCTCGCCAAACTCGTGGCCGTCAACAACCCCAACCTCATCCTATTCGTCGGTCAGTCAGTGATTTCAACACAATACAACACAACCTAACCGGCCAGAAGACTCACCCCAGACCACACACCTGACCTGCACTCCACGCGCGTGTGTGTAGGTGAGGCTCTCGTCGGCAACGATGCCGTAGACCAGCTGCAGAAGTTCAATCAGTGCCTTGTGGATATGTCCCATGTCAGTAGAGGCCAAGGAGAACCACACACTCGGCTGCACTGCACTGCACGAGTATGGCACACTGGGCTGTCTTCTCTGGTTTGCGTTGCGTTGCAGACATCGAAGGTCCGCACCATCGATGGAATCCTACTCACTAAATTCGACACAGTCGATGATAAGGTAAGGTACCCTACCACCGCCTGGCCAACAACACATCGATCCCACTTGCGTGACATGACGTCCACAATCCTCGTGCGTGTGAGTTTAATTAGGTTGGTGCGGCGTTGTCGATGGTGTATATCACCGGCCAGCCTGTCATCTTCGTCGGCACGGGGCAGAAATACACTCACCTGCGCAAACTCAATGTAAGCCAAGCCAAGCTACCCTCCTCTTCAGGGCGCTTCTGCCTATGTCATCCATCCCATCGGACGTGTTTGCTGTGGCGGTGTGCAGGTGAATACGGTCGTCAAGGCCCTGTTGGGGTAGAAATCGCACCCGTCGATGTGATACCCACCTGTGCATGTCTTCGTGCCTGGTTGCCTGCCTGTCTTCATGGCGTGGATGGATTTTTGAGAGGGGAGGAGACTGCTGGCTGTCCTTCCCGCCTGCCTGCCTGCCTGCCTGCATGTATGAGTGGGTGAATCAGCTCTCCGGTCAAACAAGGCCATCCTCCCTGCCAAGTGGACAGGACGGGACTGCTTTCAATTCAGCCGCAGCCAACACAATGCTCACGAGTGTGTGCCCATGTCGCGTGTGTGTGGGTGAGTTGTACGTTGACCTGCTGGCCATGCATTCCATCCCGCTGCTGAAATCTCATGATGATGCGATGCATGAAGCGAATGAAAGTCCCACCATCAGCACCCACCATGAATGAACCGATCGGTCGCCACGCACCACGCAAGCAAGCATGTATCCACGCATCCATCGCATGCACCGCACCGTGTCTGCCAGCACCCGAATGGCACGATAGATACAGCCGTCACATCATACTGCACGGCATGCATCGCACCACTCGTTCTAGCTAGCACACGAATGCACCACACTCTCCACCAGCACGCACGATGGAGGCTCCTCCGGTAGGTAGGTTGGTGTCTTGGGTTGGCCAGGCCATTCACCAGTCGCCAGCCCCCTCCTGGGCTGCACAGAGGACACGCACACACATCCACGTGTCGTGTCGCTGTGTGTGTCACAAGTAGGTACCCGTTCCAGTGGCTGCCCATTCCTCTCCGGCTGCGCCTGTCCACTGCTCGGCTCCAGTGCCGCCCCACTCCTGTGCGGTCTCGCCGTGCCACTCCTCAGCGGGGGCCGCAGCCCAATCAGCAGCACCCGGGATCTCCGCCTCCTCCTGCAACGCAACGCAAGGCAAGGCAGCCACACATACGCACATACGCAGTCATGATGAGGGGAAGGGGAGGAAGGTCGGTAGGTGGGCAGCCAGAGTGCTTTGCGGCGGACCTCTTCCTTCTTTTCAAACTCCTCGGGGTCGCGCCAGAAGAACATGTCCACCATCACGTCCCACTGCTGGCCCCTGAGAATAGCCAGCCAAGGAGGGGAAAAACCAGACAGACCATACGTAGGAGAGGAGGGGAGGTCGGTTGGTCGGTCCGATGTCGGCTGACCTGGGGATCTGTCCGCGGAGGTAGAGGACCTCACGGGCCAGAAGCCAGTACAGCAGCGCAATCGACTCCTTGCCCTTAACATAGCACATAGTGAGTGACGCACACAGCAGTCGAACGTAGGCCCGTGTCGTGGTGTGTTGTTTGCTTTGCTGACTTACCCTGTTGTTGGCCGGTATGGCGATGTCGACGTGCGAGAGTGGCGAGTCGGTGTCGCAGAAGGCTATCACCGGGATGTTGGCGTACGCCGACTCACGCACAGCCTGCATGTCCACCAGCGGGTCAGTCACGATCAACAGACGAGGCTCCATAAACCTGTTCAAACACATCACACACGACACACATTCGGTTTCCTTCCCCCGTCTGTCATCCACAGTGTGTGGTGTGGTGGACCTGACCTTTGCTTACTTTTGTGTGATTTGGTTGGTGAGTGCTCCGGGTGTCCATCTGCCGCTGACGCTCTGAGCACCGGTGTGCTGGGCGAACTTGAAGATGGCCCTTTGACCGTAGGGTCGTGCGGACACCACCACGACGTCAGCGGGGTTCTCAATGGCGACGATGACCTTGGCGGCCACCATGAGCTTCTCCCACGTCTTGCCCAGGTTGATGATGTGCACGCCCTCGTTGGTGCGCTTGTAGACGTAACGCTTCATCTGGTGGTGGATATTGCGTGTACCCAAATGGGTCTGACACACATCAGTCACACACAAATGGTGGCGTGGCGTGGGGATGCCCCCTCTCCCCTGATCTGGTCACTCACGGACCTTGCACGCGAGCATCTTGCAGATGTCATCCTGCTTCTGCGTCAGCTCCGGCTGCGCCATCTTGGTCACACGCGAACACACAGACGACAATCACGAGGAGGCAGCCTGGCAAGTGCCAAGACAGCAACCCACACGCACGGAGAGGTGAAGTGCTCCTGGACTGGCTTTTCGTCTGGCTGCTTCTCCTTGCTCCACTGCCTTGCTGTCGCCCTGCCTACCGTCCTCAGATCCCTTCAACACTCCATCCGTGCCAGATCTGACGAGAAGCTCGCAAGCGCGGCGGATCGGTTGCGGCCACTGGTTCAGATCTGCCACCCCCGAGGCTTGATTTTCTAGGCTTTTCATAGGCCTGTAACTGATTTTCGAGGACTCTGGAAGCCCACCGACTTCGCTCTTCTCAGACACAAAGATGCTGAAGTTCGGCGTTCTCCTTGCGCTTGTCGCCCCCTGTAAGAAGCAGATGGCCGATACATACACGAGGCGCTGACGCAGATGCATGTGTCTGTTGCTGTGATGTGCAGGTTTCTGCAAGCATCTCGAGCCTGCGTTTGTCTCGGGTGTGCCGTCGGTCCGCGGCGGCCGTCCCGGCAGCAGTCGTCTGCTGGCCACTGCGACGAGTGTGAAGCCCAGCGTGTATGAGGAGTTCGGCGTCACCGATGTCCTCAACGCCAAGCCATTCAGCCTCCCGCCCCTCCCATGGGTAAGCGACCGACCCGACAGTGCGCCGGCGGGAGCACTGGATGTGGTGCTTGTCTTTTGCCGTGGTCCCCCAGGATCCAATGTCGCTGGGCGGCATTTCGAAGGAGACCATCGCCTACCACTACGGCAAGCACCACGCCACATATGTGCGGAAGCTCAATGGTGAGGGGATGGTGATTGATCAAGTCTCATGACAGCCTGTGTGCGGAGCTATCTATGCCTCCCTTGCCATTCATTGCAGGCATCGCCAAGGAAAAGCCCGAGATTGCAGCCATGTCACTGGAAGGTAGGCAACACTCGCATCATATCATCGTCAAACCATCCACACACGGCCCTCTCCCTCTCCGTGACCTTCTACACAGACGTGGTCAAGAAATCCGACGGTGCTGTGTTCAACAACGCGGCTCAGATCTGGAACCACAACTTCTATTGGAACTGCTTGAAGCCCAACGGCGGCGGGACGCCCACCGGCCCCATCGCACAGAAGATCAACGAGGCGTTCGGCAGCTTCGAGGCCTTCAAGGAGCAGTTCAGCGCTCGGGCTGCGGGGCACTTCGGCAGCGGCTGGGTGTGGCTGGTGCAGGGGGCTGACGGCAAACTCAACATCGTCGATGGACACGATGCTGCAAATCCTGTCCGGTGAGATGACAGAGCGGACACGAAGAAGCTCAGCTCATCTGTACGCCTCGCCTGTTGGTGTGGTGTGTGCTGTGCAGTGATGGCGGCGACAAGCCCGTGATGGTGATTGATGTCTGGGAGCACGCCTACTACATCGACTTCCGCAACGCCAGACCCAACTACATCAACGGTGAGTCAGACAACCGCACCGCACCGCACCGCACCGCACCCCACGAAACGCAAGGCTTTGCTTCCTGGAACCAATCGATTTCGTTGCCTTATTTCTCTTCAGCGTTCTTCGATTCCATCAATTGGGACTTCGTCAACTCGCAGCTTGCCTGAAGCAGGCAACGTGCGCTGCAGTGTGGTGGAGTGGAGTGGGGGGGCTGCCTGGCTCGTATGCGGGTTCCGCCTGCATTGCAATGCTGCCACAGGCAGATAGACAGATAGATTGATAGACGGGTTGTGGTTTGCACCATGTAGTCAGTTAGGACTGTGTGTTGGTGATGATGATGCGGACAACAGAGGTTTGCCGGCATGTGGCGTGGCGTGGCGTGGCGTGGCGTGCAGTGGTGTTTGCTCAAGCACTTGCCTGAGACAGAGTTTTTCGACACGTAGCAAACACATGAGGAAGGCTTTATGACTGAGGGCTACATGTCAAGGGCGCAGAGCCAGCCTTCTCAGAGGTCGAGTCGACAATTATTGTCCGATCCACTCACTACCATGCGACACCCTTGATGAACTTACTACAGTCGAATCGACCAACCCACTTCTCTCCCTCCCGACGACACAACATAACATGGCAGTAGCAGCCCACAGCGCCGAGTTTGCGCAGGTCAGTATATGGCGCAAGGCATATTCTCGGCGAGAGCCACAGCCAGACACGCAGACACAAGATGCTTAAAGGGAAGAGGACCTGATGCAAACGCCGCTCAAGAAGAAGAAGAGAAGAAGAAGAAGAAGAAGAAGAAGAAAAAACAGAGCGACCAACCGACCGCCAAGAATCCCGACAGAAAGACGGACAGACAGATACAAGAGAGGGACGAAAATCAGTCACGACATCCATGGGTGGCCAATTAGGCCGTCCCTCTCTGTCGTTTCGGTCGCATATCGACACATGACATGGAGGCCGTCGGGGCGCAAACAGACAGAAGGCGGCAGGGTCTTGAAAAAGCTCGAGAACTAAAAAGAGCAGGCAGGACAGACAGACAGACAGACAGACGGGGGGGCAATAGACAGACAAGAGACACACATCCATCACATCAAGCACCTAGTGAGCCAGTTCGTGCAGTGAGTGCACCAATTCTCTCTCATTATCCGTAGCTAGCTAGCTAAAACTACCTACACCTGCACAAGGAGGCGTGCGTGGCGTACCGGTTGCCGTCACATCACTTGCGCTGTGCGCGATGGTGAACAGCCCGCCTGGCTGTCTGCACACATGCACCGCACCGCAACACACACCAGTACACGTAAGCAACGTACTTAGATACACACATTTTCACACCATACGTACGTATACACACTAGCTGACTAAGCATGCACTGCACATTCACACGCGACCAAATCATGCACTACACATCATGTCAAGGAAGGGAAGGAACACAGCCCCATGAATGAAATGTGGCCCCTTCCCCTCAGACCAGTGAGTCGTCAGATCTCTTGGTGTCCGAGCCCATGTCGGTGCTCTCAGCGGCGTCCATCTCGGTCGCCGCCACCTCAAATGTCATGCCGGTCTTCTTGAGTCGCTTGATCAGTGTGGGGCCGAAGGCTACGGCGGGAGTCAGCACCCCGCAGGTGGATGGAATGGTCGGTGCGTCGAGGGCAGCGCACAGCGCACTTTCACACAGCATCTTGGCCGTCTGACGGACAGATGCGGACGGAACACGCGTGTAGTGTAAACGAACAAAGCAGTCATTTTTTCGTTCTGCGTGCGCACCCCATCGTAGCCGGGGTCCTCGTTGATGCCGACTCGCCCCGTGATTTTGTGGTACTTGCCGACCCCATCTCTGACAGTGCCCACAATGTCGCCAGCGAAGCAGCACAGCCGGCGGATGAAGGCGGGAGGGCCCCAACCTGGCCAACAGACAGACACCGGAAGAGAAGGAACGACATGAGGAAGATCCAGAGGAGGATATGATGCATGCCGGCTGGCAACTGTCGCCCCACCTGGCCGCAAGAGGGCCTTGACGATCCATCTGGCAGCTGGGAAGGCAATCAAGACAGCCTCGCACAGGAGGGTGAACCACGCGAAGAGGCGGGCGACGATCATGTTTCGCACTGCCAGACACTCGCCATAGTCGAATTCCGAGCCGTACACAGTCGGCAGCAACGCCGCAGTGCGCCTGACAGAAGAAAGACCACGTTTTCTGTCCTGTCTGCATAAGCCCGCCCGACACACGGTGTGGCAGTGGTTGGGTTGGCCTCACTTGACGATCTTGGTGTTGGTTGGGGCCATGATGAAGGGAGCTGCGTATGCACCGAAGTTGGGATCCCACGCGCACTCTTCGCGACACAGCATCCATCCACTGAGCCTGAAAACGCAACGCAACCATGTAGGCGGATTTCATTCATCTCGATTGATTCATTTGCTTTGTGTCGTGTCCGTGCTGTGCTTGGCCCAGCCCACTTCATGGTCTCTTGGGTGACACTCTCCTCGATGGTCATGGGGTCGACCAGGTACGTGTCCTCGTTGCGCACTTGCCGCACCGCCAGCGGGAAGCTGAACAGCTCTATCAGAGAGTGAACGGTGCCGCCAGAAACAAGCCCAATCAGACGTGTCAGGCCGTAGCGGATTCGCTGACACGGGTGGCCGAAGTGCTCCTTGGCGTATGCTTGCACCTGACAAGAGCAAAAGCAGATAGATACCGCTGGCCGCCATCTGTAGGGTGGGTGTGGTCTGCGTGTGGTTGTGTGTGGCTGACTCACCATGAAGGTGCCCATGTCGGACGGCACCGAGTCGAAGCCGCACGCGTGGACTATTTTGGCCCCATTCTCCTCAGCCAGCGACGAGTACTGGACACACACAGAGAGACGGTACATCCATCGATTCATCTGTCTGTCTAAGTTCGGTCGGACGGCTGTCCAGCTAGCTAGATCACCTTGACAATCATCCTCCGCATGAATGGGTACTCGGCAGTGATATCGACGTAGTGGGTGCCCGCTTCGGCACACGCCTTGACAAGGTTCTGACAGACAGAAGCCAGGCAGCCGAATGAACACAGGACCTGTGCATCTCTGCGCTGCCTCCACTCCACTGACCTCTCCAGACTTTTCGAAGGGGCCCACGAGGGAGGCCACCACTCTTGTCTGCTTCGCGAGCCGTTGCATCGATTCCTCAGATCCCGCATTGCCGATCACGAGAGGCGTGTCCAGGAACCTCTTGTCTGCCGTCTCCTGCGCCAGGTCCTCTCGCAGCTTGGTGAGCTTGGCCTCTGATCTTCCTCCGAGCGCGTACTTCACAGAATGGCCTGACGGACCGTAGTTCTCGGCGAGATAGTTACTGAGGAGCTTGCCTGCAGCCGGCAAACGCAGCCATTCTCAAGCAGATCAGTGCGAGTGTGCACATCTTTGACCAGACCTGTGAAGCCAGTTGCTCCCCAGACAATCAGATCATGCTGCCGACTGGCGCGCTCATCATCGTGCGGAGACGGAACCATTTTGCTTCTCCTCCCTCTGGCCTGGCTGCTGCGAGCTTGGCAAAGATCTCTCTATGTGGGTTACGTGTGGAGGGGACAAACCTCCTATGCGGATCATACGCTTTCCGTATGCGGATCCATCTAACGAAGGAATGAAAGAATGAACGATAAAGCGTGTGTTCTCTTCCGCCTCTCTCGATAAGGTGCGATGAGAGAGAGGAGGCGATGATGCCGCGGTGATGGATTGTCTGCCTGGTTGCGTGTGCTGCAGGCTGCGATGAAGAGGCTGTGACTCACTCTCGCTCGGCAAGCGGCTCACAAACTCCGCTTTCCACCCCGCCCGCCGCCTATGTGCTAGTCATTCAGCACCCGAGCGGCCAGTCGGGCTGGTTGTTCTGGAGAGGGCCGCTGATGTTTCTACCTCTCGAGAAATAGCTTCATCGCACCGTTGAGAACGAACGTATCAGGTGTCACTGAACTCACCCGCCAGCTGAGCGCCTTCACTCATTCATTCATCTGCTGTGGACGTGTGGTGTGTGCAGATGGCTGGCACGACCGGCACATCGTTTCGTTTGATCCATCAGTCGAGGGTGTTCGACGTGCCCTCGACGGTCGACCAGAAGGCCGAGGTGCTGAAGCAGGTGCCCGTTGCTGCAGAGGAGGGACAGCCGGGGCCGCTGGCGAACTTGGAGGATATCGGGCCGATGGAGGTGTCCAGCTACCTGATGCTGGATCAACAGGGGTTCACGGTATGGTGTACCCGATTGCAGGTCAGCAGGCAGACAGACACACAACGGACAACAGCTGCAATGACACTGACCTATGTCATTTCCTTCCTCAGGAGCTGGGGTCGGTTCTCGAGGCACGAGGCTGTCGTCGGTCCCTCAAGTCGCTGAAGGTCAAGTTCGTCGACGAGACGGTTGTGGTCCCAAGGCTTTTCCAGTTTGCCGAGGCCCTGCAGACATTCGTCATCGCGGTGTGCATCGGGGACGCCCCCATCAGCTTCACCAGTGCGGCTCCGCGGTTTCACCTGGACCTGAGCCTCCTGCACAGCCCCCTCTTCCCTTCTGCACCCTCCCCCGTCCTCGAGACCCTCATGCGCCAGCTGGCAGACCAGGCGAGACAGGTGACAGTGGACACCAGGTCGGCCGACCTCGCCACCCCGCCCACACCTGCGATGCTCGACATGGCCAGAGACCTCGCATTCAACAAGGCCACGAGTGTGCATGTGTTCGGTGTCGACCAGCCTGCACAGGCCGCCCCCGCCCCCGCCCACCCTGACCTCGCCATCATCGACCGGATCCAGCTGATGCCGCAACCGTCGCAGCTGGTTCTCGACAAGCACACGGCATTGGCGGCCGGCACCCAGCTTGCCAGCAAGATGCCCAACTTGCGGGAGCTCTATATAGATAACACGACCGAGGAGCGGGCAGCGGAGGCCATCACTGCGATCGGGTGTGAGCGGGAGCCCGACGTGGTGGCCGTGAGTGATATTCGGGAGGTGGGCAGCGGGGCCATCGACATAGGGGAGCATAGAGAGGGATTCCCACAGATCAATGAAGTAGTTGTCGTACTCATTGGAGGGTAGGCAGCCCCACGGAGAGAAAAAGGGACACCCAGAGAGACCTGTATGTGTCTGTGTCTGTGTGTTTGTGCCTGTCTGTGCGTCTGTGTGTCCAATTCATCAGTTCCTGGTGGCGGCACCGACCTTGTCAAGTTCGCCTGTTCGAGCATGAGGTCGCTGCTGCAGCTCAACTGCGAGACGGTGGTCCTCCTGATGGACCTGCTGGCCAAAACACGTATCAATTTGAGCATCAGACAGGTCAACCAGGGGGGCAGAGTGACGTGACCATTCTGGGTGAGGGATGCGACAGGCCGCGGAGGTCTGGTGGTCGATGCATGCAATCATGTGGTGCTGATTGATGTGATGTCAGTGACTCGCGTGCATTTCCTTGACAGCAGATTCCGTGTGTCCATGTGTGCATGCATCAGTAGTCACACTCCTAAGCAATCAGTCCGATGCCCACACACATCCACACAACAAACGCACACACCCATGACAGTCAGCCGATCCTCACCATTCAGAAAAGGCAATCTGCCGACTGGCCGTAGCGATTGCTTACACACGCACATGCACACACACACACACACACACACACACATCTCACAGCATGCAGGAATCCTCGTACCTTGCAGGAATCCTCGTACCTTGGATTAGTGTCCGCTCATCCTATGAACACACAGACGACGCAACACACGAGTGAGCAGTGGGATGCTTCTTTGGTCGCGACGCACCTGTTGAAGCAAACGTCCATGGTGAAGCCCGTGTATGACTGCTCCTTCTTGTGCTTGAAGAACGGCCGCACGCACTCGGGTATGTTGTCTACCTGCACATGCAAGAAGCCAAAGGCACACGTGCATTCCCCGCGTCGCCCGCGTGGTCGATCCCGCCCCCGCCCGCTCACGTGTATGCAGTAGGTGCCCGCGTGCCGCCCTCGTCCTGAGTGACAACGAAACCCGTCCACCCCTCCGGCCAAAGCTCGACCTCGATGGCCGTGGGGCGGTCCTTGCCGGTCGGCACGTTGCCATCCTCATCGGCCAGGGGGCCGCTCAGCCGACGCGTGAGCTCCTTGATGAGCCCCGCCGTCATAGAGAGGGGGAGGGAAGGGCGGCAGATCATTGTCCCCCTGAGCACCAGTCGTTGACGAGTGCTGGGCAGCTGCAGCCGACTGCCTGAGGGAGGGGGATGTGCTGATGGGACGGACGAACGCCGCTTGGGATGCCTGGAGAGCTGCTGTGGCAAGCGATGGGGCGGGACGGACAAGTGCGCACCGAAGCATGGTGAGGTGTTGGCGAAGGGCTGTGCAGCGCGTGAGCGACGACACAGACGCCTTCATCGTCACTTCGGGACTCCTCGGAACCGAGATGAGTCCCGAATACGAGCTCCACTCAAGGCAGATCTTCACTGCATGAAGCCAATTCGCGTCGTCGTGCTTTGAAAGTCCACTGGAAGGGTTAGGGTTTTGCAGGGTTAGGGTTTGAAGACCGAACGAGCTCTGCAGTTTCGACTCCGTTTGTTCCTCGTTCCTAGTTTTGAAGTTGCTCGTGACTCCACGTGCTCCAGGCTGCCTAGGCTTAGCGACGGGTAGCCCTCACGCACCTCCTCAGGCCAAGCCAGGTGGGTGCATCGCACATCGGGCAGACAGGGGTGTGCTGATCCATCCGGGCGGGGAGCTAGGCGTGTAGGGAGAGACGCAGCGGATCAGGGGCGCACGAGCGAGGGCGAGAAGGGGAGATCCTCGCAGGACAACTCATGCATTCGCGCATGTGTGTTTTTGGTGCGCATGTCTGTCCAGGTTGGCGACGTGTTGAGGTTTACCGAGGAGCACTGAGCTAGGCGGTCACGGCGAGGGCCTTCCCAACAGGCTGCGCACCATGTCAGACCACGAAACCGGCGAACAAGGTACGGAGACGGGCACGGGTGGCACGCGCACAGACCAAGGCACCTCCCCCCGGCCACGCCAGCCCGCCATCTCATCACACACCCTCTAGCGCCGACACCACACACCACCGCACACCCATACGCAGCCAAAACACACCTCCACACACCGCACCACACGCCACACGTGTCTCGCGTCCAACATGGTGTTGTGTGTGTGTGCGCGTGTGGTGCGCGTGTGTGCAGACCCCTCCCCTGTCGGTCAAGACGGTGGCGACTCCCCTGAGGCGCAGCAACAGCATCCAGCGCCCGAGAACGGCCACATCACCACCACCGAGCACCAGGAGGTGGTTGTCGTCGACGGAGACCAGCAGGGAGAGGGCAACGATGGCAACCAAGACCAGCAGCAGGAGGACCCCGAGAGCAAACCACACGAGCAGCCCGGTGAGTGGGGGGGAAGGGGGATGGTGTAGACCAGTCACACACACACACACACACGTGGTCAGAGGGGTCGCACCCCACCACGTTGGGGTCAGCATCACGTCAGAGAAGCCTCGCCACCACCGCCGCACACCCCTCCACACCACTACACCATCACACAACACCATATCACCCCTGTGCAACACGTTTCCCGTCCTCTCCCCCTCTCTGTGTGTTTGTCCTGTGTGCAGCTGGTGTCACTGTGTTGGAGGACGAGTCACCGGCCGTCCAGCCAGAGGACAGCAGCCAACCCCGTCAGGAGTTCACGACACCTCCCGCTCCCGCAGAGGAGGCCGAACAGCACACCGGACAGCAGGCCGACCAACAGCCGCAGCAGCAGCAGCAGCAGCAGGAGTTCCAGACACACACAGACCTGGTGGAGTGAAGGACGCACACACAGAGCCATATGCATCACTATATGCATCACTATGGCTCTCTTGGTCGCTTGTCGGTTCGTTTCATTCATCAGGCGACGTCGTCATCGGATCAGGACCGCTCCACCATCAGCCCTCCGCCCCTCTGGTCCGTGGAGATCAGCGAAGCGGCCCACTCGCGGGCCACCAGACAGGCACTCCTCTCGCAGATCACCGACTCCACTCGCGACGCTGTGCTGCAGTGCGTCAAGAAGGAGATCGACCGCCTGATGGAAGACAACGGCCTGAAGAACGTCATCACACTCTCCCCGGCCTCACATCCCTCGACCTGCTGCTGGATCTGGTGTACATCATCGACAACAGCGGCGAGTGGGCGGGGTGGGAGCCCATAGTGAGGGTGGCCAAACACCAGGGGCGGGTGGAGCGGTCGCCGATAGAGCTGACCAGTGCTGATGTGGAGGCGGTGGGCAGCCGGGCGGTGTTCGACGGCCGGTGTGAGGCGCTGCGCCAGCTCTCACTCATCCAGCGGCACCTCGGTGTGACGCTCGGGCGCGACAACAACGGTGAGGAGCAGCTGGATGGGCGGCGGCTGACCATTCGCCCACTGCACACGCTGCCGGACGACCTTCCCTTCCGCGACCCGGCCAACCCCGTGTGTGCGTATGATGGTGAGGGGGAGGGGGCAGAGCTATAGGAGAGGGACCATTGGGTTGTGTGTGTGTATTGCTGTGTGCAGGTGTTGACTATGTTTCAGTTCGCGACGCTGTGTCGTGTCGGTGAGAAAGATGAGGAGAATGACACACACGATCACATAAAACAAATTGGCTGCACCGCTCTGCCATGATGTGTCTGACCAGGATGGCAGCTGCACCTGCTCCACCTGCTGCAGGTTCGGCGATGGGCTACCTTTCGCAACACAATGGTACACACACACATCTAGACAGAGCACGCGGCATACAAGTGCACCGGTCGTTCGACTCACTTCTCCCTGTTTTGTGTGTGTTGTCTGGGGCGTGGAATGGTGTCAGCTCCGATGTTGATGGATGCTGCCAAGGCCAAGGCCAAGGCCAAGTTCATGGCTGCACCCAAGCCAATGGCGAAGGCCAAGGCCAAGGAGAAAGGTCAGTCAGTGAGTGAGTGACATCACACGACAACATGCCATGCCGTCCAACACTCCAGGCGGTGATTTGATGGACATAGACAGCGGTGGCGGTCTCACACGCCGCGCCGCCGACCTGCCGCAGCCACAGGTACCCCATTCACTCACTCGTTCATTTGGTCGATTGGTTTGTTGGTTCCATCCATCCATCCATCCATCAGATGCTGCCGTCTTCCCACGAGCGCTACAAGACCGGCACGCGTGTGCTGCTGACGTCGAGCACCAGAAGGGGTGCCAATAAGAGCTATGTGTGGCTCAAGGCCGACGTCTATCGCACTGAGGAAGCCGGCGGGGCGACGAGAGTGTCCATGAGGGAAATAGAGGGGACAGAGGAGTTCACTGTGGTGGTGCCGCACCAGGCCAAGGCATCGCCGCACGGCCAACAGGTACTTACGTCTGGGAGTAGGCAGAGCTGCCTCCACCTCCACTGCTTGAATGATCCTGTGTGTGTTCTGTCTGATGTGATGTGTGTGCAGGTCCACAAGGGCTTCAGGTTCGTTGAGAACGTACCAGTGGAGCAACCTGTAGATGAGGATACCGACAACAGCATGGTACTCAGGCAGCCACAGACACACGAATGAAGCAAGCAGCCCACACCGCCTCCCTCCTCTCCGCTGGTTGCCTTGTTGTTCTGTCTGGCCATCAGCCTCGCCTGTTTAAGCTGCTCGAGGAGGTCGAGAAGGGGGTCCTCTTCCCCCTCCTCGGCGGCGACCTTGCCGTCAGCCTCGCCCGCATCCGCACCACATGCCGCCTTGGCCGAGAGCGGGTCTCTGCGGACCTGCTCAGATCGCTGATCGACGCCCAGCTCGCTGCCAAAGACATCCAGGACATCATCAGCTACGATCTGCCATCCGTCGGCCATCTGCTGCGGCTGGTGTACTTCATCGACAACAGCGGCGAGTGGGAGGGGTGGGAGCCCATAGTGAGGGTGGCCAAGCACCAGGGGCGGGTGGAGCGGTTGCCGATAGAGGTGGGCAGTGCTGATGTGGAGGGGGTGAGCAGCCGGGCGGTGTTCGACGGGCGGTGTGAGGCGCTGCGGCAGCTCTCACTCATCCAGCGCCATCTCGGTGTGACGCTCGAGCGCGTCGACGGCGAGGAGCGGCTGGGTGTGCACCGGCTGACCATCCGCACACTGCACACGATGTGGGCCGACCACCCCTTCCGCAATGGATATGACCCGAAGAACCCCGTGTGTGAGTACTATGGTGAGGGGGGAGGTAGGGAAAGGGCAATGGGCAACGGACCATCAGGCTGTGTGTGTGCATGTCTGTGTGTAGGTATTGAGTTTTTTTCAGTCCGCAACACCGTGTTGTATGAGTGAGAAACATGAGGAGAATGACACACACGATCACATTAACACATTGGCTGCACCGCTGTGCCATGATGTGTCTGACCAGGATGCAGGATGCGCGACCACCATGCGGCCAGGTCGCGAGCAGACGCTCCCGCAGCATGAAGATCCCTCAAGCTACAACCGACTGGTCAGGGAACACACCCACGATTGCCTCACCAGCTGTCCCACTCACTCATTGTCATATCCTTTTCCCTTCAGCGGCAGCTCGCCACTCAGCCGCCGCCCGTCTGGGGCTGCCACACCATCAGCACCACAAGCCGCGGCCGCATGATAGTGCTGCATGGCGACCAGCCGGACCACACATTCGCGGCACATCTCTACGTCGATGGAGGCTATGCAACCGTCTACCTCCGCACGACGGAGCCGCCGATGGCTGGCAAGGAGGGAGCCGCCAGATTCCCCCAGACAGTGAAGGTGGTGCGGGAGGTGATGGGAGCCGCCGACGCCGTGAGGATGTTCGGCAGCCAGCTAGATGTAGCCCTCCCCCCAGCTGATGGTGGTGGTGGTGGTGAGGGTGGCGGGCAGAGTGCAGGCAAGCACAAGGAGGGGCGGCACACGGATGAGCAATGAATGGATCAGTGTGGATCATCTCGGTATGTCGGTCGGATGAATCGGTGTGTGTGGCGTTGTGCAGAGGAGGGTGCGGATGACGTCGATGGCGATAGTAGTGAGGGTAAGTGGTGTGTGTGGTGCCCAGCCTGCCTTGCTAGGTGTCTTGCTCATATGTATGTATGTGTGTGTGCAGAGGATGACGATGACAGTGCGGATGACGGCGACAGCGATGAGGGTGAGTGGAATACATGTGTGTGTGTGGTTGGGCCCACTTTCATGTTTGTGTGTCTTGAGTATGCTTGTGCAGACATGGATGCCGACGTCGATGGAGAGGGCAATGGCGATAGTGGCGACAGGAGGAGGGTGAGTGTGCAGCCAGCCGCCTCCATCTCGGTAGGTCGGCTGGATGAATCGGTGTGTGGTTTGTGCAGAAGAGGGTGCGGACGAGGATAGTGACGATGACGACGATAGCGATGAGGGTGAGGAGTCAGAGGAGTCAGTGGGGGGCGGTGTTTGTGTCTGGGCTCACTTGTACGTTTGCACATATGTTGCGTGTGCAGATCTGGATGGGGAGGGCGATGCCGATGATGGCGATGGCCAGCAGCAGCCGCAGGAGGAGGAGGAAGAGGAGGAGGAAGAGGGTGAGATGGGGGGAGGGGATGAGCCAGATCAGCGTGACATACACGCATTCCTTGTGTGCGTCATGGCTATCTGTGATGTCTGCCTCAATGTGTCAGGTGAGGGTGTGGAGAGGGAGGCCAAGAGAAGGAGGCTGGAGGACAGCTAGATGGCACAGCGGCTGTTGATCGACTGCGACACTGGTCGGTGGTGAATGGATGGATGGATGGATGGACCTGTCTGCATGTCCTGCTTACATCCGATGTATACATAGGATAGGACCTGCCTCCATGCCTTTTCCAATGCAATGCATCTCCGCAAAAGAACGAACCATTCCATTCGATCGGTCAGCCATCAAAGGTTTGCTGCGCCATCCCCACGCACAGCGCACACGTACTCATCGCATCGACAGCCAGACAGACAGACAGACATGCAATCAAAGCACACGAACGAACATGTTTTAGTAGGGCTTCTGATGAGGCTTAGGAAATGCATGGACGCAAAATGGCGCCAGGCAATCAACGCAGCGCAGCAATCCCCCAAAACCGGCAGCCCTCTTGCTGCCAGACACACACACAAGGTTCGTGGATGCACTGCACCTAGCTACGCGAGAAGGGCACGGCACTCACACGTACAGGCATTCACGGTCAAAAAAGTGATCCGATCTGCCTGCAGAGTACGCCGCCACCAATCGAGAAACAACTGGCTGGCCCAACCATTCCGGACCGTCCCCGTCAGTCAGTTACCTGGCTACCGCTATACAACACAGCACCACCCCTCGACTCGACGCATGCACAGCACATGCACAACAAACTCACGCACGCACCGCACCCCGGGTCGGCCACCCTCCCCGCCCTGCCTACACTGTCTTCCTCTGCGCGAGCGCAAACCCCAGCAGCCCGGCGGCCAGGCTGCATGTAACCGCCATGCCGCCCATCAAGGCGACCGATGGAGCGACAGCTGGTGCCGCGCCGCCCTTGCTGGCCGATGCTGCTGGTGTGGTTGTGGTGGTTGTGGTGCTGGTGGGGCCGCCAAGTGTGTCGGTGATGTGTGGTGCCTTGAGTACGTTGAGAGGGTGGTTGGGTGCGTCCTTGTGCGCCCAGTGGGGCAGGCCGAGCTCGACGGTGTTGGCTGCCTTCTTGGTGACCTGGATGCGGTACCAGGAGTTGTTGAGCATGCCCATCAGAGTCCAATTCGGCCGGTCCGGCATGACATTCATCGCATCGTCCTGCAATGCACAAGGGAGGGCAGCAAGACGGACGCATGCGGTGTGGACAGGAGGGACGGGTGTAGTGTGCACGGGCATGTCTTCTGTTCGCGCCTTACCCATGCTCTGAAGCAGATCTGTTCAGTAGACGGCGTCAGCTGCACCTCCGTCTCCCAGAAGGACCACTCGTAAGTGCGACCATACTCTGCACACACACACACACACACACACACACACACGAGGCAAGAACAACACATCCACAAAGGCGACAACGACGCCCCTCTGGCTTTTCTCCCTCCCTCTCTCTTCCTCCCTCCCTCCCTCCGTCCCTCCCTCACGTGTTTTGGGTTCGACGGTAATGGTGGCCATTTTCCACGTCTTGCCGCCATCGATCGACACCTCGGGCCGGATGATGCGGTGCCCGCCGCCCGAGTAGGCGTAGCCCGAGAGCTTCAGGGGCTTGGAAATGTCGTGGGTCTGCTGGTGCAGGATGTTGGTGATCGCTCCGTTCACATTCAGATCCTGCATTGCATGTGATGCAAGCAAAAGGACCACACATCAAATATGAGATGAAATGAAGGCGCTTCTCGGTTTTCGCTGGTGCGGGTAGTGTGACGGCTCACGTTGATGCACCATGTGTTGTCTTCCCACCATCCCTCGGGGCCGACGTTCTGCTGGTCGACGTGGCTGGGGTACACCTTGTTGTCGCGGTAGTGGTAGTAGTTGGTGCTCTGCTCCTTGGACACACTGATGTTGGTCAGCCACTTGACCGCACGGCCACCAATGTACCCTGCACACACACAGAGACCAACATACATACGCCATATGCAGGTGAGGTGGATGTGTGTGAGAGTGTCTCATGCCCGTGACGTACCCGGCATGACAACACGTATTGGGTATCCGTGGTCGGGCAGGAGGGGCTCTCCGTTGCACTCCCACGCCAGCAGCACGCCGCCCTCGGGATCCATCACCTTCGACATCGGAATGGACGTACCGTAGTGATCATGACTGCAAACACACAGACACGTCAGTGGCCGGCCTGACGGGCTTTGTTGTCGCTTCTTTCGGCAAGCTTACGCGAGCTTGTCTGCACCGACGAAGCAGACGTGCCGTGCCTCCTCCGTGTCCACACCACAATGCAGCAACACATCCCGCAACAGGCAACCTAACAGGCCAACCACACACAGCAAACACGTCCACTGCCCATTTGGTGGAATTAATCCATTTCTTTGGTCTGCTCACCGGTCCAGATGACGTTGCCGCAGCCCGTGGGCCCCCAGTTGAACCCCACTGTCTGTTTGATCATGTTTTGCTCCTTCCGCCTGTTGCCGGCGCAGACCATGACCATGGAGATGTCGGTCTTGGAGAACTGCTTGATCTGCTCGACAGAGAGCGTGAGAGGCTTGGACACCAGACCGTCGACCTTGACGCTGTGGGTCTTCTCGTCGAGCTGCGGAGTGTCGCCTGGAAGACATTGCGGACAGACAGACAGACGTTCAGACATTTGCAAAGTCTTGTGCGTGTCATGTGCATGTCGCCTCGTCCTCACCGTGTGTTCGGACGTAGAGGAGCTCCTGTGGTGTGTAGAAGGACTCCTTGATGAGGGTCAGAGGCGGCTCGCTGTTGAAGGGGTGCTTCCCAGTCAAACGCACCATCTCAGGCCGCCTCTTGATCCTGCATTCAGACACACACAGACACAGCGAGTAAGATAGGCAATTGATCTGCGTCCTCCCCCACTCGCCTCGCCCACCATTTGTCATCGGGTGTGTCTGCTGTGCCGTCGAAGACGGTGTCGCCCTTGGGCATCCGGATGGTATGGTAGAGCGACTTGCCTTGCGTCGGAACGCCTGCACTTCCCATTGGGGTGGGCGTCGCCGTCGAATCTGTGTCAGACATCTGGAGGGAGGGGCGTGCACAACGACAGGCAGGGAGATGAGAGGACGCCAGCAACAAGGCAGTACGTACTTTACCTCGCTGTGGACGCGTTCTGCGTAGATCTGCAAATGTTGGTGATGACAAGTGTGAAATCAAAGGTGTCCAGCGACGGGGCAGGCAGAGGCTTCTTTGGCCCCTCCAATTCGCCTGCAAATAAACCGCAAAACCCTAGACGATCGCTTTCCATCATTCATGGAGAGGCCCTCTTTTCTCACCAGAAGTGCTGCCCTCCTCCACTCTAGTTATGTGAATGTGTCAGCCATCCTGGAGAACCCCCTTCTTTTTTGCGAGCTTGTCAACAAGCGGGGGGCAGGGACAAAACAAGTTGGCGAAGAGGGCTGCTTCCAAGCTGCTTCTTTCTTGTCGCGTTCCCGGTTGTCACGATGCTGGGCACAACGGCCGAAGAGCGCATTGCTATCCGTCGAAAGCGGGTTGAGGCGCGACTCAAGAAAGAGAAGGAAGGTGAGCCCCCTCCTGCACTGCAGAAGAAGACCTTGTGCTTCTCTTGGTATTCTTTGTCATTTGTGTGCTCCCCCAGCGACGGAAGTCGAGGGCGAGTCCCCGAGTGCCGCAGCTGCAGGCGGGAGCAAACGGCCCTCCCAGACCCTGTCCGTCGGGAAGCAGCAGGTGTACGACAGCTTCACGCTGCTCGAGAAGGTCAAGAAAGACACATGGGACGAGCTGACAGCGGTGCGCCAAAAGGGCGATGAAGAAGAAAACGCCAGAAGAATACTCGAGGAGACGGCAAGGATGGAAAGGTCAGAGCACAAGTGCCTCGGCCCTTCACGGCCACACCATCCCCTCTCTGTGCAGGTCTGAGGCTCTCGAGCAGGAGTGCCTATTGGGTGCTCGCAAGATAGCGGCAGTGGAACTGCGGTGGGAAGACCTTTTGTCCGAGGACATGAAGCACCCCAGTCAGCTCAAGGAGGAGCTGTCCCAGCAGCAGAACGCCTGCCAGGCCATCCTCGACGGCAAAGACAGGCGCATTCGAGAGTTCCTCACCGAGCTCAAAAACTACGACGAAGACTATGTCAAAAGTGAGACAACGTTGCACATTTGGATATGTCTGCCTGTATGCTGTGTGTCTGTGTATGATGTCTGTGTAGCCCTTGGGCGCCAAGAAGAGGCCGTGAAGCTGATTCTGCAGCGGATGCGGAGCCAATACGAGACCCTCAAGAAGCACTATGCAGACGAGCTGGATGCGATCGAGCAGGCCCACATCAGAGAGCGAGCAGAGATGAGGGTCAGGGAGAAGAAAAGGATGCAAGAGAGCCATGGACGAACAAGCAGTTCATGAGTGTGTCGACGGTCTTTGATGCATGCAGTCGCGCAACAAGAGTGAGATCGACTCTCTATTCGACCGCCGCCGGCGAATGGAGGAGAGCGAATTCATGGAAGCCAGACAAAAGAGAGAAAAAGAGTATGCAAAGGGAACAGGAAAGCCGAGACACTGTCTAGACAAATGCGAACCTTCAGGTTTCAGGAGCGTTTGGATGAGTTGCGGACTCAGGACAGCGACGATTACACTAAGAGCAAGATCAGCCTGGAGAAGAGCATACAGGAGCTGGAGCAGCACCTGGAAAGAATGGTGGCCACATACCAACTGAACAAGGAGAAACTCGACTACAACCTCCAAGTGCTGACTGAGAGGAACAAGGAACATTCCACCATCCTATCTTCGTACAAGAACAGGTCTGCGATCGATCACATACCGGGATGCAATGCATCATTAATGATGTGTTTCCCGTGTCTCAGGCTGAACCGTCTCCGTGAGACATGGACGAATCTCGTCGCACGCTATCAAAAGCTGGACACCAAATACAAGTAACTACATACAGTGGCTACTCTACTGGAGCTTCACCGCCTGACCGTCTGTCGATGCGATGCAGGCAGCAGAACATTGAGTTGACCGAGGAGTACAAGAGGCTCACCAAACAATTCGAGGACCTGCAAGAGAAGTTCCACCACTTCGAGCTGGCCGATGAAAAGAAGTTCCGAGAAGTCTGGGAAATGAACGAACAAGAAGTAGGATGGAGGCACTCGGCGCGTCTGCAAAGGGCGCCCGCCCATTGTCACCTTTCCTTTTCTGGTTAGGCCCGGGCACTGATTGCGAAAGTTCTCCAGGCTGATCGCATCGTACATGAGCAGCAGCTAGGTCAGCCAATCGCACATACTTCCCTGCCGCTTGCATTCGTACACACGTTGTTTGTGTCGTTGTCAGGTCTTGATTGGAGTCCTCCTCGCGAGGAGGCCCTCATGAGCGAGGTGGAGGTGTACAGCGAGTCGGGCACCGCGACCGGCAAATCCACTACCAAAGTGTCCGACGAATCGGGAGGAACAAAAAGTATGGATGACGGCGCAGGCATGGACTAACAGGTGTGTCCCGGTGTTTTTCGCCAGGTCGCTATGCTCCCACCAAGGTTAAAAAGGTGCTTGACCTCTTGCTGGGAGAAACGCAGTTCCTGCTCGACCAGAAAGTCAGAAAGTGCCTCCAGGATTCACTTTGGCTCCATAATTGGAGGCCTCTGTGTTGATTGCAGGTCAAGGACAAACTCTTGGACCTGCCCCCTGACCAGCAGAGCGTGGTGCAGGTTGACGCCGTGCTCAAGTACTTGGGCGTGGAGGGCCAAGAAGACGTTGATCTGCTTGTGTCCCTCTTCTTCCAAGGTAAAGCACTATCAGTCGTCCTGTGTCTTGTGTCTCCGCACATGCCTATATGTGTGTTCATCTGCAGGCCAGGACGAGGACGACGAGACGCTCTATGTTGATGCTGACGACGTCTTGCGGCTCCTGAAGGACTTTCTGCACGAGAAGGAGAACCTCAAGATCGCCGACGTGGCACCGGGGGGAGGCAAGAAGAGAAGAAAGGGGGCACAGGTAAGGTAGATGGAGTGAGGGCCTCGGTCTGTCTTTGTATGCATGTCAACGCTGTTTGTCTATTTCAGGTCGGCACTGAGTCTGAATCAGACAAGAAGGCAAGGAGGAGAAGGTGAGCCGAGACACCCAATGGTGTGGACCGAAATCAATTGACCATCTCTCACTTTTTTTGGTAGAGAGGAGAGGAAGTTTTGGGAGAGGCTGAGCCACGCACTGCCTGAAATGAACACACGTGTGTGGAAGGTCGGCCAGCTTACTGAACCACCCTTTCTCTATACACAGGTGTGTGGATTGGATGTGCATGTGGTCCTCAGGCCCACGATGGCTTCCTGCTGAAATATTATCAACTCCTGTGCAGCAGGTGATCGCATAAAGGGGTGAATGTGTGACTGATGCCATCAGGCACTCTTTCCCCTCTTTGCGTTTCTCAGGTCAAAGGCCATCGATTCAGCTGTCTTTCTGCAGAAGCAGAACGAAGAGCTCAAGCAGCTGATGGATCAGTATCTGCAGTCGAGGGTCAACGAGGAGCTTCAAGTCCCGCCCACACACGTCATCAAGGTCGTCGCCCAGTCCCCAGCCGCCCCCCGCCTCCCTCCCCCTCCCACCACACAGACTTCCGTGTCCGTCTCACCTGCCCCAGATGCGCAAGCGCAAAAGCAGCAGCAGCCAGGCGATAAAGGTGAAGCCCCGAGTGTGCGACCTGGAGAGGAGACAGGCATGGTGGACGGCGTCCGTGAGGACGAGAGCGGTACGATGGAATCGACAATGGGCAGTCCCGAGAGAGAGGCAGGAGGAAAGGAATGAGAAATGTGTGTGTATACCGCAGTCTGAGCATTGCTGGACAGACAGATGGATTGCATCGATCTAGAAAGCAGAATGAGCCTCTGTCGCTTTCGTTGCTGTGTCTCTGCGTCGACGAACTCATGAGCATTCGACTGATCGTGAATGTTTTGCGCTCTTGCACGATTCAATAGCGTGTGAGTCCACAGCAGATCCCCAACCATGTATGTGTGTCTGCAGTGCAGTGAGCACGCAGTGTCTCTGCACGTGTTGGTGTGATGTAGTGCGTCCAAGATAACCAATATAAAATGTAAGCAGCGATTGCTGCCCTTTCTTGCCGCATTGCTCTGCCGTCTCTGCTGCCCTGCTGTCCGACCGACCATGACCAAGACACCCATACATACACACAAACACACACGCGTACATTTGACCAGAGCGGGTGTATTGTGTGTGTGCATACTACACCTGCAGCTCCTCCACAAGAGGATTGTAGAAGGCCAGGCTGATATTGCAGTACCTGGCACCGCCTGCCGCGTTCATGGGGATGAGCTGCACGCCCGAATCTGGTTTGCAAGCAAGCATCAAAGCATCCATCCATCCATCTATTCATTCATCAGTTCCTGTCTGCCTTGCTATGGTGCGAGTTGTGTCGTGTTGTGTAATGTCATGTGCTGCTCACAGCCTCGTATGCCGCCTGGAAGGACAACTTTCGGCTCCACATCAGATAGGCCGTGGCAAGGGTGGCGGACCGCGACACACCTGTGTGAGACGAAGGAATGCCATCCCATCCATATTCGTTCGTTTGTTTCCTTCCTTGTTCCTTCCTTGTTCCTTCCTTGGTGTACTTACTCACCCTCTCTGCAGTGTACGAGGACGCGACCCCCATGGACAATGGCGTTCTGTATCCACTCCATGGTCTTGTAAAAGAAGACGCTGATCTCCTCGGTCTTGGTGTCCTGATGATTGATTGCCATAGGAACACATGTGCGTGGCCTGGCGTGCCTCATCTATCTCTCTGTGCCTGTCGTGTGTGTAGGGAGCGTTTGGTTTGGCTTGCCTTCAGGAAGTAGTTGAGGTAGTGGTATTTGTCGGGGAAGGGGCTGCCACACACGTCAGCAGCGGCGTTTATGATGTGCGTGATCCCAGCAGCATCCAAGGACTGTTGTATTGATCCATTCATTCACACGTGCGCGGCGTGCATGCATCAGCCCAGCCACATACACAGGAATGAGAGGCAGGAAAGACACACAAGTGTTGCTGCTTCTTTCGCACTCGCTGACCGCCTTGCTGCTTGCGACGCGGTAGCCCGCCACGTACAGCTTCCCTCCGACAATGGGAGAACACACCGTTCTGATAGATAGATAGGCAGACACACACACACACAGGTAGGGGCATCGCATCCATCATACATGCGTCCGTCATGTGTGTCTATGATATGTGTGATCCATTCATACATACCGGTGTACGTTGTCTTCTTTGGCCTTCTGTTCCGCCAACTCGTCCTCTTCCTCCACCACCGCTAACACCTCCTTGGCCTTGTTCGTCAGCCCGTCGCACCCCGGCAGCACGCCCGCCGCCAACATCCGGCCAATCGGGCTGGCCAGAGCCACCACCTGAGGCGTGCATCGCATCGAACAACACAAGGCCTGCTCGTTCTGTCTGTATCTGTGTGCATGGGTGATCTGACCTCTTTGGTGACATAGCGGTGCATCGGCCTCTCCTCGAGGAAGTATCCTTCGAGCCAGAAGCGGAAGTGCCCGGACTGCATCATCACAAGAGTGTGAGCCATCCTGTCGGTGACATATTTACCCTTTCTCCCCCTGACCTCGCGTGTGGCCGCTGCCGACGTCAGGTCACTGGAAGAAGAGCGGCGACAGATCTCGTTCACCTCTTCGAGCACCTTCTTCTGCTCCTGGATGCACTCGGCCAACGCGGTGAGTGGCGGGTGCGGGGTCCGGTCGAGGGATGCCTTCCCCAGCTGGTTGAGGCATGCCTTCTGCACCTCTTTTGTCCACCTGTCCTCCTCCCTCCGTATCACCGCCAGGAAGTCCTGCTGGCATTGATAGAGGTCCTTCATCAGTTTCTGACACACACACAACACATGTCACGACACAACACACCCATGGCCTACATCTCTCCCTGTCTATCAACGTGTGTGATGTGGTTCGTCTGTTCCGTGCCTTCTTTGTCGTGGTGGCGGCGGCGGTCTGTTGGGCGAGCTCGCCAGCTTTGTCGGGCAGAGATCGGGACCCCCTGCACCACACACACACACACACACATGCCATGAGCCACCACACCCATGTCCCTGTCTCTGTCGGTGGTGTGCTCAGCACTGCACTCACTGTATTTTGTCGCGGATTTTGTTGTAGAGGCCACGTATGTCGGTGTTGGCCGGCTCGATGGCGAGTGCGGCCTGGATGTCGGCGGCGGCGGCCTTGAGGTCGGACTCGAACATGTGGGCCTTTGCGCGGCGGTAGAGCGCCTTGACGTCACCCGGGAAGGCTGCACACACACACACACAGACACACACACACACACACATCGACGCGCACAAGCGTGTGCAGGCTTCTGTCTGTGTATCAACTCTCTCTGCGTGTGTGAGTCTCCCCTCTCTCCCTCCCCTCTCTCCCTCCCCTCTCTCCCTCCCCTCTCTCCCTCCCCTCCACCTCTACCCTCTCTCCCTACCCTCCCTCCACCCTCCTACCTCCCCTTAGCCTAGGGGGCGTCGGTCTGGGCCTGTGCCCCGCCGCCCCTCTTGGCCCGGTTCCTCTTGTTCCTTTTCCTTCTGGGCGCCACGCTCGGGGCCGGGCCGGGCGCCAAATTGGCAGAGGGAATGAAGGGCGCAGCGGCAGCAGCAGGGGCAGCAGCACCGGCAGCATGCGACGGCGACTGGTGGGCGTCATCTGCAGTAAGTACATACAGTGGCGTATAGACAAAGAGGATTCATTGATGGACTCGTCTCTCTTTCTGTCTTGCCGGCTGACCATCATGGCCTTCATAGCCGTGGGTCAGGGACGAGACGCCCCCGCCCTGCACACACACATCCATCCAAAGCATACGTGTGAGGCGTGTGAGGCGTGTGTGTCTCTGTGTGTGTGTGTTGGGGGGGGGAGGGGGGGCTGCCTGCTGGTTTGTGGCCATCCTGCTGTGTAGGGCTGGGGGACGGGACAGGATGACCGGCAGTCCTGTGCGTGTGGGCTCGCCGTGGAGGGAGCCGCACCACCCTGCTGCTGCTGGTGGTGTGTCGGGGGGGTGGCGCCTGCTGCTGGGCGTCGCGAAGAGCACGCACGAAGGTGCCGCCCGCCACACGGGGATGGTCGTCTCGCTGGACGTGACAAAGGCGCCTGAACACACACACACACACACACGCGGACGCACACAGAGAGAGAGAGAGAGATGGAAAGGTATAATGTATCGACTGCGCACCTTGTCAGTGCCCTTTACTGGGTCGACGTCCGTCAGCGAAATGATGCGGTCTGTGCGCATCCGCGCCGCCACCTTACGCATGATCGTGAGGACCCTTGACCTCACCTGACGGCACACACACACAACAGCACGGCTTCGCACCTCCGCCCTCTCACTCTCTCTCTCTCTCTGTGTGTGTACCTTATCGGCCTCGCCCATGAACTGTGCGATGGTGAGCTCGGCAATCTGTGGCGGCAGGACACCGGTGACGGGGTGGATGCAAGCGCGTGCCCTGTCTAGCACGGCTCCAAGCTGACAGAAACGACATGCATAGACAGAGTGATGGTGTGTAGGTGCTGCTTTGACGACGGAGCGACCGACGTTGTAGACCATGCGCATGGCGTTCTCGTCGCGCTTCTTCAGCGACCCGTTGAGCTCTGCCATCATGAGGCACCCCATCGTCTGATCAAACACCACCACCCACCCAGGCAGACATGAGACCAACACATGGGCATTTTGTGCCGGTGGTCGAGCTGTGTCAGTGTGTACCGTGTGATCCTTGCGATCCATGCCGTGCTGTGTCAGTGTGGGCGTCGTTGCGCTCCAGGGCTCGATTGATGCACAGCTCTGTCATGTTGTTGCAGTCCTTCGGCGACCTGAGACGGGCGGTCGTGTGGTGGGATGGTGACCGCGTGGACGATGCCCATCTGCATGTGGTCCTCGTGGTCGATCTGTGCCCTGGCCATGGCACGCACCGCAGTGGCCGGGTCTGGACGGGGCCCCTCGCCCTCGCCGTCCACCGCATGCTTAGCCGCCCGAATCTCGTCTGAGTCATATTCCTGACATCTGAGGTATGATATGGACAGTCTAATAGACAGAGTATCGGGTGTGCATCTGCGATACCTTCCATAGATATCATGAGTGGTGCCAGCGCACGCCAAAAGGGAGGGCTCGCCATGGTTGTCTCTGCAGGTGTACTGAACCATGACAGGGAGATGCACACGCAGTGGTGGTGTGGGTGAGGTGAATCGATCCAGCGCCCGACTGACCTGTCGCACGTATGCGACGTCGGCTGTTTTCGTGTCCTTCTTGTCCAGGTTGATGGAGCCGCGGACTGACGCCTCCACGTTGTTGTTCAGACTGGTCTTGATTTGCTTCAGCTGCTTCCGCCAGTCCTTCTGCCCGGCCCTCGCCTTGAGGGCTCTGAGCCTGTCGGCGTCGCAGGGCAGCGAAGCCAGCCATGGCCCTCATCTTGTGTTCTATTTCATCATTTGTGCGGCTGCTGCTCGCGGCGGCCATCGTTGCTAACAGGCCAGAGAAGAAGGTCGCACCTTGAATGCACACAGAAAGAAAGAAGCGATGGATGGAACCATCGTTTCCTTCCATCCACCCGTGCCTTACCTCCTTCTGTCGTCAACGGATCTCGACAGGCCGCCTTGTCGTCCAACATCCATCCATCCATCCATCCATCCATCCAGGCAGGCAGGTAGGTAGGCAGGCATCACACACTCTCCCACGGGAAAATGCGGCACACAAGACGACAGCAGTTACACCAAACCATCCGGGCGCGGACATCAAGGACTGTACTTAAGACGGTCGTGATGAATCTCTCTTGGAGAGAAAAGTGGTGGGTGGATGGATGGATGTTGTGAGTCCTTGGAAAAGAGATGGGCTAAGCGGGCAGCACGATAATCTCCAACACCGCATAGGAGCGAAATCAAAGACTAGGAAATCGCTAGGGTTTGCGGGTTTGTCTCGTCGTAAATTCGCTAAGATTTTCTATCCTTTCCCCGCTTCTACACGCCTCACGATGGCCAGGGCAGCGGCAGGGGGAGAGGCGCTGGCCGCTGACGCCCTTCAAGCGGCAGTGATTGCCGCCCCGCCGAGCCGTTCCCGCGTTAGCTATGACGAAACGGCCAAAGATCTCTTCCACAACACACAGATAGCCATCAAGCCGGAGGTGCCGGGGCTCAAACAGCTCGTTGGTGAAGAACGACCATGTCAAACGGGCAACCGGACTCCAATATGCTGCCGTTGTGTGTGTTTGTTCAAGGGAGGAGAGGCATGACGGCTGGATCTGTCCTGTTCCTTCATGGACAGACCTTCGGCGGTGTCAATATCGCACTCTACGTGAGGCATTGCAGTCCACGTCCATACACTCTTAAGATCATGACCACTTCCCCTTCTCTTTGTGTGTGGCGTGCAGCATCTGTTGGCGCAGTGTTTGGTGCCCTCCAGCCTCCGAGAGGCGCCAATGGGCGTGGCGGTGTTTGATTGTGCACTCAAGTTCGACTGTGCCCACTTCAGCAAGACAGTGCAGGGCCATCTTGATGCAAGGGACAACCAATCACAATCGCAGCCCACACAGACACAGGTGAAGAGATTGGCAAAGTCGCCGCTGAGGGTGTTCTCACGTGTGGGCACGTGCGGGGATGTCTGTGGGCGCGCAGGGCAGTGCTGCCTCCGGCGCATCACTGGACCGCGCAGCCTCTGTCACCCTCCAGCAAGCACTAAGGTCAGAATACACTGGGCCCGATGACGGCCCTTGATCTGTGTGTGTGTGTGTGTTAATTGCAGTGGGTTTCACATGACACGGTGCCTCGACAACGTCGAGTTGCTGGCGCGGCTGAGGGAGCTGCACTCCCTCATGAAGGTCCACCGCACCACCCCCCAGCTCCCCGCCCACCCCTCTTCTACATCCACCCCCAGCCCCCCTGCCGACGTGCTGTCGAGGTACCCTCCCAAGCTCCACTGTGTGCGGGTGGTGGTCATCACGGGCTTCAACAGCCACGCACCCATCGAGCACAACAGCCAGGGGGGCATCCCTGTCATGCGCGGCATCCACAACTCCATCCATGCCGTGCTCAGGGACATGACCACCGAGGCGTCACGCGTCGTTGCCATCCTGACGCAGGAGAGCTTCGTCAAGCCCACCAAAATGACGCCCCCCGCCCCCCCCTCACCCTCTCTGAGCTCCGTCCCATACACGTTCGTCGGCCCCTTCTCGGAAGCCGGGCTGTCGGATCGGTTCAAGAGCTACTTCGCTCATCACATTGCGGCCGACAAGGTGACGTGTGTGGCGGTGGGGCATGCGGAGCTGGAGGAGGGGTGGGACGTGACGACCTACCGCCTTTCTGAGCAGAACAAGGGGCCGAGAGGGCTGTGTATGATGGTGAAGCGGCCGAGTGGTAGTGCAAGGGATGGCGGTGGGGGTGTGGGTGAGGCGTGTGTGGTAGGCATCAACCATGATGATATGTGGGATGAGTGACCAACGGACGGATGCATCGGCGTGTGGACGTAGCTGTGTACAGACGCGAAGACCTTTGTTTGTCTTAGCAATGTCAGTGGATCCATGTCACGTCACTGGTCGTCACAAACAAGACATTCAGAAGTCACATCACCCATCACTCAACACAACACCCGTCCGTCCATCTTCTAGTGCTCAGCCAGCCACATCACATCATCAGACAGAAGAAAGCACACTACGCGCCCTCCATCGCCCACCATTGAAGAGGAAGGAAACACAACACACCACCCGGCATATCCACCCCTCGGTCAGTCTACAGGGCTGATCTGTTTGGTGAGGTTCTCCCCCAGGATCACTAACAAGAATCCGAGATAAAAGAGGACGCTGGCCAGGCTGATGTCGGCACTCTGGTTCTCATAGGCCTCCTGCAGCAACTCGTCGGTGGCGAGGAAAAGGAGGGCCGCGAGCCCGAATGACGACAAGCCGGTGTAGACGAGGCCGTGGCCCATGCTCTCGATCGTCTGCACCGACTTGGCCACCAGGTAGGTCGTCAGGGCCAGCAGGATGGGCGGCAGCGCCGATGTCACCAGTGCGCGAGACCGGCCGTACGGCTGCAGCGTCAGACAAAAGGTGAAGGCCACAAACTGAAGAAAGAAAAGAAAGAAAGAAAGAAGACCACAACGAAATGAACATGAGTACATATAGAAAATAGAAGCGGGCCGCGGCCGTGCATTTCTCCTCTCTCTGCAACTCACCATCATTTCTAGGCTGGTGCCAATGGCAATTACTGCAGCTGTTGACGCGCTGAAGACAGACAAGACCACGCAGACATGAGAAAGCTTAGGCCATTGTTGACGCATGTGCACAGTGCATGCATGTGTGTGTACCTACCTGGTCGCCAGCACCACCCCGATGGCCAGCCCATCGGCCATCGCGTCCGCGCACACCGCACACACGAAAGACCACGGCAGGGCCTTAGCCAGCCCAATGAACGACCCGCCGATCGGTGAAGTTGACGAGACAGCCGCCTCCTCCTCCTCAATGGGCGCCGTCTTGTTCTTCATGACCGCACGCGCCTTTGCCGGCGGAGAGTGTTGAGCATCGATCGTCACGCCGTCTGTGGGCGTGTTGATTGAGTCCAGCTTCGAGTCGACAAGGCGAGCCGTGACGGACTGACCTCGGCCGTTGTGGGGGACTGATGTGGTCCTATCGATGTCCGGCGAGGGCAAGTCTTCCTCCTCCATCAAGTCGGAGTGAGGCACACTCAGAGCACGAGAGGGCCTCCCCAGCACGTCGACTGCCACATCAAGGTGCGGGTGCGCATAGTGCTGTTGAGCGGAGAGGTGGTCGAGAGAGTGAGGGATGGCCTCTTCCTTGATCCGTGGCACCACGGGCTTGTAGTTTGGACACGTTGCGCAGCCGCCAGGTGGGCAGTTCGGCCCCTTGCCGGGCGCGTACTGAGCATGGGGCGTCTCGCCGTCCTCAACATCCCCCTCTGTGTCGTCTTCTTGGCCCAGCAGGTTCTCCTTCAGGTCGCCCCTGACAGCCCTCGCTTTCGCCTTCTGCCGCTGCTTGAGACGCTCAGCCGCCAGCGCACAGTAGCCCTGGTGCTGGCAGCTCTTGCATAGCTCCCACGCCTCGATGGCGTTCTTTAGGTAGGATTTGCGCCTCTCCACCTTGATGACCCGGGCAGCGGGGGTGACGAGTGCCAGCGACGGCTCGCTCCGTGTCCGTTCGAGCGGTAGGACGGAAGGCGTCTCCGCGGATGTGGGCTCTCCCACCTGTGAAGCTGGTCGCTGGGGCGGCTTCTCCTTCTCCTGCTCGCCCTCCTCTGGCTTGCACAGCTCCTTGATAGCCAGCATAGCCGATATGCCGACGAGGAAGCTGACGCACACCACAAGCGTCTGCTGCCACGCTGGCGCGGGGATCTCGCCGGCAGGGGTAGGCGGATGGACGCGAAGCACCTTGGGCACCAGCTCAGCACCAGCAGCAGCAAAGATCACACCCGCAGCGAAGTACTGCAGGCACCCAAAGGCAAAGTAAGGACAAGATGCATCCATTGCTGCTTTCATTGGATCATGGCTGCATTGGATAGGCGTGGATCTGACTGTTGTCTTGTCTTACCTGGACAAGCGATAGCGCCTGGTGTGAGGGGGCGATGCAGAACGATAGAAATGTGCCCATCACCATCGACAGGGCGGGCGCAAAGAGCGAAATCAATTCACCAATCGCCATCATCAAAGCACGTGTCAGCGAAACAATCCCATAGGACCTCCGGGAGTTAGGGTGAATCGCCGCGTAACCGGCTCACAGCGGAGGGCACAGAGAAGCGTGATGTTGGGCAATCTCCAGTCCCCTCCCGAGCTGCACCGCCGATTCATCCTCCAGCCTGCACCAGATGTAGCACCGGCTCATGAACTGCCCGCATCACCGGTCTTGACGTCGACTATGCCTCTCATGCCGCCCTCGCCGGTGCGAAACGTCGAAAGAGGTGACGCTGTGAGGCCGCTGGTGTCGTCGCGGAGATACGAGAGCGGTGGAGTGCTCCCGCTGACCACCGCTGGCGGACGTGTGGAGTTTGAGCAGCCTTACTGGAGCGATGAGCTCCCCGACAGGGCGAAACGGCCGTCCTCGGCTGCCGCTGATAGTCATGAGAGGCATCGGATGTTGGACCACCCCAGGGAGAGCTTGCGTCTGGCGGGAGAGGCAGCTTACCGAGGCATGCATGTGTCGGATGCTCAGCTGGGGTTGGATCAAGACAAGGGGCGGCCTCTGACGCACGTGGACCACCTGATGGATGGCGAGCGTCCTAGAGGAGTGGCGGCCACTGGACAATCGTTCACTGCCCTCACCAAGCCTCCGCATGCAAGTCTGAGGGCAGCGGGAAGGACCGTGCTGTGCAGCCCGACGCCCGTGCGGCCAGCTGCCGGCGCCGACGACGCAAACCCCCAATCCAAGGACGCTCTACTCGGTCACTGAAAAGGACACGCGAAGGATTACCGTCTGTGATGATTCTTCTGTCCTGTTTCCTTTTTCAGGTAGAAAAATCGTCGATCTGGACGCACCTTGGCCGTCACACCTCCCATATCACCGTCACAGCCGCTCCCCCGAAGGCCTGTTCTGGCCCCCCGCGCCCTGTAAGGCCCGGGTCGCAGCCGCAGAGCCGGCTCGCCCTGCGCCATCTGTTTCCACCGACATGGCAAGCGTTGACGTCACAGCGCGCGAGGGTTCTGCTGGTGCTGGCCTAGAGGGCATTCGGTGGGTGGACAGCAAATCGGACGACCGTCGGAAGGTGGTTGCTGAGGCCAAGAAGGGCGGCAGGGTGGTGGGCAAGGCTGCGGGTCGGGGTGCCAAGAAGGCAGTGCGGAAGGCGCCGAGCAAAGCCGTGAAGGAGCAGGGAGTGCAGGTGGAGGATTTGACGAGAGTAGAGCCACAAACTCAGCCTGCGCGGGCGTCCGGGACTGTCACCGCGGCGGTGGCCGGCCCCTCTCAGCCTCCTGTGTCGTCGGCTTCCCGAGGTCCCCTCATTCGCTCCCACTCTTTGCCGGTCCTCCGCCGCGACACAGTGGTGATGGGCGTCCCTGCGCAGCCCAGTCAATCCACCGTCCTTCCCCGTTCTCTCACCCCTGCCAGCATCCCTGGGCTCCCTATCTTCTCACCGCTGATCCAGAAGTCGCACCTCAACCTGATTTCGCCCGCTCGTCCGTCGTCGTGTCGGGGCCCCTCCGTCCCCACCTCGTCGGCTAAGGCGGCGGTCCCAGTGTTGGCGCATGTGAGAGGGCTGTCGGGCGTTGGGCTGGCTGGAGGCAAGTCTGCCGTGCCCCTGCAGGGAGACCTTTCTCTCAGCAGACCACGGCCAGCCAGTGCGAGGTCCACACCACAGACGGCGGGCAAGCCCATCCAGCCACTGAAGGGACACCAGACCGCGGCGCAGCGTCTATCGGATCCCCGCAGGAGCGCCGCTAGTGTGCCGGTCAGGAGAGAGGCGGGTCAGGGAGGCCAGAGCATGTCCGGGCAGCTGCCCGTGCCACAGCTGCCCAGGGAGAAGCGGGCGCAGACCCCATCGGACCGACCGCGCTATGATGCCAATCGACGAACGAGGGATCTCAAGGCGAAGGCGCCCCCACCCCCTGCTCGCCCGTCAACTGGTGGTCCCAGTCTTCGGCCTCCGCCACCCCCTCCGTCCTCCCCCTTGCGCATCGTCCCCAGGCGCCCCAAGACCACGGTGCGTCCTGCATCCACCCGTCCTTCATCTGCTCCCAAGGCCACGCGACCGGCAGCCACCACCAAAGCGCCTCAGGCAGGCAGCGCCCCGCCAAAGGCCAGAACGATCGCACAGACATACAACGTGGGGGGCAAGACGGCCGCGGAGGCGACAAACGGGAGGTATCCGAGTCACCTGTCGGCTGTAGGGGTGCGGGCACCTCCCCAGACACACAAGACGAAGCGGCCTGTCCAGGGCAAGTCGGCCGCGGAGGAGGCCGCCGTCAAGTCTTCTCACAAGAAAGGTGCTGATGTGGGTGTAGGCGTGCGTGCGGGTGCGGGCGTGGGAGTGCCACTTCCGAAGCAGCGCCGCAGAGTCAAGCGTGCCGCCGATCAGGAGGACAAGCAGAGGCCGCAGGACAGGGAGAGGATGGCCCATGGGGATGTGACGACGAGTGCGGACCATACAGCAGCATCCGGTGTTCAGGTCCGTGTGGCTCTTCCCCAACCGCCGGTACAGGCTCCTTCCCCTTCGCTGCCGGCCAGTGTGCACGGGGATGTGTCGGGTGGGGTGGGAGCCGGGCAGTGGGGTCGTGTTGGCCAGGGAGACGAGGCCTCACCTGCCAGCATAGAGACAGCGGAGGTGAGTGACAGACAGGACAAGTCAGTTCGCGTTCCCTCACCTTGCTGCGACCCGACCACACCCGTCTCTGATTTATTTGTGTGTTCAGATAGAGAGGCTTCTGGCGGAGATTGACAACCAGCTGGAACAAGTGAGTAAACACTACTCCAACACAACACATCGCATCCAACACATGGCATGCCCGCACCCGAAATCTGAGATGAATGCACGATGGATGGAACACGTCGCGTTCATCGATGGGGTGTGTGTCCATTCCTTCAGATTGATCGTAGTGTCAAGAACGACGTGGCTGCGGTTCAGCAGTCGGCTTCCCAGCCGCCATCTGCCGAGCCAGGCCGTTCCCTGCGGCACCCCGGAGACTCGCCGGCCGCCATCTCGGCCCCGCCAGACATCGTCCCGACACACGACGACCGGGAGCTTCCCCCATCCCAAGGATCCGGGGCGGCGTCAGGCCAGGCAGGCGAGTCTCACGGCCATGCATCGCTGGAGCCTCCCCAGCTGCTGAGCATATCGGTGCAAGGATCCCTTCGCTTCCAGGAGGACACCGACGATACGCAAGGTGGCGAGGGGCGTGGTGTGGCTAGCTATGAGCATCTTGAGGCGAGCCTGGCGGAGCTAGATTCGTTTCTAGCGACCCTCCGTGCTGACTTGGCTGAGGCGACGAGGGACACAGAGCCAGACGAGGGGAGACTGACATGAAAGTGTAGACAGACCCGAGACAAGACCGATAGTTGACGAACGGTGGGATGGTCTATTTGGACGTTACTTTTCCTGTCCGTGTGTACACATGACATGGCCTTCTGATGCTTTTGCGTGGCGTGGGTGGTTTGCTTTTGCATGTATAGGCACTGGCGAGGCGCACACTCTCCATATTTCTTTTGATCACGTGCGGTGCGAATCGGAACCAACAGACACTCATAACATGCAATTGAATTGAATTGAATTGAATCCGATCTTGCGGCATGAGCATGCAGTAAGCGAACAGATCACTTTGGCCATGCAATCAATCGTCCAACTGGAGTAGCTAGTAGCTAGAAGCTGAGTGTCTTGGTCTTTCACAGCAATCCCGCAGCCGGCTTGCTGTTTAGTTTGAAGGCCACTTTGGTCCGCGATACAGCCGACGCTGCGTTGCCTTTCGCGTGATGCTGGAGCTCCACAATACGCCTGCATTGCAACACACACACACAACACCCCAATACACAGCTTGTGTGGGCCATCGAGTCGAAAGTCAAGATTCGTGGAGGACAGGGAAAGGATGGGCTCGGGGCCAGACCTCAGGAAGGCACGACGTCGACAGCTGCCAGTCAGTGCCCTAGTCTATCTATCGTGTGTGTGAGTCGTACCGTCGTTTCTCCTCTTCCTTCTGGTGCTGGATCCGTTGCAGCTCCAGCAGCCTCTCCTCGTCCTGCTTGGCCTGCGCCTCAGCGCGCCGCTGGGCATCCTCGCGAACCTTGCGCCTAACATACAGACAGGGGTCAGTCAGCACGGGCACTGAGCCCATGGGCGTCGTTCGTTTGATGCTCACTCGTTTTCTGCCATGAGGGTTTCCAGGTCCTTGGCACTTCGCTCCTTCTCCTCCTGCATCAAGGACACCCAGACAGAGAGAGAAACAAGGCGGGGTTCCTGATTGTTTGGCATGCATGCGTGTGGGTCTGTTCACCTCTTTCCGCCTCCATTCGTCGAGTATCCTGCGCTTCTCCGCCTCTATCTCAGCATGCTGCACACACACAAACACATACACGCAGTCAACGATCATGTTTCTTCGGTGCTGTTGGTTGATCGTGTTCATGTCCTGATGTACCATGGCAGCTTCAAGGCGTTTCCTCTCGGCCTCCAGCTGCTCATGCAGTGCCTGAGAGGGAATGGACACAAACGACGCATGCCATTTCCAGCTAGCTAGCGTTATGAAGGTCTGTCTTCTCTACCCTCTGGAATGCATCGCTGCTGAGCTGCTGCTGCACGCGACGCTGAATCTCAGCCTCCATCCTGCACGGCACGCACCAAACACGCACACGAGAGAAATGAAAGGAATGTGATGGCCCTGGTTGCTTGGTTCTACGGTTGTACGTGTGCTTGACCGACCTTCTAGCCACTTCATCCTGGATGGACTTCTCCTCCATCGCCTGCTGCTGCCTGCAGTGCAGAAAGAAAGATGCCAGAAACAGACAGACACGCCACGCACAAGGGGAGCAATGGTAAGGTAGGTGGGACATAATGGGCGGGGCGCGTGTGGTGGTTTGTGTAGTACTTGATCTTGTCTTCCGGGGGTATCGCTGATATGACAGGCCGCCGCCTGACACCACACACATACACACAGATGGTGGGCAGGGTGGGCCCTCCCCCCCCATCCACCGCAACCAACCATCCAACTACCTACCCAATCACGTACCTTACCTGTCCATTTCGCGGTCGTGTGATTGGCTCCTCTTGCGATCCCGAAACCGACCGTGCCGCTTGACAAGATGACCTTACATACATATGCCATAGCATACACACACACGACGACACACGACGTCAGCACCATCAGATGTGATTGATGTAGGACTCGGGAGGCCTCAGCGTGTGTGACGGCGGGCAGGCCGTCCCGTCTTCCGACAGTAAGGAATAAGTGCCATTCTTGGTCTGTCTGCTGCGCTACGCTTTGCTGGGCAGTTTGTGACGTGTTTGGACGCATCAGTGAACAAGAGTGTATCACCGACCTCCGGAATCACTGTTGCCTGTAGGGACGAAGCACAGACAAGACACAACCCGTGAGCGCACTCAGTGCTACTTTCTGCAGGCTGGCGCTCTGTATGACGAATGTGAGTGATACGCTGAAAAGGCACAGCACCTCCCGCCTGCCCTGCCTCTCGTTGCGTGCCGCCTTACTTTCGCTTTCAGAATGGGAACGAGAACGTGACGCGCTCCTGAACGACGGCACACACGGACGCGAATGCAGAATTAAGGTGACTGACAAGATTGAATGCCTCCCTCCGTGCTTGCTGACGACTGACCTGCGGCGCCGGCGCACATCTGTCCGCCTGAGCGACCAAACGAAAAGTGTATGAATCTGTCATTTTGCCGCAAGTCAGTCAGAGTCCATAATTCCGTGTGTACCTGGTTCTGTCGTCTTTGCCGTGGTGCCTGTCCTGTTGGCTGTCCCGTCGCCTCTCACGCTCACGACGCTTCTTGACGCCGCGCTCACGGGATCTCGAGCGACTGCGGCTGTCCTCGTCACGGGGCATTGCTCTTTCTCTCGGCTCCCTCTCTTTCCTCCTCCCTCTCCGTCTGCGAGCTTAGCTGCAAGCTTAGCCGCGGACTCCGCCTCCTCAGGAAGGGGCAAAAGGTTTCCGCGCCTGAGTTGTTGGGCATGAATGAGTCAGATATGGTGGCGTCAGAAGCCTCGTCATCCGTCTTTCGTCAAAGCTGCAATGCCCGCGGTGAGGTGCTGCCACTGGCAGCTCCTTTGAGGTCAGCCAGCGGGGCACTGGACTTCGAGAGCGACCATTCCGACGATGAGGGCAAACGAGGCTCTGCGAGACTGCCCCAGCCGACAAGCCGCACGCACCTCAGAAGTCCTTCAGTGGTCAGCTTGGTGCCTGCCGAACCTTCTCGCTGCGAATGGGATGCTCTCTATGAGCCATCGGAGCTGGACCTCACCCCTCCTGCCCCTGCGGTGAGCTGCCACCGACACCACACGATGGGCTCTGCACTGCACTCTCGTATGCGTGCCTTCAATGCATGCACTGGTGTTTGGTTTTATTGCCATCCGTCACCATCATTGCAGAAAGGGTGCAACGTGTACGTGCGTCTTCGTCCGGAGAGTGTGGATGAGATAGCCCAGGGAGGGGAGCTGGCGGCGTCGGTGCAGCCCAGCCAGCGGGACATCCACGTCCAGATGCGCGAGCCGGGGTGCATCGAGCCCAAGCTGGTGCAGCATCGGTTTACCATGGACCGTGTGTTCGACATGAACACCACTCAGGAGGACTTCTTTGGCAGCACGGCCGCATCACTCGTGCAGCCAATCGTGGAGGGATTCTCGGCCTCGGTGCTCGCCTACGGGCAGACGGGAGCAGGTGAGATAGATTGCCACACCAAAGAAAGAACGACTGACTGGGATGGTAGATCACTCTCCTTTTTCTCCTTTTTTGTTTTCTGTATTTGGTGGTTCGGTCAGGGAAAACCTACACGATGATAGGTGCCCATGGTGCGGAGGAGACAGCTCGTGATCAGGCTAAGGCAGCCAAGGACCCCGTCACCCGAGGGCTCATCCCGCGTCTGATCGAGCGGCTGTTCAAGACTCTTAGGAAATTCGATTCCTCTGCCAGGTCACAATGCTGACCGCACGATGCACCTGCAAGCCTAGACAGGTGTCTGCCCGGCCCGCTTGTGTGCAGGTTTTCTGTGCGCTGTTCGTTCATCGAGATCTACAATGAGCATGTCCGGGATTTGCTGACGCCTGTCAAGGCCAACTTGAAGATCCGCGAGGCGCCCGACAAGGGCCTCATCGTCACCAATGCGACAGAAGTGCCCATCGCTGATACAGAGGAGTCTATTGGGGTCATCAAACAGGTCCCTCTGCACCGCACAGATCTGTCGCACCGCAACCCTACAGCTAACTGCTTGTCTGTCTGCTTCATCTGTGTGTGTGCAGGGCACTGCAAATCGGATGCAGGCTGAGACGTCCCGCAACCAGCACTCCAGCCGCAGCCACGCCGTGTTCGTCCTCACACTGCGCCGCGAGAACCTGGACGACTGCTCCTTCAGGGTCTCACAGGTCTACCTTGTCGATCTCGCAGGTGAGTGAGTCGTGAGTGACACACTCCAACATACACACGTAGAGAGAACCGATGGATGGCACTCCTTCCGTGTGTGTGTGGTGGTTGATGGGATGGTTGTCCAGGCAGCGAGAAGCTGTCCAAGACGGAGGTGCAGAGCCAGGAGCGGCTGCGCGAGTCGACCACCATCAACCAGTCCCTCCTGGCTCTCGGCAACGTCATCTCGGCACTCACCAAGCAGCAGCACCACAACAACAGCCACACGTCACATGCCAGAGGCACGACCGCACACACGCACCCGGCCGCAATGCCCCACGTGCCCTACCGGTGACGACGGACACACAAAGAGGACCGAGCAGCACACGAGTGATACCTACCTACCTTGTGTCCTGCTTGTGTCTCTTCGCTCAGTGATTCGAAGCTGACCCGTCTGCTTCAGAATTCCTTCGGTGGTCGCAGCTACTGCACCGTGATCCTGTGCTGCAGTCCCCACTCTCACAATGCGCGAGAGACCATCGCCACCCTGAGATTCGGCGACAGGGCCAACAAGATCCACAACAAGCCCGAGGCTAACGCCACCACCAATGTGGCTGAGCTGCAGAAGGCCCTGCAGGAGTCGCAGAAGCAAGTCCGGACGCAGAGTGCCGAGTTGCGGCGGGCCAAGGGGGTGGAGAAACGTCTGATGGCGCTGCTGCAGGCAGCCGTGCCCATGCTGGGACAGGTAGGTAGGACAGACACAAAAGGGTAGCGAGCAACAAGAGAGGCGAGACCAGTCGGTATGTGTGGTTTTTTTTGGTGTGGGCAGGATTCGTTGAGCTGTCTGCAGTCGATGCATGGAGGTGCCTTCGAGGAGGTGCTGCACCGCATCCTGACGAGAAGCAGCCGGTCGCCAGTGACGGAGATAGCGCATCCAAGCCTCCCCGGCATCCCTGGGGCGCCCCAGGAGATGATCATGTCCTTCCTGCCGCCAAGATCGCTGGGCATCATGGCCAGGGTACGTACACCAGAAAGGCAGCCAGCCGCACACGAGTACGGCTCTGCGGCGGAAACACATCGACATTACATTGGCTTGTCGCCCTCTGGTGTGGTGTGCAGTTATCTCGTAGCTTTCATGCCAGCTTGACAAGGGATGATGTGTGGAGGTGTGCGTGTGAGTCGCTGAATGGCGGACCTGTCAGCGCGGTAAGGAACACACAGGCAGCTCAGACGTCTTGCACTTGCCTCTGTGTCGCACCATGTCGGTCTGTGACCATGTCGTGTGCAGGCTGCACGTGAGAGGTTTCTCGGCGAGATGTCGGGGCGCTACCCGCACATCACTTTCGTGGGACCCCCACCCGCATTCTCATACAAAAGGTGACCGACATGCATTGCATTATACGTCACACACGGCACACAGATACATACGTCTTCGATCGATCGACTCCTCTGTGCTGTGCTTGTTGGCCGATCGCTGTTCAGGTACTGTATCCATTTGTTCCGCACGACTCGGCAGGCCCATAGAGGTGAGTGAGTACGCCCACTGGGGACGACAAAGGGTCTGCACCTGCCATTTCTGCACAGCTGCAGGTGAGCCGTCCAGCAGTTCGTCCTCATCGAAGGTCACTGGTGTGAAGCTCTTCGCGCGTGAAGACACAGACACCGCCGTGGCGGCGCCGTCGGCTGCTAGTGCACCGCCGCAGCAGCAGGGGAATGACGCGACTGCATCGCCAGCCACCCCGTCAGCGAGAGTGACTCGTGTGGTGGACCGCGTGCGGCCCAGGAAGCAGAGCGAAGCAGCGGGCAATAGATAGAAGCATGTGTTGGTGTTGTTGATACGTGAGCTGCTGTGCTTTGATGGAGGGATGCTTGGACTGACGATCGGGGGGGACCTTTTGTTTTTCCTCTTGGTGTGGTGCATAGCATAGTGGGTGGGTGTATTTGGGTGGGGGGTGGGGGGGTCTGACAGGCACAGACCTTATCGATGCGATAGCGCTGTTTGATCAAAAGATGAATTGGGTCGCCTGAACTTGACGCCTTCACCAAGTCCACGCAGGCGGACACGGTCATACAGTGTCACTGATGCACACGCATACATGCATCGAAACCACACAATTAAGCGTTCAGCTAGCTGAGGGCACGAGGTGACACATGCGAGACGGTGGTCAGGATGGGTGGGGACGCCCAGCCAGGGTAAGGCAATACGTACAGACAGACAGACAGACATACGTGCATGCAGCCAGCCCATTTATTTACACATCCCCCACAGCCCCCTTAAATTTCCGTCTTGTCTGACTGTCCGCTTCTCTCTCTCACTGACACAGACACACGCACACGAATCAAAGGAAGTACATAGAAAGAAATGCATCTGTTCTTCTTGACAGACAGACATGGATGGATGACGGATAGGTCGGAGGAGAGCTATGCCTACGCGTCTTTCGATTTCGATTCATTCACTCATTCGTTCACTGTCACGTACACACCTCGCCAGCGCGGGCAAAGTGTGTGTGTATCGAGCCATCCATCCATCCATCCATTGATTGGGTCGCCGCTTCCGTGTTGACAATGTCTGTCTGTCTGTCTGTCTGATTGGCCGCCGCATCTCAGTGTTCCCTCCCACCACACACACGGACGGAGGCAGAGTGGCCGACAGAATCGAAGACACTGCCCACGTCCACGGCTGCTATAGGAGGGCACACTGAGGCGCAGCTTTGAACCAAAGCAGATGTCACATAGATGCCCCTCGCTGTCAGCTCAAAAGCGCCCCTGCGCTGGCTAAGCGGATAAATATGTCAGTATGGACACACAGACGAAGACTGCACGTCGTGTCATTGCGGTCTGTCTCCCGGGTCGCTGGCAGCACAACAGATAGACGAGTCGAATGAAAATCAGCACACACACACGGCAGATGACATAGACACCCCACGTCGATCTCGCCGCCACACACACAATGGGCAAGAGAATTAAAACCACCGCAATCACCACACACAACAGGCCGACTGACACACGCACACACGACAATCCCACGCGGCCATCCAAGACACGCACTCACGCAGCAGTCAAAACTCTCTGTCGCTCTCACACAATCGCGTCGAATGAAAACGAAACAAACACTCGAGCAGACAGAAACCGCCACATGAGTGTGTGGGTGGCCGACAGACAGACAGCACACTCATTCCTTCGCTCAAAGCCGAGGCACAGCGAGGGAAGAGCCCCCAGCCACACACATGAGTGTGTGACACAAATAGCCGCCCCCATGTGTGTGTGTGTGTGTGTGTGTGTGGACTCTCTTCTACTCTATGCTGACCAAATGCAGCTGATGGTAGCGGTCAGCATATCCGGTTGACGTTATGATTTGCCTGACTTCCCCCTCCCTCATCGACAGCACCGCCTCACGCACCACACCAGTCAGAAAATCAGACACACACCGCACCGCCCCACGGAGATCGTAGAACTTGTCCTGGCCGTCGAATGCATCCCGCCACGCAATGCAGTCGTACTTGACGCGGTCGTTGAGTGTGGGCACTCTGCCGGTGCCCTCCGTGACGATGCGATACCGAGCACCAGATGCCATCACTGTGAAGTCATCACTGTCGCTGCAAAGGAAGGGGGGCAAACATGACAGATGTGTGTGTGCGTGTGTGGACTCTCTCCTACTGTAGTATGCTGATCAACCGCAGCTGAACGTAGGGGACAAAGTATCTGTCATCTGGCATTCTGATCTGCCTCACTTCCCCCTCTCGCATCGACAGCAGCGCCTCACGCTCCGAGTCAGCCGGAAAATCAGACACACGATCCACTTGCCCACGGTTATCGTAGGCTTGATCACGGCCGTCGCCATCAAACCACGCAATGTAGTCGTACTTGACGCGGTCGTTGAGTGTGGGCACTCTGCCGGTGCCGGGAGTGACGATGCAATACCAAGCACCAGATGGCATCTCAATGAAGGCGTCAATGTCGCTGCAAAGGAAGGGGGCAGACATGACAGACGGCGAGGTCTGTTTTGTCCTCTTCTCTTTGCACCGACCTGGCCCGCTGTGCTGCGGTGGTGTTGGCGGCCCGCTGCTGCTGCGAGCCGCTCGGCTGCGGTCCAGCGGTGCCGGCAGCTGAAGTCCTCACCGACGCACCGCCACCACTGGCCACACTGACACACACCGACACGTAAGCCAAGGGATCAATCAGTGTGGCAGTGACGGGAAAAGCCCCCGGCCATGCACATCAGTGTGACACACACAGCCGCCCCCGGCCTTCTCCTCTATACCTGGCGGGCTGTGCTGTGGTGGTGTTGGTGGAGAATGTCTTCCTACAGATGGCACACTTGGGCGTCGGCTCCTCCTCGAATTCCTCATCTTCATCACCGCCATCATCTGCTCTCTCAGGCGGACCCGACAGCACACGGCGGTAGCACTCCTCACAGAAACACACATGCCCTGCCCCCACACAACCAGACACACTCAAACACTTCCACAGAGAGAAGTGAATGTCAGCCCATCCCGCGCCTCTCTGTCTTCCTCACTGACCGCAAGGGAGTGCGACGGTCCGTTCTCTATACTTGCAGGCCACACACATGCGGTCGCTCTCATCCTCCTCCCTCTCCCTCTGGTCGTGCAGCGCCTCAGCACGCCGCTTGAAGCCCGCCAGCCGCACCATCTCCTCACCCGCCCGCGCCGCTATGCTTTTGATCTCAGCCGCAGACCCACACTGATGGAGTCGGTCGTCGGTGAGGCGGTCCCTCTCGAGTGTGGCGTTCTGCTGCTCGAGTTTGTCGATGCGGGTGCGGTGCGCGGCGATGTCTTGCTTGAGCGATGTGATGGTGTTGTTCTTGGCGGTGAGGAGGGCGGCGTTGGCGGTCTTGTCGGCCACGTGGCGCTGCAGTTGGCTGTCCTTCTCCCTGCACATGCCGACAAGAGAAGCGATGAATGGATAGGATAAATGGAGTCGACCTTCTCGCACTGAAAGGTTTTGTTGAGCTGGCCGATCTCTTGCTTGAGCTGTGTGATGCGGTCGTCCTTGACGGCCGAGCAGAAGTTGATGTGGTCGTGGAATGGTGGCTTGATGGCCACACGCTGCCCCTGCACATCCATCTCGTAGCCCCCACGGCCGTCCTCATACACACGACACTCAAACACTCCGACGTTCGACGGCGATGGTGCGGTGGGACCCGAAGACGACGCAGACGAGCTCATTGATTGATGAAGTACTGCAGGCGGTGCGACGAACGATGCCCGATCTGCATCCACACACCCGCACAGAAAAGGGCACAAGTAAGTGTCTGTGCATGTGTGAGGCTGCTTATCATGGTGTCATCGGGCGCACCTGTGCGGCTCTGATGCGGACAGGACGACGCGCGACGAATGAGAGGCAATGGATGAGGACACCGACACACACAACCCTGCTCACCTTCCGACACACACAACACACACTCGGAGGCCTCTGTGCGTTTTTGAGTGTATGTCCTCACCCACCTGTGGTGTCTGGTCGCGAGCGATAGAAATGCAGTTAGTCAGGCCGTCACCGAACGAACTCAGTGATGATATCCCTCCCGCCACACACCACACAAACCACTAATGGACCTGACAGTACAGTGAGATGACAGACACAAGGATGGGCGCATGCTTGGCCAGGGTTGAGCTCATGTGTGCAGGCCGACCTCTCTGTGTTGTGTGTGACCACACTGACGAAGATACCCTCACAAAGGCGCCACACACAGACAAACCAGATCTGACACACAGAGAATAGGCGCCCGTCATCCGATGTGTCCACCGTGCTGCATGTGGGTGCGTGTGTGCCTTTCTCTCACTCACCGCCTCTGTCTGACGCCAATGAGTGCGGTGAGATCTGACGAGCACCGCCTGCACACACACATTGGACACACGGCAGGAGGGCTAATGCATTTCTGTCATCGGTGGACGGCCATGTAATTGTCGTTGGCTCACCTGTGCCCTCACTGACAAACCGAATGAGACCACCAGCGCCAATCTGTGAGCGGGCGTGCTCTTGTCCAAACCCTGAAACCCGAACCCTTCTTCGAATTCGTTTACAAAGTCGAGACTTGGCACAGTGTACGGGCAACTTGTTGGATGCAAATGGACACTACCTCTTTCCGGCATCCATCCAGGATGAGAAGGCAAAGCGGCCCGTGCAGCTTGCGAGCGGCGCGAACAGCCACCACAATCCCGGCACCAGCGAAATCTCCCCTCCGGTCTCTGCTCGTTGTGTCCATCTTCCTCACCCCATCATTGGCCCAGTTAGGAGGGCTCTTCCCCTCCAATATCCTCCCCGCCCCCCCTCCCCCCGCCGGCCTCTTCCCCATCCCAAACCTCGCCGCTGGCGTCGGCTCGCGGATCGTCAACAGAAACCCGGCTGTGAACAGAAACGCGGCTGTGAGCGAGTCTGATGGCGTCATAGGCGGGTTTGGCGGCGCACTGGGCACACTTGGCATGGCAGCTGAGGCAGCAGGGGCACCTGCACTCAAGAAGCCGCCACCGATGCCTGCGCTGCGGCCGGCCGTGTCGGGGGAGACCCCCAAGGAGTTCCTTGACGGTGCCAAGAATGTGGCCCTTGACGCCTTCAAGGAGGTGCAAAAGCTTGCGGCCATGGACCCTGCTGCCATGCTCTGTCAGGGGGAGCTGTGCAAGCAGAAACAGGCGGCGAAAGGTCAGTGACCAAGCAAGGGATCCGATTGACTGATTATTGACAATTTGACTGATTGAGAGCCCTGCCTTGTGCTTCTTGCTGTCGATTTATGCAGAGGTGCAATACGGCACCGGACCCCCCGTCAATATGACTCTGGCGCAGAAGCAAACCCTGAAATACGCACGTAACAAGAGCACAGACAGTCACAACTATCAGAAGACTATGACATATACAGCTCTTATGTCTGCCGTCAGAGTGCGTGTTGGTGACTGGTTTCGAGGCGTCGTGCATCGAGAACGACCCACGGAAAAAGAGGTGCATGGCGGGGAGCGTGGACATGCAGCCACAGACCTTCGACGGCATCTGGCGTTTTGTGGGCACGGGTGAGAACTACGGTCGCGAGGGCGACCTGTTCCCGGTGTACAAGAAGGATGTATACTTCAAGAGCTTCCAGCACATCAAGGCGCTCTTCCTCAGCAGGACCGTTCGGCCACCCAGGGAAGGCATCGCCCCCACCCAATTTGACCAAGGGACATGGGCAGCTATCAACGCCAATCGACTAGACTTCAGGGTCTGTCAGCACAGCACACAAGCATCCTTCAGCGAACATCACACTCACCTCACATCCGTCCGCGTATCTATCGTATGTCGTTTGTGTGTGTGTGGGGTGGGGTGCAGTACACGGGGGCGGGTCAGAAGTCGCCCTTCGCCTTCACTGCATCGGCAGCCCCCCCAGGCACATGTAGTGACTCCGACCCAGCAAGCTTCCCCATGTGCACGACAGGTCAGCCAACCCATCTGACTGACAATCACAGAAAGACGCACGGATTCGTGCCACTGTGCCTCTCGCTTTCAGGTTCCACACTCTGGTATTTGGCACGCGCGACCGAGAACTGCAACGGCATCTCCCGTGGCAACATGTGTGCGTTCAACATGCGCCTGTCGATACGCGACATCAAGTGCCCCTCTGCCTGGGAAAAGCAGCTGCAGCAGAGAGGCATCGACCCGGATACCAACCCTGGGGTGGCCTTCCTCGAGCGGCACAACAACCCCAAATACGCAACATCGGGGGCCAAGGCACGGCGGCTCGACCAGCACGCGGGAGATGCCGACCTCTAGGTACCTACGATGTATTCGTCTCTCCGGGTGCTTCCAGCCGCGTCAATATGTGTTTTCTTGGCGTTCGTTGTGTTTTGACAAAAGGGGTGTGTTGTGTTTGTTTTTCACTGTCTCTGTCCTGTCCGTCTCCTCTCCTCCTGAGGTGAGGTGCCTGAGCGCAGATCGGGATGGGCGCGGGAGGGGAGCATGTTCGGGTGCAACGTGATGCATGCCATGCGGTGAGGTGACGAGTGTATTTTCTGCATTCATGCCATGCATGCCATCCATGCCATCCATGGGGAGATGGAACTGTGAGATCAGCACGGTGATGCGACGGTAGGTAGGGTAGATCCATTACGATTCCTGTTCCAATGCGGACGGTGAGTAATTAGCTAGCTACAGGGGACGAACGAGACACACGCATAGGGGGTGTGTGGTGTGGTGTGGTGTGGACGAATGAATGAATGGATGGCCGGCGGAGTTTGACGAGGGATCGCAATAAGCGTACGTGTGGTGTCCTGTAGTGCGTGTATGCGTCTGTCTGATGTATGAGTGGTCTGTCTCGTGGCTACATGCATGTCCGTGCCTATCTCTGGTGCTTGGCTTGGCTGGATGGATGGATGGACTTTCTCTCTTCCCGTGTCGTGTGACCCATGCCATGCATACCGTCCGTCCCCAGTGAGTGCCTTTTTGCGCCTGGCTACCTACCCTACCTAACGCTTGCATGTCGTGTATCCGTGTTGGTTGTGACCGACCTATCCTTCTCTGCATGGCATGCCTGTGTCGTGATGTGGTCAATCCATTCAACCCATATATGTCACCTTACACACAGTGCTGGCGCGGCGCGTGAAATCCACACATACCATACAAAGTCCAAGTGAGTCCATTTTACAAGACAGTGTAATGCAATCGCACGTCCGTCCCGGCCATGCTATGCTACTTCACTGCGATGTGCCAGCAAGCAGCCGCCTTGCCAGCTCGGGATTGTTGGTCTTGATGCCACCACGCCTACACAGACAAACAAACCAAACACTTATAAGGAGGCCTGGCAGCAGGGGGATATGCGCTTGCTGTCTCACCCCTTGCCTCTCCCAGCGACCATCGGCGGCGACATCCTCGCTCCTTCGCCCCCAATTGGCAGCCCCAGATCGGGTGAGGGCGCCGCGCTGCGTACTGAAGTGTGTGCCGTCTCCTCCCCTGGCTGGCCACCGATGTGTGGGAGGAAGAACCTCTCCTGCATCTCTGCGACAGTGGGGTGGGACCTGGCCGCGCCGGGGGGAGGCGGGGGCTGGTGCTTGAAGGGGCCAGAGTGTTCATTGGAACTGACCACACAGAGAGGCAGCCAGCATTCTCTCTCTCTCTCTCTCTCTGTGTGTGTGTGTGTGTGTGTGTCTAGTTGCCGGGTGCACTGTGCGTTGCGTTTTTGTACACTCGTACCGGTCCCTGAGCCTTCGTTTGATGTCTCCCAAGGCTGTCATGCATCACATCAACCAACACAGCCGTCTGCGCCGCGCCTCAGTCCCATCTCTCCCCGAACGCTTACTGACCATCTTTTTTCAGTTTGACAAATTGGGTGTTGCTGAGGTCTGTCGGAACAGAAGGCTGAGTCTTCTTGCTGCCTGCACCCACACATGTCAGAAGCGAGACGCGTGGCGTACGTCACACATTCCTTTGGATGTCGCACCCTTTGCTGGTGGGTTCACTCCCCAGTCTTTGGCATTGACTATGGCTGCGTTGAAACGGTCAAGAGTGGAGGCGGCCTGTGCTGCAGCCACTGTTGCCTGCCAGGCACACCGGCACACGACAGTTGATGCCAACCGCATCTTGGATTCCCGGATTTCTCACCTCCGCCGCCCCCTCTGGAGCCGGCTCAGCAATCCGCACACTCGCAGTCTACAAGATGGGGAGGCAATGACATACTGTGCATGTGGGTGCCCTGATTGATTTCTCTTCTGACCGGCGACGCGCTCTCAGCAGCGGTCTCCTGCCAGCTCTCCATTCCCACCGGCACCTGTTCCTCCGCGATAGACTCCATCAGCGGCGATGCCACAGACGCGATGGGCTGGAAAGAGGACGGCAGCAGAGAACTCGACATATTAGCGAAGGACTCAACCAGACGCTCATAATCCTTCCGGCTTAGATGCCGGGGGTCCGGGGAAGGCTCGGGACCTGCAGAGGTGCACACATATAAGTGCGTCCAGAGGATATTTGCCCATCCCATAGGTGTCTGTCTGCCTCGTGTGAGTGCTGTCTGTCGCCTTGACCCTTTTTCATGCGGCCCCCCTCGCTCAGAGCGACCCCAGGGGCCACCTGCATTGTCTCGATCGCAGGTGGCTGACGGCTCTTGGACTTTCGCACTAGAACGGCCTCCTCATCCCCCGCTGCCTTTCTCTCTTCTTCTCTGCCCACTGTTCGCCGATCGGGATTCTTCTTCGCCTTCGCCTCCTTGGCACCATCACCGCCCTCTGAATGAACACAGAGAAGGAGAGTCAGGCAAGTGCAGCCAGCCCACTTCATTTGGAGTACGGCGGAGACACCCACCTGTGGCCCTCCATCTGTAGTTGACGGCCACGTTCTGCGGCGGCAGTCTCTCGGGAGACATGACGGGGGACACCATAATAAGATTGCCATCTGAGTCGAATGTGTATGGCTTGTGCTTGAGCTCCGCCTTGAGCTTGGCGAGCCGCGCTTGCTCCTCTTCGTCCTCTTGCTTCTTCTTCTTGAGCCTGGCCTCCTCATCCTTCCGCCGCCTGGTCTCCCGCTCCTTCATGTCCCTCAGGGCGTCTTCTTCGCTGTCTCGGCCCCGCACCCAGCCATCCACCCCTGCGCCAGGCCTCCACTCGATGGGCATGGTGACGGGTGGAGGCGGTTTCTCCTCCGTCTCCAGAACCTCTTCATCTTTCTCCCTCTCCCGCATGTCCCTCCGGCCCTTGGGGCTCCTGCAAAATGTATGGACACAGACAGACAGGCAAGGAGGGAGGCTCATTCGTGGATGTGATGGCGTCATGTGTTTCGCCTCACCTTGTGGATGAAGGCGTGGTGGTTTCGTCTTGTGTCGCTCCAATTGCTTTCGGCGCCTTGCCTTCCCTCCGTCTCACTTCCACAGCCCCCCTCGCCCAGGTGTCGATGGGCGGCCTCTTCGGCTCGGCCTCGAGCGCCCACTGCTCTGCCCTGCCTCTCTCGCCCTCGTCCATCCGCACGAAGCACATGTCCACGTGCGACAGCAACACGTCACATATGGCCGAGGCGGCGAAGGGGAAGGCCTTCCGCTGCAGGTAGTGGGCGTAGATGAGCCGGCCGCCCTCGTGGATGATGGACTCGACGGCCTCCTCCGCTGCGGACTCTGCAGTGGCAACATCGAGTGCGAATGCGCATGATGGGTCATCTTGTGGTGCCCAGTCGGGGATTTCCTCGCCAGACATGACGAACGAATGAGTGGCACTTGGCCAGAGGACAGGTTCTTTTCGCCTTCTGTGGGCAGGAGGGGGCACAGTCTCAAGCGCGCGCAGGTGGGTGAGCCCCGGAGAGCAAAAAGCCTCGTACGGATCTACTGCACTCGTTGCTTTCAGCACATGGACAGATCTGGTAGCGTGATGGGCATTGGCAGCCGCGTACACACTGGAGACCTCTACGCGGCACTGGTGAGCATCGGATGTGGGCAGAACGGCAATGATACGGATGGATCTTTGCCTGACGCATGTGTGTTCAGATTGGGGTCGTGTTTGGAACCTTTTCGTCCTACATCGGTGAGCGTAATCACAGGACGGTGCTCGGCTCTTTAGTGGATGCGGATGCCTTGCGTATTGTGTTTCATTCAGTCACCAATGCGCTCATCGAGGTTTCCTTTAATCGGTGGTTCTCAGTGGTAGGCAAGGCAACGAGCCAAACACGACGCGTCAGCCAACACGAAAGAAGGATGCAGCGTTGCCATAAATCGCTCTCCCTCCTACCTCCTTGTGCCGTGCCTGTCAGCTGTTCGGTACAGGGTTTCTTTTCCTCGGCGGACTCATCATATGGAGAGGTACACCACTGACACATTGATTGATGAGAGAGACCTTGGGTCGGGTCCGCCATGAATACCCCACCCTGTGTGTGTTCATTGATTGGCATTTCATTTGTGGACGGACCGATTGATCAGCTCATCGGCAGAAGGGGTGGTCGACTGTTGCAGCTGAGCCTGCCGCGCAGCACAGCAGGACCATGCTGCACGGATTCGCTGGAATGGTCGGTCGGTCATGAGCACCACCAGTGCCAGGCCAGGCCATGTGGTGCTTGATACGATACACCTGTAACTGTTTCTGTGTGCGCGCCGCCCAGATCATCTTGTCGGGCCTCTTTTGCTTTCTGCTGGAGAAGGACTGGTTCTGCAATCTCAGCCCAATCATCAAAATACCCATGTAGCCAGCCAGAGAATGCACGGACGAGAAGCGCATTGCATTCCGTCGTCACGATCGGTGTACGCGTCTGTCTGGGTGGGCTTCAGGTATTCGTTGCTTGGGGTGTCCCTCAGCTTTGCCCTCACTTTTGCTTTCCTGGTCAGCGGCTGGATAGAACAGTCCGGCTGTATGCAGATGGAGCCCCCCCTCCCCCCCGGCCCTGCCCGTCTTCTGTTTGGTTCAGGATGCCCTCAATTTGCTGCACGAGTTTCGCCTGACTGGCCTGAAAGCAGCGCAAGAGGACGCCATACCTCTGGGGCCTGTACATACGCCAGCACAGGTTCGTGCAGCTCAGACGAAGCTGTCTGCTAGCCCGCTGAGCGCCATGTGGTATGTGTCCATTCCGGTCAGATATGTGCGTTGATATTCGGCTCGTTGCTGCTGGGTTTGATTTTCGGTTTCTTCTTCGGCTCACTGGATGTGGAGGACGACTCGCACACTCACGTCAAACTCATGGAAGACAGGTGAGGTGGGCGGGGCACCCCGCCACAGACATATGTGTTCGTCCGTGATCCCACAGACAGTTCGGCACTTTCTGAGTTGCTGTGTGTGTGTTGACTGACACACGTTGCGTAGATACGTCTGCACGCCCATTGCAGCAGTCCTGGGACTTGTGGTGAGTGGACGATGGACAGATTGCGCGTGTCCGCAAGTAGTCTCGCGTTGTCGTTGTGTCTGTCCTTCTGCAGACATCAGTTGTAGTGCGGCGGCTGGGAGGGCCATACCGAAGCGCACCTAGCACCATGGTAAGCGGATGCTATGCTCCTGCAGCACAGCACTCAGTGGCGAGAACTCTCACTCGTGGCGTGTCTGCGTGTGTGTGAATATGGTGTCGTGTCAGTACACGACAGTTGGCAGCATGGACAAAGAGGAAGTGGCCTTTTTCGCCGACCAAGACGTCTGACGTCAGGCGACCTTTCAGCCACACCAACCTCTGCCCGCCCGCCTGTGCAGCCCGCCTGCTGAATGACTGTTTCTTGTAACGCACAGCAATGTGTGATGAGTGATTGTATCGTATAACCGGCGGGCATGCAGAGCGGATGGCAAGCTGTCTTCCTGACGTCTGTTTGTACGCTTCGATCAAGGCGTGACTTAACTAACATTCCGTGTGTGCGCCGGTATTGTGTAGATTAGGGGCAAGGTCCGACGCCCAGACCTGCGCATGTAAGTGAAGTGAGGCCTGGTCAACATTGGAGGCGAAATGTCGTTTCGTTTTTGCAATGGTTGTTCATTCGCATCGATCGCACCATCGAGCCGTGTCAGTCATGATATCTTCTCTTATGAGAGACGCACCGACACACACACACACACAGACGTGCATCACTCGGTTCGTTAGGCAGGCAGGAAGTAAGTCACCAAGGGAGAGACATAGTCAGGACTCGCACACACAGGCACGAAGGCAGCCAGCCGACAAAATCTCATCGCAGCAGGTGGGAACAAAGCAGGGCAGGCAGGCAGGCAGGCAGGCAGCACCTAAATCACTCAGGGCAGGGCATTGCACGGAAAGGGAAAGGTGCGAGTAGGCAGGGAGGGAGATGGAATGAGACCGAGAAAGAACGTGTGGATAACCGTCTTGTTCGCACGCCTGCATACGGTCTGCGAGGACGGAAAAAATCCCTGAAGATATACACAACACATAGGTTGACGGGGTGGATATGATGGTGAGAATGATCGTGTGACGTCACGCGATGGAATGCATGGGTGCGTGCGGTTGGGTGTGAAAGCAAGACAGACATCCACAGCACCACAGGGCATGCTGTACATACAACAAAGATGACAGACAACACACACAACACACGGCAGAGTGATGATGTCATGTCATGTGGACAGAGAATTCAACAAACAAGGGAGGGCTCTCGCTGACTGAATGACGTGAGGTGATTTTCGACGGACGCAGGTAAACAGGCAGGTGAACAGGCAGGCAGGCAGGCAGTCCATCCATCCATCTGTGTCGCTGTTGTTGCTTCCTTTGTTTCTGTCTGATACCGTGACGTGTGCATCTATCTCATCTGTCCTTTTGTCTGTCCTTCCTCCGTTCTCTCACTAATACACAAAGTCGGTAGACTTGTATCCCTGAGTACACACACCCATCCCTCCCCCTTGCCCCCGCCCACCCACCCGGCAGCACACCAGACACAGCACCACACCTCAGACAGACACCCATGGGATGGGCCTCCACCCTGCCGATCTTTCACGCTAGCTAGTGGTTGAATGTGAGTGAAGGGACATGGCGGTAACCATTACATCACGCAGGGATTACAAATATAACACACATAACGACACACATGAATGCTTTCTTGGCAGGCAGGCAGGCAGGCTCACAGCAGATGACAAAAAGCAAGTACGCACGGTGAGGTGCACTTGATCTGTTCTGTCGTTGTGGGAGGGAGATGAGAGGACGGCTGGGCTGGGGTTTGGTATGTCTACTGCCTCCCTTCCCGAGACGTACGTCTCTCTCACATATGGCCATATGTGAGTGAAAGGTACTGACTGATCTCGGGGACGGTGAGAGTTTACCGACACGAACCATCACACTTGCCGACTCTGCGGCAACCGCCACTCACACGCTCACGAGCGATCTGATCTTGTAGGAGCACCTCTCCAAGTCAAGTATGTGGGGATGAGGGACACCACAGACACGCCAGACACATCACGGCATTCACTCACTCACGTATGGGTGTATGTAAGCAACCTCAGTAAGTATCACGACGGAAAGCAACACACCCGGAGCATTAACCGCCTTCCCAACCTCACACCACAACAAACAGCCAGCAGGGCACCGCACCAACATCCATGACATAGGAAGGAAGCAAGAAGCGAGCGTGGCGTGGTATCACGTCACCGGCCTCTGTGGGTCGGGTCCGTCATACCTTCGCCCGCCGATCCCCCCCTCCGTCGACCAGGAGACAAAAATTGCATGAGCGAAAGAAGCAGCGCAGCCACCGGTGGCAGGCAGACAAAATCAACCGTCATCCTCACCCAGATCCATCACAACACAACACGCGTCCATTCATTGTGTAGCATCGCACACTTGCAGGCAGGCAGGCAGCGTCCGTTCTCGAGATTCCCGAGTCATCATAGATATCATCACGCAGGCAGCTCAATCATCGGGCAAAACCACAGCAGCAGGTAGGCAGGTAGGCCGGCATGCAATGCATGGAGGTCGTTCGTGTCGTCTGCTCTCCGCTCGCTGACCCTTTGGGTCACACGCACGCAACTCAACGCACCAAGCTCTGCTCTCAGTCAGGGAGGGCATTCGCATCCGCTGCGCTGTGCCTCACTTACTTAGCTTGTCGAATTACAACAGTACATACCCTTACATAGACACACACGTACATACGGACGTACGTACGCACAACGAGCAGCTAAGCAACGCAGAGAGAGAAAACGAACAAAGACAGACTCGATGGATAGTGAATGAGTGACTATAGACAGTCACTCAGACGGCAGGCATATGAGGTGAGTGAGTGAGCCCCCAGCGGACAAAACAAAGGTACGCTCGTGGAGCCCTCCATCCACACACACACACACATGCACACGCAGACACACATGCAAAGGTGCACGCATACCATACACGGATCGCATCCCTGTGTGCTTTCCCTGCGAGTGGATGTCACCTCGCTTCGCTCCCCTAGTGGCAGAGACCGAGACAAGGAGAGGGAGAGTCTGGGCAGCAGCTTGGTTTGTGGCTTCCTTGCTTGCTTCCTCCCTGTGTGCTCCCTACATCCATACATACCACTTGAAGGCAGGTCATCAAAAATGCAGTGATACATACGTGCAGGGCAGGGGAGGAAAGAGAAAGCCCAATGTCATGCCAGTCAGGTGCGCAGCGCAACCTGCCTTGCCTCTCCTTGTCTCTCTCGTCCTGTCTGTCTACCAGTTGTGTGCTGCTTGTGTAGGTGAGGTGATGGCATGGGATGTGTGCTGGTTGTGGTTGGCCAGCCAGAGAAAGCGAAAAATCCGTGCTTCGTTCAGAGAGAGTTCCTTTGCATGCATGCAGCCAGACACTCGCATCAATCCATCCATCCATTGCTGTGTGCGTCAAAGCGTCACGTGAGTCGTTGCCTCAATCTCGGCCTCGCGCACACAGCACAAATGCTCCGTGCGTTGCTTAGTCAGGGGAGTCCACTCATCCAGGCAGCCAGGCAGGCACATGCGCAAGGGGCAAATCAGAGGCCATGTGCGTCGCACAGATGCCCTCCCGCCCCTTGCCTTGCGGCCCATCCCATCCAACCCCCCCCCCCCTCCCCCCGTCGCCCCATTGGAAATCAAAACCCGTACGTGCGTGTATCACATCACGACAAGCCATACAACCACTGACTCACCCCAACCACAAGATCGTGAAAAAACACAACGACCAATCCATTCATTCCCTTCCACTTTTACCCATCAGTCAGTCTGTCATGACATGAAGGCGTGCCGTGCCTGTCTTGTAGGTAGAATGGAACCCACACAGCCAATCCAATCCCCCAGCCAGCCAGCCAGCCAGTCTGTCTGTCTGCCTGTCTGTGTGCCTTCCTTCCTTACAAACCTCACAAGGCAGGATAAACGCAACGCACGGAAGAGTGCACAGTCGATGCAATGCACACCACACACGAGCGCTAGGCAGATGGAGTGGATGCACACACAGATACTCACATGTAATGGATACGCAGTACCACCCCACCCACAACACAGACAGCCACGCAGTGTCCCCCTCCCCTCTCCCCCTCCCCTCCCCTCTCCCCCTGTCCGCCCGTCACCGGGCCATGTTGGTGGTGTCGGTCACGTTGTTTCGCTGGGACGGGTGGTTCCGTGTCAGCAGCTTGCCGACCAGCTCCAGTTGCTGCTGGGCCGAGATGTGCCGGGGCGCAGGGTATGCTCCGTTGGGTGTGGGGAGCAGCCCGTTGCCGTTCGTCGGATCACACATGGGTCCCTGCATTGACGGAAGCAGACCCCTGCATTGCATACCATACACACACAACACACAACCAACGTGACGTGCAGTGCAAACATGCGATGAGCATCTATCATATCAGGGAGGGGAAACCATGTAATGTGTTGTGTGGCTGTGCTGTGCTGTGATGTGAATGAGCTCACCCAGACAGGCTTCGGTTCGGTGCTCCCAGTGTCTTCAAAGCAGCCCTGTCCATGCGCATGCCCTTGCCGGGAGGCGAATACACGTACATCAGCGGCGCCGCGCCCCCCGCACCGCCCCCGTTGGCTGCCGTCACGCCCCTCTTTGGCAGGTAGAATGCCGTCGGATTGGCCGCTGCATATAGCATGTGGACGGGGGAAGTCTCGCGGCTGAGGAATGGTGGGCTGTCGTCTTGACCGTTCTGGTGTGGGCTGAGTCGGGTTTTCTTGCCTCCCAGAATGGTGTCGGGCCGCACCGATGAGTTCTTGACCGTCTCGGCGTCGGGGATGACGCGGATGGCGCCGTTGGGTGTGTGATCCTCGTGATGGCAGAACCGGCACTGGCTGCCCAAATGACACCCCTTGGTCCACTCGTAACGACACGGATTGCACGTGCCTGCATCTCAACAGTCGGATCACACACGCACGTAGTTCTCATGGATTCATGGAATCTGTCTGTCTGTCTGTCTTGCCTCCTCCCTGGCTTCTTTCCACCTTGCTCACCTCTCTGATGGAACGTGGTGCCGAAGGACCAGCTGCCCGCAGCGGCGCGCTCCTCCGGAGTGACGGTCATGGACATGAGGGGGCTGGCCGGCATGCCCCCCATGCCCTGAACCCCCCACCCACCCTTGAACTCGTCAGACTGCACGCTCAGCGACGCCGTCTCGCTCTCATCATACCTGCCGCCCGTCTGCATGGCCGACGAGGGCGAGTATGGCGATGGGAACTTGACATATCCGCCGCCACTGGTGCTCTCATTGTCCGAGTCGCCCGATGCGGTGGGAGCGGTGCCGTCGGAGTCGGATGTGGAGCCGCCACATGCGTCGGTAGACCTGCCGCTAATGAGGCTGCTCGACGAGCGGAGCTTCTTCGTGGTTTCGACGAGCATGGACTCGAGCATCTCGGGCGAGGGAGAGGGGCGATTGGAGGGGGACGGGGAGATGCCACGGTTGAGGAAATAGTAGCTGTGGAGATCGCTGCTCAGCTCATCCAGCTGCTCCTGCGATGGCAGTGAGTGCTGAGACGAACTCCGGGGCAACCTGAACACACACACGCAGCACAGTGAGTCAGCGGCTCTCTCTGCCGCCCCATGTAACCTCCCGCCGTCACCTGAGTCGCTCTGGGCGAGGTCTGGCGGCTTGTGCTTTGTCATCGAAGTGAATGAAGGTGTTCTTGAGGTGCGGGCCGAATGTGGCCAGCTCATCTCTCAACACGGCATCCATCGGGAGCATCGGAACGTCACCTCTGTCCATCTGCTGATGCGTGATCTGACCGGTGTGCCGAGTGGGGTGAACCCGCCGGCGGCAAGTGAATCTCAGCAAACCGCGGCCTAGGCTAAGCTCGCGTTCCATATCCATGTCTCGCATGCGTCAGGGTTTGGGCGTCAGGGTTTGGGCGCCCGATTTGGATGGAGGGGCGAACGCAACAACCAACCAGCCAATTTGCCGCTGCCGGAGCCGCTGAATGAATCAACAAAGTCAGCCATCTCAATGCATTCATTGAAGATCTTTTGCCTGGCTGTGGTGGCGCTGCATGACAAAGGGCCATGTACGACAGATGAAGGTAAGAAGGACCTTGGCCGGCCACAGATAGACGGTAGGTACAAGAATCGCTGCACTTGATTGCATCTTGCCCTTTGTTCAGGGAAGGGCTGATCAGATCCTTCGATGGTCATCGACGTCTTTCACCTGTCCGCGCACCAGCGTCGCGCCCTCTCGCCACTCGCCGCTCCCCTGGGGCCAACATACTCGCCCGCCACAGGCAGAGGACTCGTCGCAACACGCAACATCACAGCCGGCGAACAGCTGTTCTCTGAGCCGTCGATGATCGCCGTGCCCCCACGCTCATCGCCATTATCTTGCAGCTACTGCTGTCGTCCCTTGGGTGGCAGGCGGCTGATTCTTTGCCCGCAATGCCTCTCGTCTGAGCTCTACTGCAGCAGAAAGTGCCGCTCAATGGCCCGTGATGAGTTCCATGTGCTGGAGTGCCGGTCGACGACACCGAAGGGGAGAGATCAGTTGTGGAGGAACCTCGACAGGGTCAACAGCACGGGGAGATTCTCGCGGGAGCGGCGGAGGGTGTATGGGAGCCTGCGGGCATCGTCTGCATGGAAGCGCATCTCTGTCAGGGGCGTCGGCTCTTACGTTGGCGCAGATGCAGCGATGGATGATGGCGGCGATGATAGGGCACCGGTGGACTTCCTAGAGCCCACGCAGAACGATACGGCCGCATTATTGTTGAATGGCCAGGAGGGACGGTTGGTCTGTCGGGTTCTCTGGAGGGCCCTCGTATCGCAGCGAAGAGATGGGGCCAGCCTGGCGTCTGCTTTGGCCGCCTCTCTCGAGGGTCTGCTTCCCTACGGAATGGAGCAACTCGCCATGAATGTGCAGATGCAGCCCATCCTGTCGCAGTACCGGCAGGTCCTCGACCACTTGGGCATTGGCGAAGGGGAACGTCAACTGCCGGTGGAGCTATATCAGTGTCTTGTGGCCACTGTCAAGAGCAATTTGTTCAACCTGTGTCATATTGACGGTGCTCATGGGCCTGCACAGGGGGCAGCGACCAAGGGAGGAGGAGGCATGTATGCCGTGGCGAGCCTGATCAACCATTCGTGTGCACCCAATGTGTCGGTGTCTTATGCACCAACCGAAGGCACCCTCGTGACCTACACAACCACCAAGGACATCCGCACAGGTATGTGTGTATGTCACCCACACACGTGCGGTGCCATTCATGTCTGCCGCTCTTGCCTGTGCAGGTGAGGAGATAGTCTCCAACTATGGCGTCGACATCACGTGGCCGGTCGACGTACGCAGGGTAAGGGCGAGAAGCGATGAGCAAAGATATTCTGCTGCATCGTGCATGTGTGTGCAGGATGTCCTCTTTCGCTCGCACCATTTCCTTTGTGAGACGAGCAAGATGCGCAAATCCCCCTTACACGGGAGCGTCATTGCTGTGTGGTCTCTGTACGGCGCAGGTCGATGCACAAAATGCGAAACTGAGAGCGGAATGCTCTACTGATCGACTCACTGCATGCACTGTCCCGATTGCGGTCTTCCGAGTGCTTCACAGAAACTGGTCAGCAAAACCGGCACACACACACACACACACAGTGCCGCCGTCATCTGAGCTGTTCATTGCAGGTTGTGTATAAAGTCGTGGATTATAGCGACGAAGCAGCCGCCAGTAGGTGTCTGGGGCGATTGTGACAAGTGCTGAGGACTGTGTGCCTGCAAGGACGTTGCATGGATGTATGGAAGGACACTGCTGAAGTTGTGTGGATTGAGACATAAACACATGAAGAACATGCGGCAGCTAGTCATGACCTTCAGAGTCTCACAATAAGGCCGTGACAAAACAAATCACATACACAAGAAAAAAATGTGGACGCATGCACCTCACCATACGATCTGTCACACGCAAGGGTACACCTACCTAATTGGCCCCTGCCCCATTCCTCGTGCCCACACTTTGTAAGCTAGGCCGCCGTAATGCACGGTGCCCTTTCTCGAGAAAGCACAGAGGCCGAAAACTTGGCTGTCGAGAGCCCAAACCGACCTCTAATTCAATACCATGCTTGACTATCTACACCGATGACGGCTGGCTGATTGATATGCACACATGTACACGCGCTGCTATACAACAAACAAAACAACCAGGAGCAGGAGACACAGTCCGTGCCGCTCGTCACTAGACGGGCGGCCTCCTCGGCCTGTGTCGATCCGCCAAACTGCTCGACTCTGTCCACTCCGACCCCACAGAGCTCGTGCCGTCTTGTCCCCATGAGTGCCGTCTCCTCTCCCTCGCGAAGTGAGCCGCCGACGTCAGGTCGTCGTCGGTGTCTGTGAGTGTCGCCCCTCCCTCAGTGGCCGTCCTGGGAGGTGCCCAGGGCACGTGACGGTCGGGCCCCGCCTTGTTGTTTGATGATGCGCCCCGTGTGTTCGGCAAGGTGGACCGTGATCCCTCATCCATCCGGACAGAGCTGGGGCCGAGGCTGCTGGTGTCGCTATTGTTCTCCCGCCCCTCACTGGACAGGAGGTCTGTCTCGGGGCCCCCACTGGCATGAGTGAGCGAGTCATCCTCAGCATTGTGTGGCGCCTTGGTCTTGCTCCCGGCGGCCCTCAGGTCTGCTGATGGATTGTTGGTGCCGTCTCTTGTCACTGGTGTGGTGCCGTGTCGCTGCTGGATCCTCTTCTCTCGCTCCTCGTGGTTGCGAATGGACTTGTCCTTGAAGTAGTACTTCCAGGCGAGCAGCGACGCGATGACCATGACCACGCAAAAGACGATGAGCACAACGATGCCGACGGCCGCGTTGCCGCTAAACAGGTCCCTCAGGAAGACGAAAAAGCCCTGTCTGGGTGTTTTCGTCGTCGTGTCGGGCTTGACGCACTTGATGGGCTGCGGCGGTGCCCAAGAGCCGTCCTGGCACGTCACCGTCACAGACAGTGTGTGTGTGGAGGCAGCGACAAGCTTCGTCGAGAAGTAGCCGGGCGAGCACTTGATCTTGCGGGTGTCTCCATGGGTGAGGCCACTGCCCTCGACGCGATAGCCGTCACCAAGAGACAGCTCCGTGCAGTCGGCTGCAGACAGTGAACAAGGCGGAGACACGACGGAAACAGAATTCGACTGCGTGCCCCGTGTGTTTGCGACCATTTCTGCGCACCTCTGCAGTCGAGTCTGAGCTCCTGCCACTGTCCATCGACGCACCCGATGGTCTCGGGGGCCTTGCCCTCGATAGCTGTGTAACCCTTCAAGCAAGACACCTCCCGCGACGACCCGTGGATGTACCCTTCACCCACTGCCCGATAGCCACCACCCTCGCGAACCGTGCCCTCGGTGCTGACGTTGCCGGCCTCGTTAGGGGCCAAGAAGGGCGCCCTCGGAGGAGTCGTGGCGTTGAAGGGCAGCTCGGGCGACTCTCCACTGCACATCTGCCGACACAGGAGGCCATTCTTGACGATCAGCTTGCCGTTGTCGCACAGCAGAGTGTCGGGCTGCTTGCCGCGCGTCGCCGAATAGCCGTCGGCGCACGACACCGAGCTCTCCTCGGTGTGTTTGAAAGCCCGCACGGATGACTTGAGGGAGTCGATCTTGAGGCTCTTGGCTGCCTTGTCAACCTCTTCCTCGCTGCACGCTTCAAGAGGGAGTGTCATGCCCAGATCCTTCAGGCCGAGCGTGCCGGCCGGGGGGATCGCCGGTGCCTTGGCGAGCGAAAGGGGTAGCGGGTTGACTGTAGCGGATCGCAGGAGGGTGTCGTGGGTCCGTTGCGGCTCGACGCCAGCTCGGAGAGGCCTCTTGGGGTCAGACATAAGACTCTCCAGCGATGACAGCTGCTGCAGGGCAGCAGTCAAGGCGGCCGTTGCAGAGCCCGAGCGGAGCTGCACAGGGAACATGAGACACAAGCATTGAAATATGCTTCTGGATTCACCGCTGAACTTGGATCTTACCTGTTGTTCGAGTCTCTTGGTGATGAACGAGTTCGCATCCCCAGTGGGAACCTGGAAGTAGACCTCTGCATTGGTCGAGCTGGGCGTCGTCATGTTGGGCCGGAAGACGATGCGGTTGATGTCGGTGGGGACTGTGCCCAGCTTGCCCGCCAGCACGTCCTGCACCAGCATCTCCAGAGAGCCAAGCGCTGCCTTGTTCTTGGCGAGTGCCTCGTGGTCGAGGTTCTCGATGAACAGGTCCGTCTTCTTGACTTGGAACGACTGGCCGGCACTGCATGTCCTGTCCAGGCTCAGCCCACACTTCTGCTCGACGAACGGCACACTCCTGAGACGTGACACCGGAACACACTTGTGAATGAATATGTACATCTTTGACGCATCCTTTCTGTCATCTGCCCACCTATCGACTTGCCAGACAGGGACATTGGCGGCGTCGAAAAGAGTGGTCTGCTCCACATCGCCCTGCAGGGCCGCCCTGAGGATCTCCATGGCGGCGGCCACACAGCACCCCCTCTTGTCGAGGCCGTCGATGAGCTGCAGACGGCAGGTGTTCTTGGGGCAGTTGAAGTCCTCCTCATACGGCAGACATTCAGGCGTCGAGATGCCTCCCAGCAGGTTGTCGGCCACGTGGGGAAACATGCTCTGGAAGAGACAGTCGCCCCCGTCGTACATACACGGCTCGCTGTAGCACGCTGCGTCGCACTGGCCGTCGCCCACGTAGGATGCAGGGCAGGGCGAGCGGCACGCCGCCAGGTCGAATGCATCCACACTGGGAGGTGCGAGGAGTGCCGACCCATCCTTGCGTCCTGACGTGCCCGGGCTGAACAGGTATCCTCTGCAGCTGGATCCCTCGGTGGTGCGACTGCATGCGAATCGGCTGAAGGCCACTAGGAGCTGCCCGAGCTGCCTGTGGAAGGGGCTGTGTCGGTCAAGGCCAAGGCGTGTGAGAGCGGTGCCCATCCGGGAGACGACCGGCATCAAGCACCTGCAGCAACAGAGAGAAGAGACAGACAATAAGTAAGTCATTGAGACCGTATGTGTGTGCTGCCGCACCTTGAGCTGCATGGGTTGAGGACGATGTCGGGGTTGTCGATTGGGTTGTCGTCCGCCACCAGCAGTGCAGTCGTCTGGCAGTACTCATTGCCCACCCTGACGCACATGACGTCCAGCAGCTCCTCGCGGAACGGCCCATAGTAGGGTAGCCGGCCGCCGTTTTGCTCCCGGGCAAAGGCCTCCTGCAGCTCAGCCGGCACTGGCCCTCTCAACTGCTCGATCTCTGTGGCCGCTTCGCCGTCCGCCGCCTCGCCGCCCATCTCAGCGAGCTGCCGCACAGCAGTCATGTACCGCACATTGGATCGGAAACAGCTGTGGGATGCACAGATCTGGTCCAATCGCTTCGTGTTGCGTGATGCCAGACCCTTGAAACCCATGTCTCGCTGGTCGCTGAGAATGTCACCAAAGCAGTAGGCTGCCCGCTTGCCGTCCTTGTGGTGGTGGTCGGGGGCCTTGGCGCACCACGAGTCGGCCATTGTCTTGAGCGGCTCCCATGCGGGGCATGAGTCGCGGAACTTGTGGGACTCCTCCAGTATCTGGTTGAAGGACTCGTGGCAGCTGTCACTGCCGCGGTTCTGGCCCTGGGAACCAGGCGAACCTTCGCAGAAGGCCTTTGCGCGCGCGCTGCTCATCTCGCCGCGGTACAGGAGTGCCCCGCACTCGCCGTCCAGGAAGCGCAGAAGGGACTCCAGCAGCTCACAGCACTCGGGAATGAACCCGTCATCGCCCTCACTCTTGCTGCCACCATGCCCGCCACACGTGCCCGGCATGCCGATCTTGGGCCTGCCGATACCAGGTCTCCTGAGGATGGTCCAGGGGGAAGGCGAGGGCGACGAGGTGTCGGAGAGGTTACCTGGAAAGGCTAGCTCGAACATCTTCTTGCTCACACGGCGTCTTTGCGGGGGGTCGATCTCTGCTGTGGCTTTGCGGTCGATGAGGAGCTGGGCGGCGGATGATGGTGGGTCGGTGAAGTTGCCCAGCGGCAGGGTGACGGAGGAGCCCTTAAGGAGAAAGCGGAAGTCGTCCATGAAGTTGGCGTTGAACTTGCCCTGGTCCGAGACACGTCGACTGACGATGGCCTGGATGTCCTTGTCCTTCTTGTTGGGCATGTCGAGGAAGAAGACGATCTGCAGGAACTCCCCGTCCCTACCCTCCTGCATGCGCCGCCGCTGTCGCCTCCTCGATGCCGTGAGGGTTTCGCATCCCTTTGGCAGCTCAATGTTCTCAATCAGAATGGACGGCACGTAAAAGTCGCCGTCATTGCACTTGCCGCATGTTACCGGGCACGCGTCAAAGATGGGGGTCTCTGCAGGGACGCCGTCAGGCAGCTGGGGACCGCCGGAGCCCGCCAGCTTCATGAGGCCGCCTAGCGTCTCAGAGCAGTCTCCTTCCGCGAGTTGCTTGAGAAGCGAACATGTGATATCGGTCCCGGAGATCTTGACCTGGGAGACACTGTCGCTGTCTTGGCAGACGCCCGTGACGACCTTCTTGTACTCTGGCGGGATGTCGACGTTATCGAGACCGCAGTCTGCCACCTCTTCCCCTTGCGGGGGCAAGGAGTCCGAACCGGCAGCAAGGCTGCTGACCACTGCGCCCAGCTGCACCTCGGACTTCTGCAGCTTCATGGCGTCACGAAGGGCCTCCTGATCACACACATGCACAGCACACAAAAGGACAGAAGGGCTTGCAAGTAGGCTGGCTTGCTTCTCTGGGCGCGTCCCCTTCCCCTCCCCTCCCCTCCCACTCACGTGTATATATGGAATGGTGACTTCGTCGAAGTCCTCAGCACCGTAGATCTTGAGCCGCCCTTCATACACAGTTGCCTTCGCCTCCTCACACCGCAGCCGAGGAGCCGTGAACTTGCCGTCGAGACACGTCACAACGTCGTAGCCCCACCCAGTACCCACTTCCTCGTAGCCCTCCAAGCAGGTCAGCACACGGCGGGTGCCGTGAGCCACTCTGCCAGGCGGCCCCTCCACTGCTGCACCACCAGAGGCGCGGCTGATGGCCACTCCCGTGCCCAGCTGCTTGAGGCTCTCGATGGAACAGCCGGCCTTCTTGCTGCATGGCTTGCAGTTGCCGCCGCAGTCTACCCCCTCTTCCTTGCCATTCTGCTGGCCGTCAATGCACGAGGGGCCGCCGCACACACCGCACGATTTGGGACACGTGTCCTTGACCTTGGCCGTCGGTGGTAGGTCAATGGGCGTCTGACCGTCGGCCAGGTCAACCAGAAGTGTGTCGCAGCCGCGGCCTCCCACTTCGATGAACCGCGCGCACGAATAGCCGAGGCTCTCAACCATGGGGTTGTCCTGACAGCCTGCGCACACACATAGATGAGATAGACCAATGAAAGAGAGAGCTTCGACATCCCAAGCCCTTTGTGTCTTGTGCCATGGGCACTCACTTGCGTCTGCTGTGTCGGGTGCCGGTGCGCCAGGGCAGTCTCCGCACGTCCTCGGGCATGCGTCCTCCAGCGTCCAGCCCTTGGGCACACCATCAGGCAGCCTCTGCCCCTCGGGCAGCATGTCCTGCAGCTTGCTCCTGCACCCATCCGTCGAAAACTGCTTGAGCAGGTCGCACGTGTAGCCCAGTTGGTTGACCAGGGGGTCGTCAGCGCACGGCGCCGCCGTCTCTGTCGGCGGCTTGTCTGCGGCGTCAAGTGAGAAGTCGTCAGGCAGCGGGATCACCGCCGAGCAGTCGTTGCAGCTCTTGGGACATGCGTTCTTGACGAGGGTGTCCTTGGGAATGGACGAGGGGAAGGTGGCGTCAGGCTTGTTCTTCTTCTGCAGCTCGTAGATCGTGTCGTTGCACGTGCCAACGACCAACAGGACCTCACACGTGATGTCGAAGGACGACACGAGAGGGCTGTCCTCACAGTCCCCAGGCGCCTCCCCAGGGGCCTCTGTCGGCTTCTCGTCGTCCTTGGGCTCGCTGGGCTCGCTGGGCTCGTCTTCGCAGCCGAGGGTCTTGCGGACAATGGGCGGGAGGAAGGGCTCGCCTTCAGTGCACTCACCGCACGTCACTGGGCATGCATCCGCAACGGTGGTGGTGCCGGGGACCTTGGGAGGCAGAGTGGGCACGTCGGCGCCCTCTCCGACGGTCTCGAGCAGCGTGTCGAAGTCCTTCGTGCAGTCTTCTTTTGCGATGGTTTTGAACAGGTTGCAGTTGTAGCCGAGCTCCTCCACCATCTTGCTGTCCTCGCACTTGCCCGTGACGATCGACCGGTACTCCTTGGGGATGTCCTTCTCAGATATGTCCTCGGCCCGGCACCCTCCGCCCGGTTTCTTGCTCGGTGTCGGCTTGGGCTTGCCCGTCGACGTGCAGCCGAGCTTGTCTCGCACGATGTCGGGCAGGAACGTGTCGCCCTTCTTGCACAGCTCGCACGTGACGGGGCAGGCGTCGCCGATCTTGGTCTCCTCAGGCACAGTGGGTGGCAGGGTTGGCACGGTGTCGCCGCTGCCGATGGTCTTGAGCAGCTCCCCGAATGTCATGTCGCAGTCGTCTTTGGAGATGGTCTTGAAGAGGGCGCACGTGTAGCCCAGGTCCGTGACAGCGGGGCTGTCCTCGCACACGCCAGTGACGAGCTTCGAGTACTCCTCGGGGATCTCGATCTCGTCGAGGTTGTCCAGAATATCGCAGTCAATGTCTTCCACGGGCGGTCCAGTGGTGCTCTCCCCTCCTTGAGCCGAGACAGCGCCGTCACCCCCGCTGGCGCCGCCACCCCCGCTGGCGCCGCCACTCCCACCCTTCTTGCAGTCTCCCTCGTCGTACTTGCAGTCGGCATTGTCGCATGCAGGATCGCAGTGCGCATTGGCGAGGAACCAGTCGAGACACTCATCAGCGCAGGTGGCCTCGCACTTGCCGCATGTGGCCGGACAGAACTTGTCCACCGTTGCTGTGTCGGGGATGCCTGGCGGTGGCTTGAAGCCCACGTCCTTGAGCTGGGCCGCACAGGGGAGGTTGAGCTTGGTGGTCAGCTCCTTGCAGTCGTAGCCCGACAGCGCCTTCACCTCGGGGGCGTCCTCGCAGTACCGCTCTGTGCCATTGAAGACCGTCGATGGACCCTTAGACCCGCCGGCAGCCGGGGGATTTGTCATAGGCTCGTCGTCAGGCGGAGGGGGCTCCGTCGGCTCCAAATCAGCGCCTCCCCCAGCTCCCAACGCACCGACTGGTGTGGCCTCCGCGGCGGGGACGCACGGAGGGATCATGAGAGTGCCGTTTGTCTCGTTCAAGCCGAAGCCGCCATCGTCGATCGCTCCCCCTGACTGGCAGGTAAGCTCCAGTTTGGTCTCTTCCGGGAAGTCAAGAAATCTCAGCGATGACTCCGGGCACGTGACGGTGACCATGTCGCCGGCGTCGATGTACATGCGGATGGGGGAGAACTTGACAGACACGGGCATCTCAGGCAACTTGCACTCGCCGCGGCAGTCGCCCTCGTCGAACTTGCAGGCCTCGTTGTCGCACGGTTTCTCACAGACGGTGTTGCCCAGATCACGCAACTCGCAGCCGGGAGAGCACTCTGATGGGGGGACGCCCAAACACAACACACGAATGACATGTGCAAGGGAGACAGTGCATTTCTAGCGTGAATGTGTCGCTGTGTGAATACCTTCACAAAAGCCACATGTCTTGGGGCATGCGTCGCGCACTCTTGTCTCGGGTGGCACGTTGCTGGGGAAGGGCCTGTTGAATTTCTTGGCGATGTTCTTGAGCGATTCTTCGCATCCCTGCATCTTGAGGATTTCGCATGTGCCGCCGCCGGTGAACTCGGGCACGTCGGGGTTGTCCTCACACTTGGCGCCCGCTGAACAGGGAATGAACGAGGCAAGGCGGATGGATGTGCGGCAGTTAGGATGCGAGTGTGTGTTGCTCACGGCATCTGGATAGGTTGCATCCCTTCATCTCTTCCAGTGAAGAGGGGCAGACGCGCCCACCGTCACTTGGAGGAGCCTGATACAGACAGGAAGCAATGAAATCATGCTACTAGGCAGACTGACTGTCTGTCGTTGCGTGCTGTGCTTACAAGGATCTTTCGTGTGCGTTTATGTACTCCTCCGCCGCAGGTACGCTCGGGGGAGTTGCATTTACCCCATTCAGTCCAATCAGACACCTCACAGTCCGTCGGCTCAGCTGGTGAGTGACACATACATAGGGAAGTGCGTCTCGAATCGTCATCTTCGCTCACCGCATGGCTCAGTGCCGCAGGCCTCGCTGTCTTTGAGGTCGGGACACGGCTTGCCGCCTGAGTGAGGCTCGACCTGATAAGGGACAGACTGGATGTATCTCACCAACTTTCCAATCAACAGCAGGCGACTGGCTGACCTCCACGCGTCTCTCTCTCGATTTTGTGCCTCCATCGCATGTGGCGCTGCAGCTGCTCCAGTCGCTCCACTCGCTGACCTTGCAGTCCGTCGCTGAAGGAACATCGAGCACGAAAGCGGAGACAACATGTAGCAACAGCGCCATGTGGCTATGTGGTGCTGGTGGTGGTACCGCATGACGGGTCATCAGACACGAGGCACGCCCGTGACTGCTTGAGGGACGGGCACTTGGCGCCTCCATTCTTGGGCTTGGTGGTGATGGCTCGCGACCGTGTGATCTCACCCACTTCGCACACCTTTGTGCAGCTGCTCCACTGACCCCACGAAGACACCTTACAATCGACCTCTGATGAATGAAATGCGGCACACGTGCAGACGGTTGTGTAAGAACGTCTCTTGCTTCATGGCGGCTTACTGCATCCGTCTTCAGCTGTGCAGTCGTCGCTGCCCTCAGCTGCACACACAGAAGTCAATCCGTGCAGCAAGTGTCCATGTGCTCGTGGGTCTTCAATGGATGGCCTTACGGCATGCTTCGGTGTTGCAACCCTCCTCTTCCTCGAGGATGGGGCAATTCTCACCACCATACGCAGGCTCCGTCTGACATATAATGACAATGACAAACATGCTTGGTATGCCATCATTCATTCACCCTCCCCCCGGCAGCCTACCAGCACGCTTCGTTTTCTGTTGCGCAGCCCTCCGCCACATGTGGTTGAGCATGAGCTCCACTCGCTCCACTCAGTCGTCAGGCAATCGACAGCTGTACGCAGACGGGACATGCCACGTATCCGTCGACTCTGTCCATATACCTCTCTGTTCTCTTCCACGTCGTACCACAGAGGGTGCTGAGGCACTTGCGTGTGTCTGTGAGGGGTGGGCACTCCTCTCCGCCGCCCACAGGAGGCTTGCGGACATCACGGTTGCGGAGCTGCTTGCCGTCGCCGCAGGTCTTGGAACACTCGCTCCACTCTGTCCACTCGCCAACACGACAATTCTCGGCTGGATTCACACGAGAAGAGACAGGCAGAAAGAAAGAAGCAAAAATGACCGGTGATTGTGTGTTTTCTTGGGATTCGGCTTGTGCTGATTGATTGATTGATTGTCTGGCTTACGGCATGGGACGTCTTTGTTGCAGCCTGATTTGACCTCTGATAAGTCATCACACTCAGCGCCGCCATTCCGGGCCTCTTCCTGCAGAAACAACCACTCACACCGTCGCTGGCTGTGTCGTCTGTCCATTGCCCTTCACCTTGACTTTTCTGCTTCTCGTTTGTGTGCCGGGTCCAGCGCACGATACGCTGCATTCGCCCCAGTCGCTCCACTCGCCCACAGTGCAGTCGCGGCCTGAATCAAACGGCACAGACGCCATCATGCTTATCACTTGACTAACATCGCGTCACTCGCCGCTCACTCCAGCAGTCTCCTCCGTCGAACTGGCAGCCCACATTGAAGCACTTCTCGTCACACAGACCGTTGCCCAGAAACCACAGCGCACAGCCGTCAGCACACTCTGCACGCACGGAGCACGCACACAAAAGGGTCGTTCATCGGGTGCGAGTGAGTGAGTGAGTGAGTCAGTGAGTGACACTATGCGAAATCCATGTATACACACCACTGCACAGTCCGCACGTCTCGGGGCAGATGTCGGCGACTCGCGCGTTGGGCGGCAGCTCTCTCGGCAGCTCCTTGTCGTTTGGCAGCGGCAGGTCGCGCACCAGTTGACGGCATCCGATGCCTGGGAGATTCTTGGCTATCTGCCGACAGCTCGATCCCATCTCCTCCACCTCGGGTCGGTCCATGCACACGAACCCATTCGAGCGAGGCGGCGCCTTGTTGACGTTGTTCGGACGGCCCCCCAAGAGGCCGCCAGGACGGCTGCTGCTGCTAATCCCACCTCCGGTGTCCTCATCGTCCTCCTCTTCGCCGCCCACAGCCAAGGCACCGATGTCATCATTGCCAGCGTTGCCGTTTCGTCTGCCGAAGAGGCCATTGCCGGGGCGGCGGTCTCGCTTGATGCCGCCCTGATTGCCGAACACATCTGCCAGCCCTCCCTCGCCGAGGAGGGGAAGATCAGGCTGAGCGGATAGCGGCACCACCAGGAGCAGCAAGAACAGCAGCTGGAGCACGACTCTCCACCGTCGATGTGTGTAGGCGGCTCTCTCAGACCCTCGGCTCAGCTGCGGTTGGTTTGCCTGGTTGCGGCCCGCCATTGGTCTTCAGTGGCGATACACTGGGGAGTTCATTGGTGATTGCGATTCTGAGAAGGGTCTCTTTGGGGCTGGTGGTCCGCTGTCGCTTCTCGTCTACCGCCGCTGCACCAAGCTCAGCTTCCGTCCTCACTTGTCAGTCCGCGCAACACCTTGGCTACCTTCCCAAACCCCTTGTACGCAAACCCTAGTGTTCGGGTGTAAATTTCCTAAGCTCCCAGAGTTTGTTTTAGGCGTGGTGTCAGGCAGAGAGCCTTCGGGCCCAATCGCAGTGTGCGTCGTTGTGGATTCCAGTTGGATGACGATGACGATATTTTTGAGTCACAACCCAGTTCCACACGACTCTGGGCGAGGCGTCGGGGTATAACAAAAGCACAATACAGATGGAGCTAGCGCTGAAGGAGGGGGGCAGACAGGCCGGCAGGGGTAAGAAAAAGGTGGCAAGGCCTTACTGACTGACTGACTGACTGACTGTGGCCGACACGGATCTGCTTTTCTGCAGCGGATTGCGCTGGTTGTTGCTTCACGATGTGTTGATACAGTGACTGCGGGTAGGTGGGTGGGTGGTGGAGGGGGGGGGAGATGGGATGGGAGGACGGCAGGCAGGGAGGGAATGTGATGTATATACCTATTCCCGTGTTGTTGAGCATGGGTATGAATGAGTTGAGCATTCCATCGATCCATGATCGAATGGGCCATCCATCCATCCATCCATGCAGATATCGTCACACAAAGACGCATCCATTCGAGCCAGACATCCACACATGCCATTCGAGCCAGTAAGTATTTCCTTCCTCCCAGCCATCTACACCAGACCGACTATCCCTCCTACCGTGGTTGCGAGTAGCCACCACCACATATATGCCTGTCATTCCACACACTAAGCCCCTGGATAGTGGTGGGATGCACAAGCTTGTAGCGACCAAGAAGCTTGCGACTTCATCATTGATGAATGCGTTAAGCGTAGCTACGTGCACGACGTGCGATTGACGCGAAAAACCTCGGACGCCCAGGCAGGTGAATGCATTGGTCGTCTGTCCGCCATGACACGCACTCACAACACGGTTGTCTGTCTCTCATGCAATCGAAAATACAGCTCAGCTCAATCGACACTGGCTTCCTTCCTTGCCTATGGGTCAGTCATCACGACGGCCCTCTCGCCGGACGCGCTTGTGCCTGTCGGTGGACACAAGTGCGATGGTGAAGGAGCCTCGTATGAATGAACACCACACACGTCAAGGAGGGAGCAGCCAGACAGTGAGTGGATGAGTGAGTGAGTGAGTAGGTGGATGGAGTGAGTGAGTCAGAAGACGAGAGTGTCGAGCATGGCGCCCATGCACTGGAGGATGTTCTGGGTCATGAGCTTGTCGACGTCGCCCTGCAGCCTCTTTTTGGCGTCGAGTTTGCCCACGTTGGCGACCACGAGCTCCTCCGGTGTCTTCTTGAGTTCCTCCTGAATCATCTTGTTGTACTTCTCAGACAGCTCCTTGGTCGACTTGATCAGACTCTCGTTCCTCCCCTGATGCTCGTCAAACGGCTGCACCGCACCAGCAATGGGAGGAAGGGAAGCCACACAGCCACAGACAGCAAGGATGTGTTGCCCCCCGCGTGTGTGGGTGTGTCGAGGTTGACACACGTACCTCTAGAGTGAGTCCGTCGGACCATCTGCTCCTGTGTAGGCTGAGGAGCATCTTCTGCTCGAGGTCGTTCTTGCGGTAATTGATGGCGATCGAGTAGTAGTGGCGATTCAAACCGTGTACCAACGCCGTCAGCGATGGCTTGTTCAGGTGACCTGACACCAACCAGACCGCATTCAGGTGGTCGCTTGTGTGGCTGGCGCGGTGTGAGAGAGTGAGTACCTATGTTTGATGTGGTTTGCCTCGGTTCCTGCCCCAGTAGCATCAGCTGTGGGTTGATCAGACGAAAGCAGTCGATCACGACTTTGCCTGACAAACACACGCACCAATCGGCCACGTCGGTGCACACCCCAGGACTGCTGTGGTGTCTGTCTGTTCCCTGCTAATACCTTTGACCGACTGCACGGGGTCGATGACCACGCCCACAGCACGCGAATTCAGCTGCTCAAACGACTGCTGCGTGTTCATGTCAGTACCTGCACACATACACACACACGCACAGCAGAGGGGCAATCGTGTCGACACCTGACACGTCCCAGATTGCCCAGCAGTCAATCTGGTTACCAGAGAACCAGCAGCCGAATCCTGGGTGCGAGTGGTACCAGCCCACGACCATCTCTGGCCTGCCCGTCTGCTTGAGCATGTCGAGCATCTTGGTCTGAAACACGGGATCAACAGCCTCGACGGACACGGAGTTGCCTGAGAGAGGGACACACAAGAACATCCGATCTTACTTACGTACTGGCAGACCGTTTTATGGCGCACGGTCTCATCCCGTGTGCTGTGCAGTATGTATGTATGTACCTGACTGCGGCATGCTGAAGACGTCCACCACTCGCACAGTGTAGTCATCGATGAACTCACCTGATCGATCAACGCACACGGAAAGACGACACACAACCGAACGTCGCCAAGTGCAGCTGTTTCTGTCGTTTGATATCCTGTGCCGTGATGTGTCCCCCTGACCCAGCATGAGTCCCATGACCTCCATGGGGATGCCGGCTCTTCCGTGCTTGAGCATCTTGAGCAGCGCCAGGGACGATATGTACACCTGCTCGGCCGTGTCGGCTATGGGAGCGGCGTCAGGGTCCATCGGCGCCTGGCCCATCCCAGGCATCGAACCAAACAGATTACGCAAGTTGAACGCCATACTCACAACACACGGGAGCTACGACGGAGCCGACTCGCTGTCGCGCGGTGAGCGCTAGCTAAAACGACGGTCAGAGTGAAGCAAACTCGCCCTGCGGGTGGTTTTGTAGAGTGGTTGCAGGGTTTCACGGTTGCGAGCTGAAACCCTGCAACCCGAACCCTTCACACAAGAACTCTATGAAGAGAGCGCAACACACCTCGCCGGCCTCTTCCAAAGACGATGGACATACGGGTGATGTGACGGACAAACGGCATTTCGACAAATATATATATGATGCATACACACCAGGAGAGCAAGGCTCACTTGACAACAGCTCGACTGGAAGGGGCGACCTTACACCTACGACCTCTCACTCGTTGCTGTCTGTCTTATGCTCTCATCAACCGAACCGTTCGTTTGTTTCCCCGTAGAGCAGCCCTGGCTGTTCCTGCTCTTGTTCAGGAGTGGCCGACACTCCTGTGGACGGCTGACACAGCCGCTTCTCCCGGTGATCGGGGCGGTACCGGTAGAGGAGGTGCGAGTCGAAGAAGTCGCACTCCTGCCTCACATGGGATATCACACCTGCCCAACACGAACACACAGAACACGTGACGTCAACAGAACACGTGACGTCATTCACATCAAGGTGTGTCTTCTGTCCATCATGTCTCACCCAGCCGTATGAGCCTCTTGCCGATCTGCACGGCCTCCTCTCGCACGTGGGCCAGCTCGCAGTCAACCATCCAGTCCACGGCCTCCCTCCCCGTGAAGCAGTGATGCACCAATACACGCTGACGCCGCAACGCTGACAAACACCGCCTGTCGCTCGCCTTCTCGGCGTGATAATCCGGGTGTGTCTTGTCCAGTGGTCCGCCACAGGCGCACGATGCCCCGAGCGCATCGACGACGTGCAGGAGGGAAGAGGGCAGAGGGACTGAGGGGTCGGTCACTGGAGGAGACGCAATCTCACGATGGAAGCACTGAGCAAGCGAGCCAGAGAAGAAGGGAAATCATAGTCATCGATATGTGAGTGTGCGCAAAAGGCCATGATCATGAGTGTCATGTGCACCTTTTGCATGCATTGGCCCGTCGACCGTGCCACGAGGTTGTATTGCATGATTGCGTCGGATTGGAAGGCGAACACGAGGAAGATCAGCAGACCTTGTCCTTTCTCCAGCACACTCACCACCATTCCCAACTACGCACACACACCAACCAACCATTGCATGCACGTGCGTCACACGTTGTATGTGGACGTCAGTTCGGAGCTGACCTTGAGCAGCGACCCCGAGATGTCTATCTCTGTTGCGGTGACCTGCCCCCAGCTGTACACAACTAGCAGGATCAGCCGCAAGCCGCCAACAGCACCCAACACCTGACGACACAAATACACATACACACAAAAGCAGTTGTGGCTGACTTCAATTGTCGCCACCTCTCCACTCAACCCACCATGACAGGGAATATGAGATTGTGCTGCCACGGCTCCCTCTCCACTATGGCTGATTGGTCCTTGACATCCTGCTGGTCACTGTCTGGCTTGCGAGCCTTGATCGACATAGCGAGTGCGACGGCCAGCAGGACGAGCACGAGCAGCAGAAGTGTAGCGTCGCACACCTGCTCTGGGGGGCCGTACCAGAACAAACAGGGGTCGTACTCCATCGCCCGCCTACTCACGACCGGCGGGCCAAGCCAGGACCATACTAGGGACACTGAGCCAATGGATCCATCACACCATCACAGCCATCACACACACCAACGTGCAAGCGACAGACAGAAATGCATTCGTGGAGATGTGTGTGTGTGTGCCTGTGTGTGTTACCCAGGGGCAGGATGAAAGCGGCCGCGATTGTCAGGAAAAAGAAGCGCCTCCTTGCCTTCGACAGGCCCATCCTCACGCCGAGAGCAACATTCAGGCACAGTCCGCACAGGCACCAACGACTCTGACCGACCCATCCCCCACACATGTGTGGTGCGACCGGATACTCACTTTTCGTGCCAGTTCATTCCCTCACCATTTGCATAAAGTAATTGCTCATGTTGTACATGGCCACCTGCCACGTGTCGTCGCTGTCGCCTCTCGAGCAGTAGTTGGTCGATGAGGCCAAAATCGTCACCAGCAGCCCCGACAGAGCCACAGAGGCGGCGTAGCATGGCACTAGGACGCGCGGGTAGGTGGTCCAGTCCTCACGAGCCCGTATCAGCAGCAGAATGAAAAGAACCATGATCGCAAAGACCATGGATGACACTGCAAAGCTCTTGTTGATCACGAGGAACGCGTCAGCCACCGCCGAGAGCTGCATGGACGGACGAGAGGGAGAGAGAAAGCGACAACAACACATCAGTGAGTTGATTGTTGGTATATCGCTGACTGAGTGCCTCACTTCTTTATCGAAAAGGATGGCGAGTACGAAAATGAGAGGCCCGCCCAGCACGAGGCCCAGGATCACACCGGCACCGGCCACATCTTCGTCGACCTTGTAAACCTTGGCGAAGACGACGGGTGCAGAGCTCGTGGGTATGGATCCAAACAGAAGTGCGAAGTCTTGATACACCTCCAGCTCCTCCTCGGCCATGCCAGTGTTCATGACAGAAACGAATAGCCACATGACTGACGGCAACACCATCACCTTTAGAACCACCAGAAACAGCGGCAGAACCACCTGTACACATCCACGCGCGCAGGCAGGTAGGCAGGCAACGACACGAGAGGTGACCCCATCCACTTGATGTATGTATGTATGTATGAATGTTGATTCTTGCCTGTTGTGGTTTGAGGAGTGCGTCGAGATTGTTGACGACCGTGGCGCCCGTGAGAAACAGAGCACACATGACGTAGGGCTCAGTGGCGAGAGCCACCACGTCATGAAGACCCGAAGGCAACCGCAGCCGACCAGTGTCACTCGTCGTGAACGCCCAGCCAAAGGCCGCCTTGAACAGCAGACCAGCCACGATCATTATGCTGTAAGAGCACACACAGTCTGATCCATCCGTAGCTGGCTCGCTGTCCTGTTCTCATACTTACATGAGGGGTTGCGTAATGATATTGGACACCACTTTGACCAACAGGTTTTTCCTCTTGCCCTCTACTGCTGTCGACGGCGGGGACGGGGAAGGCGGCAAACTCAACGTCTCGTCCACCTGACGCACTGCAGGCATCTCCACGGTACAGCTCTTGCTGCCTGCCGTGTCCCCTTGCTCGTGTGCCTCCCTCTTGGCCTTGCCGGCCTCAAACAGCACAAACGATAAATTGGTGTGCAGAACCGTCTGCAGGACTGCACGCAAAGCACGCGTGGCGTTGTGAGCACATCTCGTTGGTGCATCCCAACCTGCGAGTGCAGTCAGGTAGCCGAGGAGATCCTGTGGGTAGGCGGCTATGGGGAAGAGGGCGTAGACTATTGGGATCCCGAGGGCGAATGCATTCTCGCTCGACACGAAGTGGGCATGAAGGGCCGCACGCGATACATTTTTGGGCGACTGCAATGACGCAACACATCCATCCGTCCATCCGTCCATCCGTCCATCCGTCCATCCGTCCATCCGTCCGTCCATCCGTCCATCCATCCGTCCATCCATCCATCCATCCATCCATCCATCCATCCATTGCAGCCAAGCAAGCAGCAGCATTCGGCCAGCCACACAGTGATTGAGAGTACCTTGTCGATGGTTATGGTTGCGACAATGACGGCGGCCTGCACGACGAACTTGGCAACGGTGCAGGCAGCGATGACCGTCAGATTCACAGAACCAAGATCCATCAGTGCCACCTGCATGCATCACACACACGCACCGACAGACTGACCAGTGCGTTTGTGACTGTCTTTCCGCTCACCGCTCTGAAGACGAGCAGCGGCAAGGCTATCTTGCTGACGATGAATGTGATGCCCTTCACGTCATCCAGCAGATGCGTCCTCAAACAACAGTACCCAAGACCAATCGCAAAGAAATTGCCACCTAGCACCGTGGCAAGCTCCTCGACGCCGCTCATCGCCTCTTTTTGCTGGATCCAGCCGAGATGAAGTATAGCTGGGATGCTTCACATTCGCAGATCTGTCGACGCCAGGTAGACAGAAGAGCTTCCTCGCTATGAATGAATGAATTCTCTTCTGCGGCTCTTCTCAAGGGACCTCGACAATGCAAGCTTAGAAAACCCTGTAACCCAAACCCTTGACCACCTTCACCCACAGAAACAAGCTGGTACATTCATCGATTTGTCGTCACAAACATGTACACACAGCTGTGAGGCACACGGCACTTATGCAGTCATGTGCCGGACATGTCGAAGGAAGGACGCGCACCTAGAGAGACATGCACACCCACAGAACACAGAGAGAGGTCAACTGAAACGAGTGCACTCATGCCGCTGGGAAACATCTGCAGCACTTGCAGCAGGTAGGTGCAGCAGCTGCGATGGCTGCCTGGCCGTCTGACGGAGGTACCCGACGGAGAGGCCTGAGATTGAGTGCGGGCCGCCTGCATTGGTCCACTGCCATGCCTGCCGGATGAAGGACTGGGTGACTGTCCCATGTGTGGGTGCCATCCACCTGTGAAAATCGTGCCGTCTGAACACAGACGGCACTCTTGACCTTGTATGGATCGGGGGGTCCGGGTCCGTATGGTCCTTGATGACCAGCAGCAGACGACCCTGGCCAGCATAGCTAAATGTGGCCCGTGACACACACACACACACACACACAAACAAGCAGACAGGGAAGCGGATATGCCGAGGGCCGACGCTTGACTCTCTTCTGCGGCGTCCCTCCCACTGGGTGCTCAGTTTGTACTCAACCATAAAGGTTGGCACAGTGCTGTCTGCAAACCATGTTCATGGCTTGACACTGCGGCAGTGCTACGAAATGGGAGATGAAGGATTGACAACATCCTTATACTTCATTCGTACACTTTGTCTTTTCAGAAGAATAGAAAGAGCACAAAGAAGCTTCAGAGAAAGGGTTATAGAATGTATATCACACACAAGACACATGCCGTCACATCGCGTCAGCGTGGTGCCTCTATCAGTGTATAGTCTTCGTCTCTTGGGGCTCGAGTAGAGGATGCGTGTCCGGCGAGAGGACGCTGCAGCTGTTGTTTGAGCAGCCGAATCTCCTCATCTTGACGTCTATTTTGCTCCTTGAGCAGCCGGATTTCTTCCTGGTGTAGCTTGATGGCCTCCTCATGGCGCCGCGCCATGTCGTTGATTCTTCTCGCTGTGGAAGCCCCCATATCTTCAATCTTCCGTCTTAGGGAATCCACCTCATGGTCACTCTCATGTGCGTCCATCCTCTCTGCTGCAGACTGTCTAACCGCGGGGATAGAGGGTAGCATCCTCCTTGGTGGCCATGTGTGGGAGAATAGTTTCTTCTCACGTCGCCTGAGGGCAGCCTCCGTACTTCTAATGGCCTGCTGAACGACGCGCACTCGTTTCTCGACAGCTCGTAGCCGGCGGAAGACACCCGATTGCGCCACTGTATACTGTCTGTCGGCTTCGACAGAAGCCCGGAGATGTCTTACCTCCTGTTGGAGGACATTCTTGAGGTCTAATGCTGCTCTCTTGAGACGATGCCCAAGTGAATGGACTGACGGATGACTTCGAGATAGGCGGGTGCTGTTGCTTGCGATAGAAGACAGAGGCTCGCTTGTAAAGAGTGAGTAGAGGGCCTCTAGAGGCACGCTGAGGCTGCTGAGGCTGTTCACTGGTGGGCCACTATGTAGTCGTGCAGTAGTTGTGATATTAGAATATGGGTCCAGATTGGGGAAGTCGAGGCTTGCAACTCGTCGCTCTAACACCTGAAACAAGAGACAAGCAATGAATGACCCCGATCCCGTTCATGCAATGCATATACCCGGAAGCGCCGATGAAGCTGCTTGGCACTCTCCAAAAGAATCGAAATGAAGTCCTGACAGGCACGAGCAGCAACAAACATAGTTTCCATCTTGACGTAATTTCTTGTTCATCGCGTGTACGCACCATATAGCGAATCCTCAGTGTGCCTGTCCTGGGTTCCTTTGAAACAACCTCAGGCAACAAAGTTGCCACATCCTGAAGACAGAGGAAAGTGACGAATGGGATATTCGGTCATTGACAAGGGCATGCTGACTTGCGCTATAAGGCCGAAGTGCACTCTATTGGATCTCTTGATGCCTTCGTGAGGCTGCAAAGCATAACCCATTTGTGATGCTTCTTGACGAGGTGTATGTGTACCTGTTTCCATTCGAACTTGACGGGGCGCAACCTGTCGATAAGATGCTCGACGCTATCACGATCCCTCGACGAGACAGCCGAAAGGTTCCGTTTGCTTCTCGAGACGTGATGCCGCCCAGAACGGGAAGCCCAGGACAGATAACCTTCCACTGGCTGAATAAGCGTTTTCAGTCGTCTATCTGATGAACTATTGCAGCCGCTGGCGTGGATAACACTGCAAGCATCTGTATCGATTGTGACCGCCCCTGGACTGCTAGAATCGAGTACGAATGTCGATCCAGCCTGTAGATTAAGGGTCGCTCCACTCACGACATTCAAAGTGCCCCGGATTTCAACATTGTTGAATGTCGATGAGTCTTCAACAGACAACGTGCTGCCGAGATATGCAAACTGACGGACAGATAAAGAACTGCCCAAAGACACGTAGTCTAATACGGACAGGGTGCTGGCGAGACGGGCCAAGCCGAACACCGACAAAGTGTCACCCATTCTCGCGAATGATCTCAGTGATAGCGAACTCCCCAGCTGAACGAAGCTCCCCACGCTCAAACTGCTCCCCAGCCCCACGTAATCGAGGACCGAAAGAGCACTTCCGAGCGTTGCAATACCAAACACCGACAAGGAAGCCCCAAAAACACCAAAATCCACCACTGATAGTGATGAGCCAAGTCTTGTAGCCCCAAAAACCGACAAGCTTGATCCTGATCGATGAAAGGATCGAACAGACAGAGAGCTTCCTACCAACGAAAAATCGAAGATAGACAAACTAGCTCCGAACCGCGCCATCCCGAAAATAGAGAGTGAAGACCCGAAACGAACGAATGAGTCGACCGATAATGTTTCGCCAATGACCGCATTTCTTCTAACGGAGAGTGTAGAGTCAGCATCCAATCGGCCGAAGACAGATAAAGCCCCTCCCACATGCGTAAAGTGGTGGATTGAGAGAGCACTTCCAATTGTTGTCATATCAAAGATCGACACGGGGGATCCAAAATGCGAGACGCCACCGACCGAAAGAGAGCTCCCTAGCAACGCGAAGCTCGTCAGTGAAAGACTGCTACCTAAGAGTGCATAGCTGCGGACAGAGAGAATAGAATTGAGGACCGCCGATTCGTAGACTGAAAGAGAGCTTCCCATTTTGGTAAAACTGATGACGCACAACGTGTTCCCGACGATTGCATCACCAGCAATGGACAGCACACTGCCAAGAGTAGTCTCGCCGAAAACCTCAAGCTTTGACCCGACCTTCAAGATGCCCCGAACGGATAGAGAGCTTCCGAAGGTGGCGGTGTCGAAGATGGATAAGGTCGATCCGAGGTTTGTCCACTCATGGACCGAGAGGGAGCTGCCGAAGTCGGCATGATCGGCGACGGTTAGTCCTCCTCCTAATTGGCTGATGCCTCTTACAGACAGTGTGCTGCCGAAGAAGGAGGTATCGAAGATAGAAAGAGTGGACCCCAAAAGACTTACGCCTTGCACGGAAAGCTCTCCACCCATGTGAGCTTGCTGATAGACTGACAGCCCGCCGCCAATGATGGAAGAGTCTCGCACGGATAGTGTGGTATTAAAAGCAGCCCCTCCATAGCTATCCAATACAATGAATGCCCCCGATTCTGTGGGACGAAGGAGAGAGGCCGTATTGTGAGTTTCTCTATTCATTGCTTCTTACCTTTGCTGCCAATGGCGAAATCCGGCTCGCCGTCCAATGCGTTGGCGGGCGACTGAATGCAAAGGGCCATGCACAGACACCAGAACCGTCTATATGGGAATTTCATATGTGGACATCATGCGTCCTTTCATACCAGATCCTCGAGGTAGACGAGCCATTTCTTGACACCCAGCGACCTGAATGATATCTGCGCCCGGTCTGCATTGGACGGGTCTGCATGAAACCGCACAAGCACCTTTGTTTCCTCATCAGCAGCCTTCAAACTGGCTGGCTCACCGATATCGAGAGGCCCGAGGAAAGTAAGCTCGCCGCTCTTTCCTACCAGGACCCTGCACACATCAGACACGTTGCATGGCAAAAATTCCAATGGACGAAAGACCGTCAGATGCCAGGCAGACGTACCATGATGCTACAGAGGAAAAAAATGTGAAGAGAAATAGAAAGAACTGCCACACCATCAACACCGTCAATGAACCATCATCGGGTCCTGCAACAACACAGATACATGAATACAGGATGCCGAAACCTATTTCCTCCCACCTCACCCATCGGAGATTCCCTCCCTACTCATTTCGAGGCGACAAGGATCTCTTTCACAAGTGGGAACCCCCAAGCTCGCACGCCTGCAGACGCTGCTCTCGAAGCCGCTGCTGCTGACGGACGAATGAGTTGGACTGGCATGCGAGTTCCGAATCCTTTCGTGTTCTTTACCTTCCGTCAGCCGACCAGGACCGACACCACGTTGACAGGTGATGGTAAGCGCGTAGAGGGAAGGAGCTACGTGGTGCATCCATCTATTCATCACATCTATGGCAGCGTCGGTATGTGGGATTTCTTTCAGGTTTCGTGGTACGGGTGTGTGGGTGGGTGTGTTGGCAGGTGTTTCGCGCCGAAGCAGGTGGGCGGCATGGTCAAAGGCCTGCTGGTTGAAGTGTACAAAGCCGACCAGTGGGGACGAAACTCTTCACTTCCTCCTCCAATACAACACATCGGATGGAACGCGTCAATATTGGAACGCGTCCGACACGCACGTATGTCTGTGTTTTGGTTTTGTCAGAGGTGTAGTGGCTTCTGGTGGTTCGGCGAACAGGCTCCCAAGCAGCAGCCCGTAAACCAGACGGTACGCACAGAGCCCACACATACTCACAAATTGTCCGTGTTTCAGCTGTTTAGTATTCGTTGGACTTTGTAGGCGGCGCCAGCGTAGCTATATGGATGTCACCCATGCTGTGTGTCTCCGTATGCAGTGAGCCAGGAGTGGAGGGATCTGGTGGATCTGGCAGCTGCAGGTGCGCACAGCCGCTCGTTGCCACGGCAATGTGTTGCCTCTGTCAGTGGCGGCGGTTCCTCAGCACCCATGCCATGCGGTTTCCAACAGAACAGTATGATCTCAACAGGTCTACGATGAATTCACGGTAGGCAAAGAGAGAAGGTCGGTAGGCAACAGTGCACATGGTTGGTGTACGTGGTTGTCTTGGTTTCCATAGGTCTGTATTAGCTTTCGTTGGGTCCGTGGTAAGACCCTCGTCAACAGAAGGAAAAGGAGGCTCCACACCATACACACAGAGCACACAACCACCATAGCATACACATAGAGCACACCACCATAGCATACACATCCGTAGTCCACCACCACGGTATGGCGACCCTCCGAGGTGTTAGAGGGTGCGGGTATGTGTGGACCGACTGATACGAGGATGGCTGCAAAGGTCTCTCTATCTCTATACATCAATGTACGGATGGCCGGATGATTGATGGGAATCGTGGCTGAGACAGATTCATACGTCATGTACATACGGACACATTTGCGGGGTTCATGATGAACGCATGAATGCATTTGCCAGGTCGGATCTGTCAATGTCACGCCCCGGTGAGCGGTTGGACCGCTTGCATTGTGTCCATGAAGTCAACTGATCACATCGGTAACTCCCTTTCAATTCACACACATGGCCACTTGAACGAGGTGCTGACTGGTTGAGGAAGAGACAGACTACCTGGCAGACAGACAGACAGACAGACAGATATGTACACACAGACAGACAGCCACTGGTTGGCATTCTGACTCACACCATGTGCATTCTTCATGTAATAGAAGTTAAGATACATGAACGGGCGATAACGGCCGCCCAAGCATCGGTTCGTATCGAGCAATCTTATGATATGACATGAGTCGAGAAGACAAACGCAGCGGGTCGATTCTGTCATTGTGTTTTTGCAAAGGTGACGTTCAGCTCACGACAATGCAAAAAGTCCAGCAAGAGGAAGGGCACACCAGTACACAGTGCAGGGCCTGTGTCAAGCGAAACCGACCCGCTTTTCTCCCTCTCCCTTCTCTTCGGTTGCTGGATTTGATTCAACCGCCTTAGCTGCACCAAAATGATCATATAGACAGACGCACATCCAGCAGTCGTCTCTGTGCAGCATTTCTTCTCGACACACCTTCTTCGTCTCTCCTGGGCCCCTCGTCGGCGTCTTTGGGCTTCGGCTTCATCTTGGTGGCTTTCCGATAAGCCATTCTCGCAAACTTGTTGTCCGGGATGTCCACATCGTCATCGTCCCTGCCCCCTTTGCCGCAAAGGGCACCCATGACAGTCAGGAGAACGAGAATTCGAATCGATGGGGAATCCGAGTGGGGGTCTGTCTGTCGAAGCTTCTCACGTTCACCGTAGGCCTACGCGGTCTCAATGTCGTAGTATTCCGAGAGGGGGGGGGGGAGGGAGAGATGGGGGCTGCCGTGGGGCCAAGAGCGATCTTTTCCCTCCCTCCCCGACATTCCGCCCATCTCGCATCAAGGATGCACGAGGGAAGGTTTGCTACTCGTCTTGTTCAGCTTGCGGCAATTTTCCTGTCCCTTGTGGCTCTCTCGAGCGCCCAGGGCCTTTTCGGAGGAGGTGATCCCTTCGGCGGCCTCTTCCCGGTCCCTCCTGCTCCTCCTGCGCCCCCTGCGCCCCCTGCGCCGCCTGTTCCTGGCTTTCCTCCCGTCTTCTCAGATCCTAACCTGATTGCTCAACAGGAACCCAAGGACACGACCGGTGGCGGCACGGGCGGTTCCACTGGCGGAGAAATAGCATGCAAGGATATGCCCGAGGTGCAGGAGCTGGGCCAGAGTTGTGCAGTTCTTGCCACCAATCTTGGACCGCTGGGGTGCTCTGAGCTGTTGAGGGACCTCTTGAATATTGATGTTGAGCTTCCTGGCGTGGAGGTTGCGCCCTCTTCCTTGCCCGAGGGTGTGCCGCAGAATGCACGGGTGGCAGACGTATGCCCGGCTAGCTGCGGACTGTGCAGAAGTGAGACAAAAGCAAGATAGATATGCTGTCCACGAACAACACAAGGTGTTTCGGCTGTTTTCCACTACAGCATGCGCGCCCGGTTGTGCGCTGTATTTCCTCGACAACGGCAAGTGTGAGGAGGAGTGCTACAATCCGGACTGTCAGTTCGACGGAGGAGACTGTTTCGGTACGCAGACATTGAGAAGGAACATTCCGTCTGTCTTCGAGTCCGTCATCTTTCTTATCGTCAGACAAGGACTGTGTGGTCAGCGAGTGGAACGAGTGGAGTGAATGCTCGGTCTCCTGCAACGGACCCGGCAGCGCATTCAGAGAGCGAGACATACGCGTACGAATGATCATTTAAAGGGACGAGCTATCGGCTTACCTCTGTTTTCGTCCGTCAGGAGCTTCCGAGGAACAATGGCCGTGCATGTCCTCTGCTCCAAGAGCGAGAAGATTGCAACGAGGATGTTCCTTGCCGTGAGGAGAGACACTTGAAGGGAGAAACACATGAGAAGAACACACAGACGCATCAGCGCTTAAGAGCTTCCTTTTGTTATGTCTCAGCTGTGGATTGTGTTCCTAGCGAGTGGGGTGAGTGGAGTCTGTGCTCTAACACATGTGACCTGGGCACTGAACGGCGGACAAGAAGCGTTGTGAGCGAAGCTAAATTCGAGGGAGCGTCTTGCGACCCTCTCGAAGACACAAGAGAATGCCTACTCACAAGCTGCGGTGAGAGACACGAATCGAATATTTGTCCCACCGCCCTCGCTGTCTCACGCTTTTCTGTGTTCTGATCATATCACGTCAGCGACTGATTGTACTTTCTCTGAATGTGTGATGACGCAATGGAGCGCTTGGTCAACGTGCACAAAGGCCTGCGGAGGGGGCTCGAAAAACAGAACAAGAACCGTATCGGTAAAACATCGAGTCCACACACTGGACACTGATCTATCATCTGCGAGCGTTTTCCTTTTTTCTCAGACTCCTCCGTGTGCCGGTGGCCTGCCGTGTCCGCCATTCGAGGAAACACTCGCGTGCAACACTGACACTTGCGGTGGGTCACGGGCATGCCACACGACTCTCCTTCTGTACTTGTATTCTTCGTCCTGTCATTCATTCAGCTCCTCCCCGTGACTGCGTCGTGTCTGCGTGGTCTGACTGGAGTGAATGCTCCGCCACCTGCTTTGCCAGCGGAAGCTATGGACAGCAGGTCCGAACGAGACAAATTCAGGTCGGCGAGGAGGAAACAGCAAGGTCGATTGGTAGCACGTGGGTGTATGCATCGGATATGCATCGCATATGCATGTGTGCAGACACCACCCGAAGAGGGCGGGCGACCCTGCCCCTCGAGTCTCAAGGAGCGACAAGTCTGCAACCAACTCAGATGCCGTACGCTCGAGCTCCTCGACTTGTCGACTGCTCACGTCTGACTTTTCGCTCCTCAGCTGGAACACAGTGTGAAGACGATCCCGACGTCGCGTCACTGTCTGGCGGCTTTACATGCGAGCAGATGCTCCTTGCGGCCGAGTGCGCCGAATTCCTGATGGATCTTGCAAAACAATTCGGGCTGGATTTCCCGGAAAGCGTACCGCCGGAGGCGCGCATACAGGACGCATGCAGGAGAACCTGCGGCCTGTGTGAAGGTACATGTTAGGACTCACAATAAAGAGATCGCATATGGGCCATACCCGACTATTGTTTGTATTCTTCAGAGTGCGCGTCCGGTTGTGAGTTGTGGGAGCTGGGGAACCTCAACTGTGAGACGCCATGCAATGTTGCAGGAGACTGCAACTTTGATGAGGGCGACTGTCAGGGCGACTGTGAGGGGCCCGAGATCCCTGTGTCGACACGCAGAGGCGTCACCCCCATTAGCCGCTTCATCAATGAGGGCCAGAACTACACCATCAAATGCCCAGACTCCTCGCAGCGATTCTTGGGCTATTTCGACGTCGAGCAGATCACCCTGACATGTCTCAGCGACGGCAACTTTGTTGGCGAGGGCGCCGATCTCGAGGTTGTCAACGGCATCCCACAAGTGCCGGCATGTGTGCCCTTCGAGGAGGCGGCGGCGTACAGTGGAGTCGAGGTCACCACTCTCGCGCCAGGGGAGACAACGGCGGCGCCTACGGGTGGCGAGTGCGCGCTGCCCGAAATCTCGATCGACGACATCCCTGACGAGTACAAGGGGCTCTTCTCGGGCGTGTGTGAGGACAGCAATGCTGTCGCAGAAGTCGGGGGAGATCTGGCGCTCAGCTGCTCAGTCCTGTACAACCTCAATGGGCAGGACTGTACCATCACTTTCGGGGAGCTTCTGGAGAAGTTTGCAGCAGTAGTAGGTGACACGACCCTCCCACCGAATGTCCCGCCCGAGACCACGGTGGCAGATGCCTGTCCGCTCACCTGCGGCCTCTGTGAGGAGGGCGAGACGTTCTTCCCTCCCATCGTGTATGCCAACCTGCCGACGCCAACAGGCTGTATCCCAGTCACCCCTGCCCCGACCGGCACTCCTCTGCCAGGGTATGAGGACTCGTTGGATTGCGAGGACAGCCCCCTTGTCAGCCAGTTTGAGGGCATCAACTGCGACATTCTGGTCTTCGTCGGAAACTGCAGCGACAGACTTATTGATGTGCAGAGAGAGAATGCACCTGGTATGGAGTGGCCGTCGTCCATCCCTGAAGAAATCCTTGTCAAAAATGCATGCCCGAAGACATGCAAGGACTGCTCGGCAGCGGTCACGGTCCCGCCCGGCTTCACCCTAGCGCCACAGACGACGCCCCCGCCAGTGGCAGAGACGTGTGTGGATGACCCGTTGACAACTCAGCTGGGCTTTCCGTGCGACTTGTTGCTACAGTTTGCCATCAATGGGTGTGGCACACCGCTGAAGGACTTGCTGCCGTCTGGGCAGCGTCTGCCTGCTGGGGTGCCCCCTGATTGGACACTCAACGATGCGTGCAACCGGACGTGCAAGGCCTGCACACCTGCTGCAGACCAGCCAGCGCCATCGCCAGGAGACGCCGGTAAGTACCAAATGGGCGTGTAGGTTGATGAGCTGATGGGGTCTGCCGTCACTGGCTTGTTTTCCTGTGTGGCAGGCTGCAAGGACAACCCGATGGTGGAAGCCTTGGGGTACTCGTGTGATCTCTTCATCCGTATTGGGGCCCAGGGCTGCGATACCCTCCTGAAGGACCTCTCGGACGAGCCCCCGCCGGTCAACTTGCCCCCGACTGCCCGAGTTCGAGACACGTGCCCCAAGTCATGTGGACTCTGTGGCAAACCGCAGTGTACGGACGCCATACAAAACGGCGACGAGCAAGGCGTTGACTGTGGAGGTTCATGTCCATCCTGCGACCTGAAGCGGACGTGCTCCATCGAATGGCTCAAGCAGCTTGGAAGCGGCTTCGTTCTGACGGTCCCAAGCTCTGAGGAGCAAGACCCCCTTCGGAAGCAGGGGCTGGTCAGACACGGAGGAGGGCGCGTCCTGTCGTGTGCTGACGGCTATGTGGCCAAAGAGGGGTTCGGCGGGTACGCCTTCGTGACGTGTACTGATGGGCAGTTCACGGCCCCTGACCTTGGCTGTACTGAGGAGATGGTGGCCAAGTTTGAAGGCATCCTGAGGCTGCGGGGAGCTGAGAACTTCGATGAAACAACGATTCCTGCAATTCATGTGAGGATCCAGGAAAGACGCTTCGACACTTTACGTGTGCTGCGCTGTTGTCGTATCTCAGGCCGCATTGGTGTCCACATTGGGAACGACCACAAACGCGGCTGTTCAGATCAGCGCCATCGCCAGCAGCCTCGCCGTCATTGCGGCTCCTACTGAAGGGGGGCCGCCCCTTGCGGCCTGCTCACTTGATGACGTCGAGATACCGGCCGATTTGAAGCCCCTCGTTACTGGCGTGTGTGCCAACAGCGCCACATTTGAGCGGCTTGCGCAGGAGGCTGCAGGACCTGACCTGGCTGTCACTTGTGACCTCCTATTCTCCCTCCAACAGTGTCCTAGCACACTGGAGCAGCTCGTCAACACTTTCAGTCCTGGCGCGACTATTCCTGAAGGTGTCCCCCCGGAGACCCTCATTTCGGACGCGTGTCCCGTCTCATGTGGCAAGTGCACGGAGGGCTCGCCCTTCATCCCCAATGCCCTACAGGACGCAATCGACAGGGGCGAGGTGTCCCTCCCTGCCGGCTGCAACACCATCACGGCAGCGGTGGCGCGACTGCTCCAGGAGGAAGAGGAGCAGGAGGATGGGAGAGAGTTCCTGCAGGTCAACTTCTACGTCGAGCTGCCTGGCCTGACGGTCAGCCAGACCAATGACTGGATGGACCAGAAGTTCATCAACACCAGCTTTGACACCAGATACCGCGACGCGCTCGTGCAGAAGTTGGCAGGGGTCACGATACCTGGTGAGACATTCGCTGCGCCAGCCCTCTCAGCATCCGCCATCATGAGTACTGTGACTGTCGAGTACGACAAACCTGCAAGGCGAAACATCCCCAAATCAAGAGCAGAGGGGTCCTGGCCCGGACAAGGCAATCCGCCAAAACAAACGTGGAAACTACTTACAAAGATTGGCCTGTCCCGCCCGGAGATCGCTTTCCCGCCCGAGTGCAGTAACACTACGACACCGTGTTGCGACATCATCCGTCAAACGCGGGACTACATCTATTCCGTATGTGGGGACCGTCTCTATCGCGGGGCGATGGACAGAGACCGCGTCCAGTCATTCTGTACGGGCTCGTGTTCCAGCGAGCGGGACCAGCTGATGAGGGCGGCCGTCGCCCTGCCAGCAGACTGTACTGCTCGTCGGCCATTGCTCGACGTGCTGGAGGCTTGGTGCGCCACCGAGCCAACATCGACAGGGGAGACATCGCCGTATTGCTTTGGAGACATAGTCAAGCAGCGGCCCGACATGTCCATCCAGGCCCTGGCAGGAAAGGCACCCGACCAGCTGCTGACTATCTGTCACGCAAACAGCTGCTTCCGATCGAACGCGCGCTACTTGAGTGCGGTCAGCAGGCTATTTGCACTTGCGGGGCCAAGGGAGCCTGGAGAGTCGCCGATCGACCTGGAAGGGCTTCGCGGCCCGATACCAACAGAGGAGCCTGACACTTTCCTGACTCGGGAGACGTTGCGTGCTGTGGTTCCGAACTACTACGGGCCGTTTCGACAGGAGTTGGTGGACGTGGTGTGTGTGCGAGTCGAGGGCGACTACTGCGAGCAGGAGGCGCAACTGGTGGCCGAGGAGAATCCCATTGTCAATCCCAAACTCGTTTCCAATCCATGCAAGTCCAAGTATGCAATGCGTAGACACATAAGCAGATGCCGGGCGGCTTTTGCGAGTGGATACACTGGTGTGTCTCATTCAGGTGTCTTCTGCCTGTTGTGTCTCAAATGGGGTCGGCCGTCGCGACCCTCGGTGACGAGATGGAGAGCCCTTACCACTTTGCCTTGGGACAGCTGCTGTTAGGCTATGCCCGTTTCGCATGCAGCCAGAACACCGATAGCAATCTCTGTCGATCATACCTCTTCACAGACGCGCCATCTGACGTCTCCAGCCCCACGTCGTCCCTCACATCCACCAAACTGTCTCCCCAGCCGGCAGTGAACACCTCCCGGCTGACTAACTGCTCGGACATCTGCCCGAAATCTTACATCGGTGACGGCCAGTGCGATGCTGTCTGCTACCACGAGGACTGCGTGTATGACGGCGGGGACTGTCTCTTCCAGATCATGTTTCCCACCACATTGCGGAATGCTGTGGGCAACCTGGAAGAGAAGTGTCTTCCTTACGACTCGGCCTTCGTTTGCAGTGCTAATGAATGCCGCACTCAGCTGGTGGATGGCGTCACCAACAGGGGCTGCTGCTTTGCCGCCTCCCTGGAAGTGCTGCGGGAGGCGCTAGCTAAGGACAGCGAACAGACGTCACTATTTGAGGAGGCTGATCGCACTCCATGGATCGCTGAGAGGTGAATAAGGCATTGGTGAAAACATAAGTACTTTCTGCACCAATCCTCATCCGCTTTTTTACGTACCCAGGACCATCCCGTACGTGGAGCAGAAGTGCCTCATGTCTCTGGATCGTACCTGCTCCACTGCATTCGACGGCTCGGCCCAGACTGCCTCGATCCTCTCCATTGACCTCATGCTCGAAAACATCGATGCTGCTGCCTTGAACATACCATCATCGACGGTCGACGGCCTGCTGGAGGCCCTGAGGGACGCCGTTGCGTGGGAGATCGGCACTGTCCGTACAGACGTGTCGCGGATAGTGGTGCGGCCCGACACAACGGACGTGGCGAGGCGTGCTGCTGTCGAGGTGGAGCTGGACCTCCCGCCAGAACGCGACACCATGGGTGTGTTCCTGAGGGAATACATTGAACAGCAGGTAAGCTGAGACGCGACATGCGGCACATATTTTGTTTGACGGATATTCTTGTCAGGGCATGAGTGGCGCTCTGGCAGCGGCTGTTGATAGGCGTCTCGCCCGTGACGTGTCTCTCGAGTCCCTCCGCCTCTCTCCACAACAGCCGATCAGCGTCAAGATAGACACCGATCGCCCAGGCGGCATGGTGCTGCACTCCCGCTTCTCATCCCCCACATTCATCAACACACGGGGTGCTCCGCCCTTGCCACCCCGCGGCGCAATAGGCCTTGACGACCTCACCGAATCGCTGTCCAATACAGGCTGCAGTGCCCAAGATGTCAAGGCATACAGTAAGGCATACCGCATCGGCTCAGCCGCAGCTACTGCAGCAGGGCTGCAGCACGGGGCGGAGAGCTCTGTTGAGTGTCAGACTGGATATGACCTGACCAAGGGCGCACAGCCAGACACAGTGGTGTGCGACAACGGCAAGCTGTACAACAAGAATGGACTGGTGTGTCGAACCGGCTGCACGGGCGAGTCGGGCGAATTGCCGGCGGAGACGACCTCGGGGTTATCTTTCCTTGCGCCGGGGGATGAGGGGAAAGTGCGAGTGTTCGGCAGCTATAAGGTGAGGGGGACGGGTCTGCAGCACGGGTCTGAGAGGGAGCTAATCTGCGTGTTGGAGAACTCCTCTCGCGTCGGTGGGCCAAGCCCCAACAAAATTACGTGCCTCGACGGCCAATGGACGCTAATCCAGCTCGACTGCCGAAGTGAGTAAATGCCAAACCCTTGACACCCTCATGCAGCATGCTTGTATGCTCTTCGCCAGGCGACTGCCAGTCCCTCGAGAAGACACTCGGCCCAGCGTACAAGTTTGAAAACAAAACGTGCCCCCTCGAACCCCGACCCTTCGAGCACGGTTGTCAGTTCGACATGACGTGCGCCGGAGGCTACCTGTCCGCGGTAGCCGGCGGCACGGGCATCGTCGCCAAGTGCAACAACGGCACGTGGGAGTCTACGGACCCCAACCTTCCATTCAACCAGTTTCGGTGCGTCCGGCCGCAGAGCGCCCTCGGCGACCCAGAAGACCAATTCGCAGAATTCATGAAGGAGCTGCTGGCGGGCGAGAACTCAGTCTGGCTCTACCTGTGTATTGTCTTCGCCATCATCTTCGTCGGAGCGGCGTACGCATACTGGCGGCTCAAGCGCCGCAAGAAGGCCCTGGAGCACCAGGAAGAGCGAGACACGTATTGGAACAGATTCCTCCGCCACCATGCTCAGAAGACATCGGCTGGCAGAGGGCGAGGCGGAGACCGGGCAACAGGAGGCAGAGGTGTCGGCAGCGCCGACGCGCGTACACCTGAGGCGTCCCAGACTCTCCCTGCTCGCTCACACACGTCCACCTCATCCCCTCGCCGTAGCTCCCGCCGGGCCAGCGGGTCACCCCAGAATGCTTCGGCCACCCCTGCCAGCGCCCCTCCCCCCCGCCCCTCCGACTCGTCAACATCCTTCCACCCGGATGAGATTGATGATGATCAGGTCACGTCCGCCGCTGAGTTTGAGCTCAGCAGAAGGCGAATAGAGGATGAGAGACGTCGGTCGTCTGTTGCGGGCACTGGGGGAGACACACAGCCGGCTGCCGGCCAGAGAAAGTCGGGGGCCTGGTCTGTGTTAAACCTGGTCAAAAGGGGCTGGTGGGGGGACGAGGGGACGCCCAGGCCGCCAGTGTAGGGAGGGCTGATAGATACATGTGTGTGGGGATATATTTGCGGTCTTGTCAGGATTTTTCTTTGGCTTGTGCTCTGTAGATTAAAGTAAGTGACAGTGAGACGTGTTTCAGACATGTGGTTGCGTTGCGTGTGTCTTTGGGTTGTGACTATGGATTCGCAGTGCTTCAATTAATCAACAGTATTTGTGCCGGGGAAGGGACGCCTAGCCTAGGGCCAAAGCATCTCCTCCTTCCTAGACTCCACGTGTGTGTATGTATACGTGTGTTGGATACCGACTGTATATGAGTTCGTGTGTGATGAAGGAATGAATGGCAGCTGGACAGCGACCTGGCAGCCGCACCTATCTATCACTGATGGTCCTTGGTCAGCTGTGTATTGATTGCACAGTCGTATGGGTGGATGCATCTTCATAATCGATCGCATAAATGGGCCGGCCGAGACAGTCAGTAACTTTGGCGAGTCACCAGCACGGAGGCATGCACTAAACACGCTTCTGTCCGTCTATCCACACACAAAAAACTCACCTCGCTCACTCCAACAACCACTCACTCATCTCATCATCTCTTCATGATGGACTTGACTACTCCCCCTTCTTTCCTGTCGGCGCCCCCAGCTCTCTGCCCCACCCGGCCCACCAGTGGCCTTGTGTGCACCGTGATGGTCGCCCGCACCTCTGCGGCGTCCAGCTGGTTGAGGCCCGGCAGTGTGCTTGTGACGGCCATGCGATACCCTGGTCCTAGCTTGTACTGCAGCGGACACCTCTCCAGATACAACTGGTGGACGGGACGCACAGAACAGACAGACAGACCCCATACATACGCACATAGAGAACGACACGTGAATGTGATATATAAGGGTTGAGCACCCGTTTAGTCACTGTTGTCGTCTGCGCACCGTTTTGAGTGAGGTGATGGCCTTCAGGTGTTCGACCTGCTTGATGTCCTCCACTGCGTTGTCATTCATCTAAACACACGTGAAGGCGTCCAGCCATCGTCACCCAATCAGCCATTCACATGAGAGGAGTCGCTGTGTGTGTGACGTGCTGTTAACGTACCCAGAGGTCCTCCACTTTCATCAGACCCGCCAGAGGCGCCAAGTCGCCGATCTTATTCGACGCCAAATCTAGTGTTTCCAGCTCCACCTATCGCGCACCCGGGGAGAGGCAGACCGGCGCACAGATGAGTTGGAGGCCTTGGTTGTGTGCTGCTAGTTGTAGTGTACCAGTCTGCATATGTCCTGGGGCACGTTAGAGAGCGCGTTATGCGATAGGTACAGCTCCTGCAGGCCCGTGTTGGCGAACACGGACGCGTCCCACTCCTCCAGACGGTTGCTCTGAGGGGCAAATGCACACAAGAGAGCAACAACGCGAAGCATCTGTCACTCGTAGGAGCGACGCGCTGCATCTCCTCTCCCCTACCTGCAGGGTCAGCGTGGTCAACCTCGGGAGAACCGGCAACGCCTGATTGACCGGTGCATGGCAAACGAACCGACAGGCAATGCGATATGGGCCCATGTCTGTGTGTCCTTGCCCATGTGAGCGTACGGTATACCTACCATGGATGTGATTTTGTTCTTGCCCAGGTGCAGCTCCTCAAGCTGCTGCAACTGCGACACACCCTCGATCACCTGACAGACAGAAAGACAGACAGACAGGCATCATATCAAGAGAGACATCAATCACACCGTCACCCTCGCACATTCTCCATCTATCTATCTGGTGCTGCCGCTGCGTGGTCTGTCTGATCCGCTCGTACCCGTATCCGATTGCTGCCCAGCTCCAGGAGCTTCAAACCCACCAAATTGTCCAGCCCCTCTATCTGATCAGATGACGCCATGTGCACTGCGCATTCTCTGTCCTGCTCGTTTGCCTGCCTACTCGCCTTGTCGCTCACCTTGGTGATTTTGTTGCTCGACAGGTAGAGCTTCTCGAGCTGCACCAGAGTCTCGATGTTCTCTATCTTGCGGATCTGATTGAAGGACAGATCCAATACCCTGACCGACAGACACAGTGCAGCCACAAGGACAGACAAGACAGACACATGCCCACAAATGCACCGCTACCAGCACATATGTTCGTTCGTGACTTTCGCTCTCCTGCGGACCTGAGCTGGGTGAGGTGGCTGATGTTTGCGATCTGCGTGATGGCGTTCTGGTACAGCTCCAAGCGCGTCAGGTGGATATTATGCTCCAGATTCTCCAACGCCCTCACGTGATTCGCTATCAGACACAAACTCTGCCGACACACACAAAGCATGCAGACGCCGTGGTCCTCTCTCTTCCGCTACGTCCCCTCCCTTGCTCGACCCGTCCCGTTGACCTGCAGGTTGGTGCACTGCTCGAGGTTCTCAAACTTGCGTATCCGCCCGCACTGTATGCTGATATCCGTGTCAGCCGGGTCCACCTCATAATCCACCCCTAGCCGCAGATAGGTCACGGGCTCTTCCTCAGCCTCATTCTCGTCCTCATCCGTGTTGACGCGGCCGCCGCTGTCTTCCTGCTCTCTGCGGACGGCTGGGTCGCTCTCCATGAATGACGGGGGATGGCTGTCGGTGTCCATCGGGGCTGCGGGCGACGCAGACGAATCGCGTGCGCCTTCAGAGTCGGAGAAGGCAGGAAGGGCGCTCTTCTTTAGTGACGAGCCTGAGATTTCGGAAATTGGCGTGAGATTTGTTGTTGCTGTTGCTGTATGAGGCTCCTCCACTTGGCCGTCAGGCTGCTTAGGGTGCTTCATGAAACCGCTGCGCGCCTCAGGAGCTGCGCCTCTCCAAACACATCCATCATTCATCGTGTGTCTGTGTGTGTGTGTGTGTGTTGCAGTCCATCAGTGAGGGTTTGATTCGTTTGGAGGAGCGCATCGCATCGCTGCACACACAAATAGATCAGGCAAGTGGCGCATGATGGGCCCAATGGCATCACTGCTGTGGTCTCCTCCACTGTGTGTGTGTGTGCGCGGTGCCTGCAGGTCACACACGAGGCTGCCGGTGTGCAGCAGCTCTTCAACACCACAGTCGCCGCACAGGTCAACCACACACACGAGAGAGTACTGCAGCCGTCACTCTCTCCCTGGTTGTCTGTGTGTGTTTGCAGACGCCATTTCTCGCCAAAAAGTGGCTCAGCGTCTTCGACGCTCTCTCGTCGGCTAAAGATGCGCTGTGCGACGTCGAGGATGGCGTCAGGGGCACCATTCGGCCCATCGGCTGGGACAAGCCGCCCCCTCCCGCCGACTCGGCCGACGGCCTGCCGCCGGTAAGCATCATCGAGAAGCGAATGCATTCAGGCCAGAGAGCACACAGACGTCCATCAGTGATTGCGTGTGTGCGTGTGTGTGTGTGTATGTGTTGCAGCCCATCAGTGAGGGCTTGGTTCGTCTGGAGGAGCGCATCGCATCGCTGCACACACAAATAGATCAGGCAAGTGGCGCATGATGGGCCCAATGGCATCACTGCTGGTGTGCTTTCATTCGCTCTGTGTGTGTGTGTGTGTGTGTGTGCGGTGCCTGCAGGTCTCACAAGCGGCTGCCGGTGTGCAGCAGCTCTTCAACAACACAGTCGCCGCACAGGTCAACCACACACACGAGAGAGTACTGCAGCCGTCACTCTCTCCCTGTTTGTCTGTGTGTGTGTGTTTGCAGACGCCCTTTCTCGCCAAAAAGTGGCTCAGCGTCTTCACCGCTCTCTCGTCGGCTAAAGATGCGCTCCGCGACGTCGAGGGTGGCATCAAGGGCACCATTCGGCCCATCGGCTGGGCCAAGCCGCGCCAGCCCACCGACTTGGCCGACGGCCTGCCGCCCGAGGTGTGCCGCGACGTCATCTACCGGTGCCTGTCCATCGATGAGGCCGTCTGTTCGGCCCGCCCCATCAGCAGGGCATACGGCACCCAACTCGTCGATGAGGTCTTCGTGCTGCGTCACATTGACAGCCACCTCACGGACAACAAGCTCACCGGCCTCATCGACGTGCACCGGACAGCAGCAGACACAGCCGATGCTGCGGCACCCACCCCAGCCGTCGTCCCGCCGCCCACGTGTGCCGACGAGGAAGAGCTGCTGGGTGTGAGTGAGATGTACGGCGTCCTCGAGGACATGTACCCCAACATAGTCGCCAACGACGTCATGCAGACCATCCTCGAGATGATCGGCAAGGAACAACCCAAGATGACCTGCCTCTTCAAGTGAGAACAGACAAACGAAGGGCATCGCGCCATTCTCTTGGCGAATGTGTATTCGCCCGTCGGTGTGTGTGTCTGTCTGTCTGTGTGTGTGTGTGTGTGTGTGTGTGTGTGTCAGGAGTTCGCTGCACGGTTCGTCGTATGGGAATCTGGCGCAGCGTGTGGTGGGGCGCCGCGGCCTCCTCTTCGTCATCAAGTGCGACGACACCAACACCATCGCAGTCTTTGCTGACACACAGCTGCACCTGCCGGCCGATCCCACATCGGTGCTGGGCTTTGACTGCCCCGTGTCGCTCTTCTCGGTGTGCGGTGCGTTCAAGGAGGGCATCACCAAGATCGAGGTGCCACAGGACGAGCAGCATGTGACGGTGGCGGGCATACAGGGAGCGGTGACGAACATCCACGGTGTGCCATGGGGCAAGGTGTGCATCGCCAGGGGCCGCCTGTGGCTGGGGTGTGGCAAGGACGGCCCGACTGACGACCTTCTCAACTGCTGCCAGGGGGTGGAGAAGAAGGAGCTGCCGGCCAGCAGGGAATTTGTCGGCAAGACCATCAGCTGCTGGCCCAATAAGGTGAGCCTCTGTGGCGTCGAGACCCACTGCTCCACCGCTCAGCGAGTGGAGGTCTTCCAGGTCAGCCAGCCAGGCATCGACCAGAGAGCACAGAATTGGCTGGGGATATCATGAGATCGTTGTCTACTGTCTGTGCAGGTGTTGAGTGCTGTGCCGGCCGACCCCATCCTGACTGAGTCTGACCTGCGAGCACTCGTCGACCTGACCGGCATGACGGACGCGACGCCACAGCTGCTGTACAAGTGTGCCACCGACGACAGGGAGGCTGTTGGTAACTCGTGAATGATATCCCCTTGCTGCTTTGTGTCTGTCAGGGGTGAGCGTGACGGCTGAGAGCAGGAGGCCATGTTCAAGAATGTGGGCGACGCCACTGACCTCCTGCCGCTCCTCAAAGACCCCAGCGGCCCCGTCGTCGCCGCCCACATCGAGGGCGGACTCACCCCGCCCGCCGACCCCACTGCAGAGGCGATGACCCCTTGTGGTGTGTCGCTCTTCTCGGTGCGTGGCGCGTTTGAGGGCGACGGCATCACCAAGATCGAGGTGCCCGAGGACGCGCAGCGTGTGGAGGTGGCGGGCACACAGGGGGCGGTGACGGACGATGACGGTATGCCCTGCGGCAAGGTGTGCATCGCCCAGGGCCGCCTGTGGTTGGGGCTTGGCGATCACGGCCCGGCAGGCGATCTTCGCAGCTGCCAGGTGTGGGTGTGGAATAAGGAGCTGCCCGACGACAAGACGTACGTCGGGACCATCGACAACGAGGGCGCAGCCATGCTGGCCTCCAGCGTCAACTTCCCGGCTGCCGATATGGAGATTTACACACTGCAGGTCAGAAAGAGAAGAAAGACACACACACACACGATGAATGATCCGTCTCCCCCCAGCGTCTCTGTGTGTGTCTGTGTGTGTGTGTGTGTATGTGCAGCCGTCTACTGGGTGGCAGTGGGTGAGTGCCGTCGCCTCCATCATGATGAACTCCCACCAGTAGCAGTTGCACCACCAGCAGTGCGCACTTCGGTCATCTGTGCCAGTGCTACTATGCACTCAAGCAGGGCGGGGCGCTGTGGTGTGAGTGGCCCGACTTCATCCGGCTGGCCGACATCTACAAGCTGACGCCCTCGACTGGTCTGCCGCTGATCATGTCGGCGCAGTGGATGGCGGCCCACCTGCCCACCAAGGCCGACTTCCACACCATGCCCCTCGCCCTTCGCCAGTACAGCACATTCGGCCACCTCCTCAACTACAAGGGCACCAGCCTGGCGCTCGAGAAGATGGACAGGACCCGACTGGTGAGAGCAAGAAGGACAAGAAGGAGGAAGGACAGGAGGGGGACGAGGGGGGCGGTGGGGTGACACGGCAGTGGTATTGCATCGGGAGGGGGGGCGGCGAGCACGAGTGTCGCTTCGAAACGGTGCCGCTGTCCGCCCTACCTCCCCAGCATCGCTTCCGTGAGACATACGACCCCCACAACCCGCCCATCCGCTATCTTGAAGATTCACACTGCCCAGTCTTCTTCGAGTTCCCTTCGTTCACGGCCTTCATGAAGTGGGTGGTGTTGAGGGATTGGTGTGCTCAAGAGGGGGTGGGCGGGAAGGAAGTATTCTACGTGGACAGTCTCGGTCGCTGCTGACCGATCCCATCGACGGCCACACCACCATCGACTTCATCGGCTTCGATCGGGAGCGACACATCATCCTCAAGGGCATGAAGGAGGATGACACCTTCGCCGCCGATCTGCACGTGGGCGTTGGCCGCATCGACATCTACACGACCGAGGCAGAGATCGAGTGGCTGTTTCTGTCTGGCCAGTCGACAGGGGGAGTGGCTGCGTTGGCCTGCCCCCTCCTGATCAAACATGGGCTCGCCGACCTCATACCAGAGTAGAGGAGACGCACACAAGTGAGCCGTGGTGGGGAAGAGACACAAGATGCATGCCTCGAGTGCATGGATGGCACTGGTGCGTCTCTGTGTGTGTGTGTGTGTGTCGACCCGCCATCTGCTGACCAGGCACCGACTCGCCGAGATCATGCCACAGGAGAGGAGGCCGGTTGGCGGTGGAGGGCTGATCGCCCCACAGAGATGCCAATGACTGGATGGGATGGAGGGGTCACGTGGGCTATCGGTGGATGCTGTGGCAGATGGATCGCTGCATTGTGTGCGCATGGTGGACTGCATTGATTTGACCATCGTACAGCCTGTGTGTGCCGTGCAATTTTGATCATCTTTCAATGCGTGGGCAAGTCATTCGTTGATCGTCCGTTGCGGAATCAAATCCACCCACCCCCCCACCACCCACCCCCCTACCCACCCACC